ACGCATCAAAGTGCAGCTTAACCTTCGTTGTGACGAATTCTGGTTGTTGTTGTGGGGCCAAACAACGTGTTAGGCAGGAACAACAACAACAACAACTATAATCACGATAAAACGGTTGGCAACAACGACCTTATGTTGTAGAGTTAAACAAGAACAACACCGACCTTCTCTAACAGTGTTGTTCAGGACCAACAATGACCGTAACTATATTTTTATTGAAGGACAATCACCGTCTTCACTATATTGTTAGACACCAACGTTGATGGGAGTAATCTTTCTGCGAAAAACCACAGGAGCACACAAACCCGTCGTTCATATGAAACGTATATACCATGAATATACATTCCTCTTTGGTCCTGATATGATTTTTTCATTTATCTTCGGGTTTATTTCAGGGAACTGTGTGGGAGCCCAAACATCGTCCACCATTGTTCCTTCCCAGACAGTGTCAGTTGCTGCGTCCGAGACGTCAACAGTTGTGGCGTCGGCCAGCGTGACATCATCTTCATCAGTGTCAGCATCAGCATCAGCATCAGCATCAGCATCAGCCACTTCCACAACCTTGCCCACAACAACCACAACGGCTGGGTCGTCAGAGAAAACTTCCTCCACCATTCTATTTTTCACAGTAACCATGGCGTCACTGTTATTCGTTGCCACCATTGCTATGTAATTACTTCATAATCCGTGGTATAATAGACGTCATTGTCATCCCCGTCATTGTGAAATGGCATCTATATCTGCGATATGAATACAAGGGTATGTAAGCGAACACCACAGTGAATACTTTCAGTGCGGCGTCTCCGTGGACATGAAGATTGGTATGACGCCAGGCTGGTCGACTGATCCGATAAACACACTGACGCCATGACACCCCAGTGAATTCCCCGACGCCACAGATTACACGCCGAAATAACACACCACGTGATACCTTTGAAGACATACCTGATATCAAGACTGTTAAATGGTCTTGCAATCTTAATGCGAATTTAAATTAATCTTTATATATTTTTATACTGAAATAAAGAATATATTTCTATTGCTTTATTCGTCGTATGTTCCTTGTATATCCCAGGGGCGGTGGGGTAACGTAGTAGTTAAAGCGTTCGCTCGTCACGCCGAACACCCGGATTCGATTCCTCACATGGGTACAATGTGCGAGGCCCATTTCTGGTGTCCCCCGCCGTGATATTGCTGAAACATTGCTAAAAGCGGCGTAAAACGAAACTCAATCGCAGAGCCTCTCGAACAGTTCACTCGTAGAGCTTCATTGCAACAACCACCGGTTTACCTTGCTCAAACTCGTTAGGAGCATGGTACCGATGGGGCAACATAAAACCACTGGCCAATCTACAGCATTAAACCAATTTCAGTGCAATGATGTTCCCAGACATATCATATATTAAACGCTGACATCTGTGCCTGTGTTGCTAAACCCAATATACAGATTAGCAGGGCTGATGGCTTCAGGTTACACTGTCTTCTATGTTAGTCAGCCTGTGATTGGCATTGTGTAATAGTGCGGGTGATACGCTTGTACATGTGTAGTATACTTGCGTGACACACAGATCCGATATACCAGTATAATATACCTGAGTGTCGTCTGCAAGTGCATGATATGCTTGTTGACGAACGTGTTCTAGAGCCGTCATCTGCACATTTGGATATACTGCTGAAATTCTGCACATGTGTAATATACGTTTTAGATGAACATGCTCTGGACGCGCAATCTACACATGTGATCAGCTGGCCGACACGCCCAAGCTGTTTTACATGTGTGTGATGTACATCTGCACTTCTGCACGTGTGTGATGTACTTGTTTACGAATGGGCTCTAGAGACGTATGTTGTGTAATATACTCGCTAACGACGAGACTTGAGAGGCGTCGTTTGCACGTGCTGTACGTATGTACACATACATGTTTGATACAGCTGATGACGAAAAGGCTCGCCTGCATGCGTGTGATGTTATTCTATATTTCTGCACGTATGTGATGTACTTGTTGACGAGTGGCTCTGAAGGTATCGTCTGAGTATTGTGATAAGTAAAGAAACACTACATGTACTACGTATACATGCTTTAGGGAATCAGAGTTAGTGAAATAGAATCGTACCTGAAACATATGTTACTCTAACTAAAACAAAACTGAAATTGAAATTTGATAACAATTTACTTGCAATCTGAGAGGAAAACACAAACACATGCCGGGCAGTATGATCAACATGATTACGCCACCAATCTAATTGTCACACAGCTTTCAATAATGATTGTTGTAATTGTGTGAACTACTACTGGCAACCGCATCAGTACTTGGCGTAGCAATCCTTGGCATATAACATCTGCCTGTCTCCTCATACTGGCAATCAAGCGTCGAAATCCTAAGCCATTCCTCCTGGAGTGCCTACGTCAGTTTCTACAGATTTTGAACAGGAGGGTTTCGAATATGTCGTCCAAGACAGTCCCAAAGATGTTCGATGGGGTTCACATTAGGGCTTCTTACGGGCTATAGTAATGTTCTGCAAATGGGCGATGACGGTCTAGCGTTGTCCTCCGTGAATACTGGACGAATGGCAAGGGGTGGTGTACGTGTCGCCACGGCGGTATCCAGTACTTCCTGTTGATGACGTTGACCATTGAGTGTCCCAATTACTGCAATGAGATCCAACCTGCAGTCAACGCAGCCCGACACCAATGAGCGACAACCAAAGGGTTCAACTGCATGTACCATCTCCTTGTAATAAATCTCGTTACGCGACAAAGGCAGTCGGTAACGTGTGAAAGATGGCGTGTTTAATCAGGCCAATAAACCTTTCGCCATGTTCTCAAACTGTGGTTTTCTCGCAGCCTGCTCAGATATTCCTTCCTGTGCCGACTTATGAGGAAGGGCGGTCTGATCTGAAGCCGAACCCTTAGACCAGCAGCCTCCTTGTGATGGTACTGGTGGAGAATCGGACGCCCACTCTTTATTGCTTGTGAAGTTCTTCGGCATGGGTCATTGGACTGTGTCTTCCCAGACGAATTCCGACTCGGTCATTGGTATTCCTCGGTATTTCCTGGTCTTGAACAGTCCTTTACTTTATCTGTATCCACGTGCTTCCCCAGTCGACTAATAACCTTGTGGTTTAAGTTCACGTTAACACCGATGTTGAAACAGCACATATCCCTGCATAACGCATACCAATAACTTTACATAGAGTATTTGCCATGTCAAGAAAAGTATATTTTAGTGACATCAGATAAAAAAATGAATCAATGCCTCGTCTGCACATGTTGTATATACGTCTGTATAGTTGCACGTGTATGATATACGTCTGTATAGGTGCACGTGTGTGATATACGTCTGTATAGTTGCACGTGTGTGATATACGTCTGTATAGTTGCACGTGTGTGATATACGTCTGTATAGGTGCTATGTGACGTGTGTGATATACGTCTGTATAGGTGCTCGTGTGTGATATACGTCTGTATAGGTGCACGTGTGTGATATACGTCTGTATAGGTACTCATGTGTGATGTACCTCTGTATAGTTGCACGTGTGTGATATAGTCTGTATAGGTGTTCGTGTGTGAAATACGTCTGTATAGTTGCACGTGTGTGATATACATCTGTATAGGTGCTCGTGTGTGATACGTCTATATAGGTGCTCGTGTGTGATATACGTCTGTATAGGTTCACGTGTGTGATATACGTCTGTATAGGTACTCGTGTGTGATGTACCTCTGTATAGTACCTCTGTATAGGTGTGTGTGTGAAATACGTCTGTATAGTTGATATATACGTCTGTATAGGTGTTCTCGTGTGTGAAATACGTCTGTATAGTTGCACGTGTGTGATATACGTCTGTATAGGTGTGCGATATAGTTGCACGTCTGTATATGTGTACACGTGTGTGATATACGTCTGTATATAGTAGCACGGTGTGATATACGTCTGTATAGTTGCTCGTGTGATATACGTCTGTATAGTTGCTCGTGTGTGATATACGTCTGTATAGTTGCACGTGTGTGATATACGTCTGTATAGGTGCACGTGCATGATATATATATATACGTCTGTATAGTTGTTCGTGTGTGATATACGTCTGTATAGTTGCACGTGTGTGATATACATCTGTATATACGTCTGATATACGTCTGTATAGGTGCTGTGTGTGTCTGTATATATACGTCCTGTATAGGTGCACGTGTGTGTACAGGTGCTCGTGTGTGATATACGTGTGATATACGTCTGTATAGTTGCACGTGTGTGATATACGTCTGTATAGTTGCACGTGTGTGATATACGTCTGTATAGTTGCACGTCGTCCGTATAGTGCACGTGTGTGATATACGTCTGTATAGTTGCACGTGTGTGATATACGTCTGTATAGTTGCACGTGTGTGATATACGTCTGTATAGTGTTCGTGTGTGATATACGTCTGTATAGTTGCACGTGTGTGATATACGTCTGTATAGTTGCACTTGTGTGATATACGTCTGTATAGTTGCACGTGTGTGATATACGTCTGTATAGGTGTTCGTGTGTGATATACGTCTGTATAGTTGCTCGTGTGTGATATACGTCTGTATAGTTGCACGTGTGTGATATACGTCTGTATAGGTGCTCGTGTGTGGCACAGGCGCAGTGGCACGTGATGCTGTGCAGAGCAGAGTCTGTCATGGAACGACAGATGACCGCACCCGGTAGCTCGTCTCCTTCCATTCTTGGGCTTGAGCTTCTATTACCTCACAAGGCAGCTAAGGCTGTATATTCCCTAGGGAGCTGGGAATGTATATTATCATTATCATCCTCATCTTGGTCGTCGTTGTTGTTATTATCATCAGATTATTATTAACGTCTGCCCGTGTAAGGTGAACGCAACACGATGACGCATCAACATTACCATTCCCCTATTGGTTTTCATATGTAAATCCGATTGATGCCAACGCCCACCGTGACTGATACGAACATCTCGTGGTATATGTGACGTCAGGCTGAATATAAAATGAGCATTAACGCAAGTTGCGACAGTTTCAACAGTAACAACTGAATACACCTGTATATGACAAGTAAGTGATTAACTTTATTCACCTCCCATCACGTAACGCCATGAAATATGCCTTTTGTATTGCTTCTAATCAGTCTTTTGAATGAGATGTTCGTTACTGCACTCATAAATGAAACCGTACTTATCATGTGCCGATAAATAGTGTGTATGTGCTTTAAATCACTTTTATTTGTATGTTCTGTAAATCACGTCATTATAGATATTTAAGAATCAGTTCATCTGTCATACATACAGAAAAGTACCAGAAAGCGTTATTTCTTTTTGTAGAAACACACTATAATTCACGATTAAGAAGACCCATCATATACCATAAACATAACCAACTACAGAGGTACACCCACAGCGTATATTCTCTGCTTTTGACCACAGGAGGAATTGCATAATAGTGAAATATTTTACTTAATTACGAAATATTATGTTGTGGACATAAGATGCTGTGATAGAAGGATATCCACTAAAGCGTGTGTTGTGGCTGAAGGCTAGAGGAACATTCAGTGAAGAAGTATTTGCAGATTGTATAATGTAAACAACCAAAACAAACATCATTGAAAACATGAGTACATGCTAGCGAAGGATGTCCCTTCCTGTGTCAGAACTGCGCACACGAGTTTAAACGTGCAAACGAGGGTCTTGCAGACGCCCTGATATCACTGTCACACCAGAAATGATAAAAAAAATCCACAATGATGTGATGGCGAATGGCTATGCATCATATTAATTGCTAGGTCAATGGGCATTTTTTCCAGGAGAAGGTGCATTTCTCTATCAGAGAAACTTTGGCAACCAAAAAAAGCTCTGACAGCATATCAAAAACGCACCTAGCACAGCATCTCTCGTGATAATCTACCAGGGTTTGAATCTGATCCTGAAAAGGTCTTCGGTCGAATATTGTGGCATCGTGTGAAATCTGAGTGCGCCACGTCCTCCTTACGTTAAAACATCAGTCTACAAGCAATTAATAACCGTAGGTTCCTCAAACTGAACGGTTTTCCACAGGTTACAGACACCTGCATAGTTTACTGACTGCGCCCATCGCTTATTTGACAATTTAGTGACTATAAGAGCTACATACATATGTAAGAGTTCAGTACATTCACTTTTCCGATATCGCCCAGTATAACGGCTCTTAAGGTAACATCAAGTAACCCTTTGCAAAACATCTATACTCATCTCCCTCGGTAACCTCTCGTTGACAGTGCAACTGTAGAGGTGAGCGCAGTGATACCTGAGATGCCTGTGCTCTATATATAGCCTATTGTTGTCACGTCTTATGCATAGGAGTACAAAGTCAGTTGTCACATAATACCTGGGTCAGACTGAGACAATACCCCATCAATATGTCACTGTGATCAACAACAGTCTAACTCAGGCCTTTCTGTTTCTAGTAGTTGGTTTTCGGGCATTAAACTTAAAACCTTCCGTTAATCCCATGATTATACAGAACAATTCATAGATAATGGCATTTAGAAAGTGGACAAATGTAACATGTTCTAAATTTGGGATGACACTTTCTCAATAAAGTACAGATTCTTGCACATTTTGGGGATGAGTCCCATCCAGGATTCGTACCCACGCTAATCACCAGAACACACAGTCACAGATTCTAGTAGGGGAACACCATTTCTGCACTGGTGAGACGCTACCAGAACACAAATGACGTCATCGATCGGCCACGTTCTGGACGTCCTGGTGTAACAACGCCAAGACAGGACATATGGATAAGGGTGACCCATCTTCGCCACAGCTTTCAGACTGCAGTGATGACTGCCCGAACATCCCAGGACTTCGGCGTATCCACCCCAACAGAGTTCGACAACGTTTACGTCATCACGGGATCAGACCACGACGTCCCGCCATACGGCCTATCCTGACACAACGTCACCGACAAGCTCGCCGAATGTGGTGCCGAAATCATGTCCGCAGACCCTTGTTTTGGTGGAGAAATGTTGTTTTTACAGATGAGTCCAGGTTTAACATTTCCCATAGTGATGGACGTCAACGTGCCTATAGGCGTATGGGAGAACGTTATGCACAGGCCTGTGTCTTGGAGAGGAATCGCTTTGGTGGTGGTTCCGTGATGATTTGGGGTGGAATAACAGCACGCCAAAGAACTCCTTTGGTGATTGTTCAGGGCAACTTAACTGGTGTAGGCTACAGGGATCAGATTCTTCGACCTGTGGCAATTCCTTTTCTGCAACGTCATGGCCCTGGGTTAACATTCCAACAGGACAATGCCCGCCCTCATACGGCAAGGGTTGCTATGGATTTCTTGCGACACCACAACGTTGACTTACTGCCTTGGCCTGCAAATTCACCGGATCTCTCCCCGATAGAGCATGTTTGGGACGAGATGGATCGACGTCTACGCCGTCTTCCTCATCCGCCAGATAACGTCCTTGACCTTGCAACAGAACTTGAGAGAATCTGGCGTGACATCCCACAAGCCTTCCTTGCACGTTTGATAGGTTCTATGCGTCGGCGATGCACTGCTGTTCTCAATGCCGATGGCGGACATACCCGTTATTGAGCTTGTGACATGGTCGTTTGACCCTTGTCCCGCTTGTGGACTTGTGACGTCATCGTGATTGACTTTTCAGCTGAAATTCTCCCGACTTGTTATGGTCTCATGATCTCTCCATGAAAGTTTAGATGTACCTTTGACATTGTAATCGTACTTATCAACTGGGATAATATTTGGCATTGCACAGTTTCTTTATGTGGCTAGTATATATATGCCTGCAAGCTTTCCCTCGCCTTGTGCCTATGCCCCTTACTACTCGTGTTGTGTCCGTCACCCTCACTACTCGCCTTGTGCCTATGCCTCTCACTACTCCTGCTGTGTCCGTCACCCTCACTACTCGTGTTGTGTCCGTCACCCTCACTACTCGTGTTGTGTCCGTCACCCTCACTACTCGTGTTGTGTCCGTCACCCTCACTACTCGCCTTGTGCCTATGCCCCTTACTACTCGTGTTGTGTCCGTCACCCTCACTACTCGCCTTGTGCCTATGCCTCTCACTACTCGTGTTGTGTCCGTCACCCTCACTACTCGTGTTGTGTCCGTCACCCTCACTACTCGCCTTGTGCCTATGCCTCTCACTACTCGTGTTGTGTCCGTCACCCTCACCACTCGCCTTGTGCCTATGCCCCTTACTACTCGTGTTGTGTCCGTCACCCTCACTACTCGCCTTGTGCCTATGCCTCTCACTACTCGTGTTGTGTCCGTCACCCTCACTACTCGCCTTGTGCCTATGCCTCTCACTACTCGTGTTGTGTCCGTCACCCTCACTACTCGTGTTGTGTCCGTCACCCTCACTACTCGCCTTGTGCCTATGCCTCTCACTACTCGTGTTGTGTCCGTCACCCTCACTACTCGCCTTGTGCCTCTCACTACTCGTGTTGTGTCCGTCACCCTCACTACTCGTGTTGTGTCCGTCACCCTCACTACTCGCCTTGTGCCTATGCCTCTCACTACTCGTGTTGTGTCCGTCACCCTCACTACTCGTGTTGTGTCCGTCACCCTCACTACTGGTGTTGTGTCCGTCACACTCACTACTCGCCTTGTGCCTATGCCCCTCACTACTCGTGTTGTGTCCGTCACCCTCACTAGTCGTCTTATCCCTCAATTCTCGTGTGACCGTCTCCGTGGTGTAGTGGTTAGAGCGCCCGCCCGGAGAGCAGAAGGTCGCGGGTTCGATCCCCGGCCGCTTCATACCAGAAGACGTTAAAACATGGTACTTGTTGGTCCCTGCCTGGCGCTCGTCATTAATGGGTACAACAAGGACTGGTCGGCTAGGAGTCAGTAAAAGTTGTCTGAGTGGGGTATTCATGCTTTACTGCGGCATGGTATCTCAGTGAGCTAGCACTATAAAACCAGCTTAAGTCTTGGCTAGTACAAGCAGCCACACATACACACGCATGAACGTCGTCATATGAGCGAAATATTCTTAACTGCGTCTTTAAACCCCTTTTCACCTCACCTCTACTCGAGCGGTGTCCGTCACCCTCACTAGTCGTCTTATCCCTCGCTTCTCTTGGTGGGTCCGTCACCCTCACTGCTCCTGTTGAGCCAATCGTCTTCACCATTCCTATTGTGCCCGTCTCCCTACATACTGCTCCTGATGTGCCGAAACCCCTTCCATTCCTGCAATGTACGCCTCCCCTACCCCACCTACCTCCGCACCCCACCTCGTTTATGAAGGCCTGCCCAGCAAGGATTCTGTTTAATACAACTGACTTTGTTTCAGACTACCATGTCCAGCATAACAGTACTAGCCGGACTATTTGCCCTGATTGCCGTTACTGGTGAGTCCCATCGAAATTTCCCCAATACATATTTTGGAATTCATTGATCTTTCATTCATCTAACCTTGTCTGACTGTATCAGCATATATCAGCATGATTGTCAAATGTAGTTTATGAGTATGTTGGCTTGAACGACGCTATAAAAGTATTCGAGTTATACCGAGAATAAACAGTTAAGCGCCAGCCTATTTCAAAACTAAGATGTGAAGCTGTGGAAATGTTAGGCTAAAATAATTGGGAAGATCAATCCATATTAAGAGTAGGTTCATCTGGTAACTGATTTAGGGATATCATAATCATTTGTATTTACAATTACAAGAAATATTGTTAAAGATATGATGACAATGCTGTTTAAAGCAAAATAACTATTCCTATTCTGCTTATACAACACAATTAAACTTAGGTTTCACTTGTCAAAAATGACAATCATTGTGACCACATAACAGTCATATCTGATTTCACTTTTCAAAAGAAGGTAACCTTTCTGAGGAAAACAAAATGCATGTTTTCCAAAAGCGCATACATCCTGTTTAAAGTACAAGATAATTTCTATAATGGTTTTGTTTTTAAACTTAAAGTACTGAACCAAATTATGATAGTTGTTTTATTCTGAAAGATTTTTTATGAGACAACCTAGATTGGCAAATATACTGGGTGGCGCTTAACTTTTTATTCACAGTATATATACCCTTACTGATGCAGGTCGTACAAATTAAATAACCAACCTAGAAACAAGGCGAGTGGGATTTGAAAACTGAGGTGTCTGACAGGCCTAAGGGCCAAAACACGATCTGCATTGCGAACTTCTGCGACTTGTTCATCCGTGCCCAAGAACCGTAACTACATGTATATTGTTTTCCTCTCGAACACTGTAAGTTCAGCCTTTGCACTATTTTTTATTTTGTCTTCTTTGCAGGCAACCTTGTCGGCGTTAACGGAGTAACCACAGCTATCAGGCCATCTTCAACATCAGCACCTGGCAGTGCAACAGCGTTAACACCAACGCGGTCAATGTCAATGTCTATGTCGGCGTCTCCAACTGCTGTAATGTCGTCATCTGTTGCTCCGTCGGCCACCGCATCTACACCTGTATCCACATCTGTTGTCCCCCCGACAAACACACCACCACCGAGTACAACCGGGGGCACGTCGGAGACAAGTTCTTCCACCATCCTCTTCTTTACAATAATCTTGGCATCTCTGTTTCTCATCGCCGTCGCAGCTATGTAGACGGGACGTCAACACGACGCCATCATTACGCCATTGTGGCGTGAACATGACGTGGTCATCTTTACGTGATAGTAATATTATTGTTACAATGTAAATACATCGATGATATAGACCCAGATGTTGGCTTGATACGAAACGTTTTGCAAACCATGTTTTTGCAAGGTTATTTATGCGGGTGATTTAAGTGATGTGATTATTGTATGTGTCAGTGGGTATGAAGATTGGCATGACACCAACAGGTCGACTAATCCGATGAACACTCTGGCACCCAAGCTGAACCCCAGAAACTAAGACACTCTGGCACCCAAGCTGAAGCCCAGAAACTAAGACACTCTGAGACTTTGATTACCTACATAAGGAAATTAAAAACACATTTTTATAAAAATAATTTTACTTATAATTTCAAAAGACATATAACATACTAATGAGTTTTCTTTCATGTGAGTGACTGAGTTGCGGTCAAGTAAATTAAGACATTACATGGCAACTGATTGTTCCAGAAACACAATTAAAGAACAGTCCATGGCTACACAGGTGTGTATGGTTTTGCATGTTAACCGATTGTTCCAGAAACACAATTAAAGAACATTCCATGGCTACACAGGTGTGTATGGTTTTGCACCAGAAATGGCTTCCAGACGTTGTACTATCCATTTGGGGAATCGAACCCTTGACGAGCGAACGCTTCATAATACCACAACACCTTGAGCAACACTAAGCCTCGTTCTGGCGGCACAGTCCATGTGCAGAGTTAGTCTGAATCCCAGAGTCGCACTGACTGAGTGAGCAATATTCCAGCAATATCATGGCGGGGGGCACCAGAAATGGGTTTCACACATTGTACCCATGTGGGGAATCGAACCCGGATCTTCGGCGTGTCGAGAGCACGCTTGAACCACTAGCCTACCCCACCCCTACTGAATCGACTGGAAATGATGATGTGGACCAAAAATAAAGATGTCAGTTATATTCAAAGCACTGCATGTACTAAAGGCTTTCCCTGTGTCCTATAACGCACGGAAGGGATTAGGAACGCAGATAACATAAACTGTATAAACCTACTTAGGCACTGAGAGCCAGTCAACCTCTTGGGGGTATGTTGAAATTATGACGTGTGACCGCTACCACACCGCAGGGGCAACACTACCTTTTATTTCCTAAACAAAATGCGTACTTGAAGAAAAACACGTAAACTTTTCATGATGTGCTTCTTCCACAATAAACATATCCCGTCAAATAAAATTCGCTCATTTTGAACCAATTCATTACAACGAACACTAATCAAATGTCCGATGACCGAACGTTGTGCATTGTTTTTAACGATGAGCATTACCGTGTGAGGTACTAATGATTACATTTTAATGTAACATTATGGTTACGTAATAATTTACGACATCAGTCAATGGACTATTGTGATCACAGATCTATATTTCTTACACTATGACAAGACTGTGATTTTGTCATTAGCTTTTACAAAAAACAACATTTATTGATATATAAAGATATAATTTGTGATACCACAAATCAACGTTTTGCTAAAGCGAACTCTTGGTATCGCTAAATGAAGTAGGCTAATCCTTGTTAAAAAAACAATACAAACTAAGTACTACCCCATACCTCGTATACTAGTATATACTTTAGAAATGTTGAAATCATGATGCAATATACCGTACGTGTCGTTATCCAGAGCTCCAGATAAGATTTAGCTCATGTGGGTACTGTACCCACTGTATTTTTTGGAGTGGGTATTATGAATGTTGAGTGGGTATTTCATTTTCCGTTACCCGCTGCTTTCAAATATGTGCTTATTTCAGTCATTTTACTCACTTTAGTATTAAGGTCATTGAGTAAGTTTACTAAGCAGGTATGTCCTGCCTTATGTCATACCTAATCAAAACCAACTTAAATATAATGGAAATGATTTCATAAAAAAATCACTCATCCTATACTGACAGTACAACACTTGTCCGAAACTAACAGTACAACTTGATAGCAATCGATATCTTTTTCATTACGCAAGCGATTTTCATAAATATATTCCGTACGCATTTGTTTTAAACTTTTTGCGTATCTAACATTTTACATGCGTAATTGGTACGCAACAATTATTTTTCAATGCGTAATTGGAAAATTTCTATGCGTATTTTACCCGGATACGCAGCTTATCTGGGCCTCTGGTTATCGTCACTTTCGACTGTACGGACATTGCGACCTGTGTGGTACTGATCGATAAGCGAATGTATTTCCTCTAAACACCATTTACATCCATGATAGTGTCATGTCAACCATTCAAACCTCGCAAGTAATGTTTCGATAGTATCACAAACGGAATTCCACCTTCCTGTGGCTACCTCAGAGCTCTTCAGAGGTGCACGCCTCACGTGACCTGTGACGTGACCCGGACTCCCCTTGCCAACAGAAAATGGCGTCCCTGGTTACACGGAAGCGGGTGACACGCCCCCGACTGTGGGTGTCGTTTGACAAGAAAAGAAATGATTATGCATCCGTGTCTGGTCAGTCCAGGTAATTTATTGCTTGAGGCAAGAATATGAACATTAGGTTCCGAACATCAGAAACAAGATATATCTTAAAACCTAGAGATCAGTCTATAAATATCTCTGTGTTGTTGATAATAAACAAACACAATTTGGCTTAACATTAGCACGAAGGAAGATACGAAATCTACTTTCTTAATTTCTTCTCTGTTTTATATAAACGATTGGCCAATGACATTCCATGTAGATGTCACATACATACATGGGGCAGTTTAATGTGTCTCTCATAATAATTCATTATTTACAGTTTTTCTGAAGTAGCTGAAAAATTGCTGAGTGCAAACAAAATCAATTGGCAGTCCACTGAGACAATGTATCCATGACACACAGAACACCACCTACACCAAGACTGGTCATTATAACTGAGCAGCTCTGTACAGATATGAAGTCCCCAGCGACCAATACTCATTGTGTAAGGCAATTTTTAGTTACTTTTATTGTTTGCTAACATTGCTCATAATATCAATCCCTGGCTTGTTTAGATTGATTTTTTCACAGATGAGGTACATATAGCTGTGATATTTCAGATCGTGGTGTTAGAAAACATTTACACAAGCTTCACTCTCATCATCTTTCCCTTCTTCATCTTGTTCCCATGGTATAAACAGGAAGTGCACTCATCAATTATTAGTGCTTACATTATGGCTGAAACACTATCACACTATCCTCGATAACTCCAGGGTATACGTTCCTATAAGCCTCCACTATACCCTGGACGCATCCACAAACTAGATTAGCAATACAGAACACAAAGTGTTTATGATGATCAGGTGGACTGGTAGTCCCTGGCTCTGTTCTCAGTGCTATGATGGTCCTAAGTCTATGTTTAAGCATGGTAGTTATAATGACCCTAGTGCTAACAGATTTCAGGATTCTGTTGAGCTGGGTGGCATCACTTAGGTTGGCCCGTAACATATGATCATGGGTTTAAGTTCCAGGTTCATTCTGATTATGTTTTTATGTTTCTCATAGCCAAAGTGGTAAAAACATTCGACACTGCATATACATATCTTCCTCCCAGCTGATATGCTGTGATGTAACTGAAATACTGCACCAAGCAGCATTAGTATCACTCACTCACTCACTGAATTGGAGTGATATCATTGTTAACAAGTAGGTCAAATTGTTTGCTGGTAATTATAAGCTGAAGAAACTGGATCACAAGAATATTTTCATGAGATTATGATACAAATCAATATCTGACCTTTTAGATCAATAGGGTTATCTATTAAAAATATCACAATTTTAAATTTATCTCATCAGGCAACTCCTTCTTCTATCACAGTCTGTTTGTATACAGTCTCCTGACGATGGAGTGATTATACAGGTGCACAGGCTGTTGTATCAGTACATCATTAATGATGTATTCAGGATGAACAGGGTCGACATCTGATCTGTTGGTAGAAACATGCAGGCTTAGGTCAGCTGTATAGATTGGTTGAATTATTGATGGAAGCTCAAGTGTGACTCTCCATGGAGAACACACACACACTTCCACACACTGATACATTGTTATAAAGGCGCAGTAGGTCGAGATGTTGAGGGATAACAGATTCAGGTAGGTTCAGCTGATACTGACATTGTTACTTCATGAGTAATGTGGTTTGTCTTTGAATTTCCTTTGGCTTACAGATGCTGGAGAACAGAATAATGGCTGCAGTGTTTGCCAGAGTGTTTTCTCATTACTTTGATGACTAATACCTATCCAGTAGTTGACATATCATATCATATCATATCATATGATATCATATCAGCAAGGATTAATCATGACCTGCACAATAGCATGGTCTTGTGTGGTTCACTGATATCAGGAACGTTAAATGGAATGAGGCTTTACTCTAAATTTTACATTCTGAGCTATTGCACTGAAACTTTCAAAGCAATGCAAAAATACATGTATCTGAAATTAGGAGCATGAAAGTGCTTTAGAAGATCCAATATTTGGATAAAAAAGCAGTTTTATCATTTTCCCATCAAGACCACTTAGTTTCTCCACAAAATGCTTTCTGATGAAAATTATATAAGTGCCATAGCACAACAGCCACAGTTCACAGTAGCTTCCAGCCTGTAATAATTTGACCAGTAATGTTTCCTCCTATTCTACCTGTCTGGTAATGTATCATGAAGGACTGGACATAGTATATGAAAGGAAAATAGACAACTTTGAACAGTCTTCTTAATCATCAAGACATGGATAAAATGTGCCATTAGTCTTCAGTCTTCACCCATGTTTGATGTGCCTATCAAAGACTTTTTCTTAATCACCCTTGGCTTGTCACCTATGACTTGAGATGGATCTATACTGTTTACAGTTTAACCCAAATCCTATATTTTGCCTTTTTTCTTTCTTTTGGTGTGTGCAGATAAAAGTGGTTCCAGTTGGTTGTGGAATCCATTAACCTGGTTGCCATGACGAAGAAGAACAAACAGAGTAAGTACCAGACCTCGAGCACTAGCAAAGTGCGGGTGCTTGAGGATCATCCGCTGAAACATGGTGGGGGGATCTGTCCTACCAATCTTAAGGAACAGAAGGAACGCTTTCTCAGACATGGCAAGACCCCGGACTTCCATCACACGGACAGTTCTGAGGCTGTCCAGGAACTGACCACCAAGTCAAAAGGCCAGATTCGGTTTGATCTTTTGTCAGAAGCAGAATATGTCCTGGAAACTGTGAGGAAGAAATTTGGCGGGGGAGAGAATTTTCTGGCTCAGGCTTATGGCAAAAGGTTAACGCGAATTGAAGCGTCTGAGATTGTCACATCTTACCTGGAGGAAAATCTTCTGAATGATGCCCTCACGCTGATCTGGTGTAACGACCTTCCATGCAGGTATGTAATATTTAAATATACCATGCCTTTTAATAAGTTGTCAGATGTATGGTATGTTACATTTAGGATTACACTTCCTCAGTAAAGTATATTGTAGTATTTTGGGGGAGATGAGTCCTCTCTGGGAATCGAAGGCACCTAACAACCATCGCACACGGTCAAAATCTAATCCACTCAGCCCCGCACGTCTCACAAAATGAAAGTCTCACAACTGGTAGTCTAAATCACTTAGTTTGTGTACCCATCTGACAACAGTAACATTGGCATAGTTCTCATGGTTGAAGCAGTGAGTACACAATGCCTATTGGAAAGTGGTAAAAAAATAATGTACAGTGAAACCTGTCTAAACCGGCGCCCCATGGGACCGAAATAAAATGCCGGTTCAGGGGTGGAAATACCTTTAAAATTGCTAGTGTACTCCGGAACAGTGGCACATGTAAAATCTCTTGCCCTGATAATTTTTCCACTATACCGTCCGTTTTCTTGTTGATTTTTTTAAATAAACAACATAATTAACATTGGAAAGTCAACTGGACACTGGTACAGTGTGATATACAAATTTGCTTGCCCGACAGAAAAAAACACTGGACTCGGATGTCAGGCAATGGGTTATTTCCACCCCTGCGGTTTAGACAGAGAAACAAGGCTGGCATTTACACTCGTCAATCTCTTTATTCCTGATTATCTAGCGTGCCCGAGCTCTGAGTGTATTGGATTAAGGGACCTTGATAGGACTGCTCATACTACTTCTTGATTATCTAGCGTGACAAGAGGATTAATTAGTGTATTGGATTATGGGTCCTTGATTGGACTGCTCATATCCATGCCGGTTTAGACAGGTGCCAGATTAGACAATGTTTTAATGATCATATCGTTGTAAAATGGTGTGACCAAAATTTTATGCCGGTTTTGACAGTGTGCCGGATTAGACTGGTGCCAGTGTTGGCAGGTTTCACTGTATTTTATATTTGGGATAGATTAACACTTAGCCTCTGAATATATACTCTCCCAAAAAAGAAATGCATCATGAAAATAGCAATGTCATGTAGCAATGAATTGATAAAACGTGATTCACTTTACAAAAGGTTTTGCTCTGTTTATGAGTCATATGGTGTTTATGTTTTGAAACATCACAACAAAACACACCATCCGTAAAATACCCGTATTTAACAGAATGATTTTCAATTTCGGCTTGTAGTGTCACAGAATACACAATTCACATGCAATGCACGTGAAAGTTGGGGATCAGATAGGCTCAGTGATGGGTATAAAAGGTTGATCGCTGTCTGTCGATTATTCACTGTATTTGGAACATTGTTGACAAACGCAAAATGCCACGTCTAAGTGAAGCCAACTGTCATATCGCCATTGGTTTGCTTGAAGCTGGCCAGTCTCAACGTGCAGTTGCCCGACGCATGAATGTTCACCAAAGCACCATTTCACGGTTCTGGGAGAGATATCGCCGGCAGAATGCGGTAGCAGATGCCCCTCGTAGTGGGTGACCTCGAGCGACCACTGCGGCGCAGGATCGCTACATCTGGGTACATCACCTGCGTCATCGAACAGCTACGGCAACCAGTACTGCTCGACAAATACCCGGATTAAGGAGGCTTTCTGCACAGACCATCAGGAACAGGTTGAGAGAGGCTGGTTTACGTGCCAGAAGACCTTATTTTGGCCCTGTGCTTCAACAACAACATCGTCGACATCGACTTCAATGGTGCACCAACGTTCAGGCCTGGAACCTACCGAATTGGCGTAGAATCTGGTTCAGTGATGAATCACGAATTCTATTGGAATGACGCGATGGAAGAATGCGGGTGTACAGACGTTGATGTGAACGGTTTGCCGACGCTTGCGTTCCCGAGGGGGACAGATTCGGCCGGGGCAGTGTTATGATGTGGGGGGCAATCACCTGCCATAGGAGAAGTGGTTTGGTGATGATACAGGGCAACCTGACAGCTCAACGGTACTGTGACAAAATCCTACGCCCACACCTCCTTCCAATCATTGATCGCCAGAGGGAGTTGTTTCAACAGGACAATGCCAGGCCCCACACAGCATGTCACACTGGAGACTTCCTCCAGAACCACAACATCAATGTGCTCCCCTGGCCCTCAAGATCACCGGACTTAAACCCGATTGAACATCTGTGGGATGCCCTGGACAGACAGGTGCGACGCCGTAACCCTCAGTCCCAGACACTTTAGCAACTTGCACAGGCACTACAGGCAGAGTGGGCTGCGATTGGGCAACACGAGATTCTGAGACTTATTCGTTTGATGCCGAGGTGATGCCGTGCAGTTTTGGATGCCCACGGTGGTCACACGAGGTATTGACTTCAGCGCCACCACACGTCTCCATGTGACACTCAAACTGACTTTCCTCAAGTTGGTGCCAAAGACGGATAAGTCTGCATTCCCAGTGTGCAATTTCACTATATTTCATTGACTCATAAAGCCTACTAGATGTTTCAAAATAAACATAAAAATACAGTTGAAATTCCTATATGCGTTTCTTTTTTGGGAGAGTATATATATATAATTTTGATAGTAATAAATTAATGCATTTAAATGAAAAGGAGCCCCTGAGTGAGATGGGAGATTCAGAACCTGACTAAATCTAGACTTGCTTCATTTAGCGCTTTAGCACTGCTAGGCAGTAGGGAAAATAATGTGGTTCAGGGACTGCGAGACAGACTATATTTGGGATTACACTTCCACAGTAAAGTACAGATTCTAGTACTGTTTTTGGTAGATTGGGACTTAACCCCCAGTATTATCAGGTAGATGATACAGTCTTAGCCGGGTTAATATGCCAACATTTTTCAGGAAGATTTGAGCATTATAACCAGAGTGGCATCATAACTAGCGAGGCCCTTCTAGTCAGTCGAAACCAAATCATACATGAATACATGTACTTTTATTGAAAATCATTTTTTGGTGAAGAGATCTTTGTTTATTTAACAAGAACACATATATGTAATATAAAGAATATATCATTTATATACTAGGCACATAAAGAAAATTTAAAATCTAAATTTATCAAACCTGTGTAGACACATAAGGATTTAAACTCAGAGATTAGTGACATGTATCCAACATGCATGCACGTGCCACGTTCCGTGACGTCAGTGGGTTCGTCCTTGAGACGTGCAATACGTTGTTGCACGTGCATTCCGGGAAAGAGAAACAGCAAATGAATGCCACACAATACTGTCACTTTGGAAAGCTCAACCCCTGCCCTTGCGATCGTTCAAAAAATTAAACGGCTATTGAAATGCATAGCATGCCAAGGCTCACGTCATGCCAAGGCCAATGCGGCCATTGGGATGGTCCGTGGGGGAATGTCTCAACGACAAGTGGCTGCACATTTTCGACTGCCACCGGAACACCATTTCTGCACTGGTGAGATGCTACCTGAACACAAATGACGTCATCGATCGGCCACGTTCTGGACGTCCACGTGTAACAACGCCAAGACAGGACAGATGGATAAGGGTAACCCATCTTCGCCACAGCTTTCAGACTGCAGTGATGACTGCCCGAACCACCACAGGACATCGCTGTATCCACCCCAACACAGTTCGACAACTGTTTACGTCATCACGGGATCAGACCACGACGTCCCGCCATACGGCCCATCCTGACACAACGTCATTGACAAGCTCGCCGAATGTGGTGCCGAAATCATGTCCGCAGACCCTTGTTTTGGTGGAGAAATGTTGTTTTTACAGATGAGTCCAGGTTTAACATTTCCCATAGTGATGGACGTCAACGTGCCTATAGATGCATGGGAGAACATTATGCACAGGCCTGTGTCTTGGAGAGGAATCGCTTTGGTGGTGGTTCCGTGATGATTTGGGGTGGAATAACAGCACGCCAAAGAACTCCTTTGGTGATTGTTCAGGGCAACTTAACTGGTGTGGGCTACAGGGATCAGATTCTTCGACCTGTGGCAATTCCTTTTTTCAACGTCATGGCCCTGGGTTAACACTCAGCAAATTTCCAACAGGACAATGCCCGCCCTCATACGGCAAGGGTTGCTATGGATTTCTTGCAACACCACAACGCTGACTTACTGCCTTGGCTTGCAAATTCACCGGATCTCTCCCCGATAGAGCATGTTTGGGACGAGATGGATCGACGTCTACGCCGTCTTCCTCATCCGCCAGATAACGTCCTTGATCTTGCAACAGAACTTGAGAGAATCTGGCGTGACATCCCACAAGCCTTCCTTGCACGTTTGATAGGCTCTATGCGTTGTCGATGCACTGCTGTTCTCAATGCCGATGGTGGATATTGAGCTTGTGACAAGGTCGTTTGACCCCTGTCCCGCTTGTGGACTTGTGACGTCATTGTGATTGACTTTTCAACTGAAATTCTCCCGACCTGTTATTATTTGTGCATTAGCAAGGGATTTTGTAGCACTCTGTGATACTGGCATGCATTAGGCTTCAAAGAATTCAAACAGTGGTGTTTGTTGGTGATAGGGAAGTAAGTATGTAATAACACCTGCACATGCTATAGGCTTCTGCAACACATAGAGAGCAGTGAGTTTCCTCTGTCAGTTTGAGTCATGCCAGTCATATGTAAAACATCAATGTAAAGTGAGTTTCCTTGATCCCCTCGAGTCAGGCTTATTATTTGTAAAAACATCACTAGTGAAAAAGGTCTCTAGGAGTAACTCTTAAACACCTTAAGGCAGGTTGTAATAACTCACTTAAGTTTACTTACTTAAAGAATAGTCATAACAGCAGTACTATGTTGTTATCAGTTCTCTACATATTTCTCCATTATGTTGTGGAGTAAAAGTGATCCACTTCATGGTACTGGATTTGCTGCATTACTTAGCTGCCAGCATCTCCTGTACTGTAATGACAATGTTCAAACATTCCTTCCACTTCAACCAAGTTCAAGTAGCCATGATGTATCTGAAATGCAGTTAATAACCACATTCCTTATGGAAACTTTCTAATGTTGACACACACACAAAATAACTACATCAGTCAGTGCCATGTTCAACAAAAATAAACATTAACTGACAATTTTAGGAGAATCAAATACAATTTTTTTCTGAATTATTTTGATTTATTCATCTCAGTCTTAATTGTATCCCATTTCTTCTTATTAAACAGCTGTGCACACAAGTTTTTCCTCAACTGTTATATAGACACTTGTGATCCCACGATGTTGATGTGTGTTACAGTGCCCGGATGGTATGGCAGGGTCCCCTGCTTAAGTGTAACCGCCCAGAAGCAAGGAAGTACTCACTGTGGCTCAATGGCTCTTTGGAGAACCCGTATGTTCGAGAACAAGGAATTTGCTGTCTCATGGACCATGAAGTCGGCACACATTTTGTATCCTTCATATAAAACTGATGATTTCACCTCACTATTTTGACAATGAGGTAACTATTGAACTGCATGTGTTGTCTCGTACTACAGCTGCTGTTGGAGACTATTGTTTGAGATACTGTATTGGTTTTATTATGTTGCTGCTGACCTGATCAGACATCAGTTAATACATGAGAGATAACAGCTCTGTGTAGGATAAAATTTCACTTAAAGGCATATTTATTTCTTTTTGTCTCAAATATATTTGTGCTCACGCACAATTACCAGATAATATGAAAGTGAAATTGAGAATATGCAATTTTCAAATATTTTATCTTTGTGAAGAACAAATATTTTAAGGATTATCAAGTTATCAGTTTTGCAGTTATAATGGCGGTCTCAAATTAAAACCAGAGGAAAAGAAATGTTGTTTTGGTGGATCCATCCATATCTCAACTACTTTGGGAAAATGTGTACAATATCACAGTTAACAGAAACTGAAATAATATTTTTTGACTTAGAGTTTGTCCAACTTTTCAGATCTTCAGGCACTGATTAAAGACTCACCATTTCAAGTTTGCCTTCTTGGACTAAACTGAATCTTTTCTTGTGTGTCTTGAGCATACATTGTATGAAGGCTATTAAGATTATTTTTGTAAAAACATCCTGCAGATGTGTGCTAAACCAGTTCTGTGACTATTTGCTTAACTGGTCAAGTTCCGGATGTACAATGATGGCCTTCAGCCTTGGTTCTCAGACAGGAAGAGGTTTGGTCTACGTGGGATGAGCTCATTTGAGGGCATGTGCACTGAAGAAGGTCTGGCTGCCATCCATACCGCACTGCGGGCCAACAGCAACTTCCTGTATCTGCCTGCTCTTGTGTACTGTGAGTCTTTATGCCACATGGATCATGTTGTTTTAATTTAAATGCATCCCCTTCCCCTAGTTAGAAAAAACCAAACTGTTTGTTCTTGCTTCGGTCTTGTCTGTCCATTCCTTTGGCTATATGTGTTCCTGCTGCAACCCACTTAGGATAAGCTACACTGTTGCTTGGTTACAGATACAGCATGCAAGTCAGCAGAGATGACCTTCAAGCAACTATTTGATCATCTTGGTCGCTACATTTCTAACCGTGAACAACGTTGGAAACATGTGATGCGTGTCAAGCGTGGCCTCTTGGACCCAAACGACCTGGGAGGATACGGGAAGGATCAATGTTACTTTGAAGGTAGGACACTGAACCAAGTTCAAGACAATCCAGGTCCAAAGTTACGTGTTGGAGGTGCGGAGCGCAGAAAATTTAAGATCATGAGTTGTATGTCTTCATGAATCTTTCTGTAAGTCAAGGTTGTTGAGAATTCAATAATGAAGTAAAATCAAGGTAATAAAAGTTGTATGTATTGTCCTTTTTAAAAGAAAATATATATGTAACTATTATTTTGTGTGAAGGTCCCCGCCATGGGTTGTGTTTGTGCATCATATGGTTTACTGCTTGAGGGCAACAGAATTGATGCTTGAGCTAACGTGTCCCAGACACAAACAATATGTTGTCTCTGCTTTTCCCCAGGTGCTGTGCGGATTCTGCGGAATGTCGATGCTATTGACTTCCACTTGCTGATGAGTGGTAAAATCTGTGTAGATGAAATCCCTCGCATTAAGAGAATTGCAAGAATGGACTGTGTAAGAATTCCTTGTTTCATGAAAAATGTAGACTTGTACAAACGCAAGCTGCGTCAAATGGCTGAACTGAATGGCCTTCACATCGAACACCCAAAGGTGACTCCTCCACTTGCCTACATCAAGCGTCTCAAACAGAGACAAAGCCGAGTTGGTGTTGCTGGATCCTCCAGTGGGACTAGGCGCAAGGTGAGGAAACGGTTTAAGAAGAAAAAGTCCTCTGGTAGATTGACTAACACTAAAAGGTATGAAGTTAAAATATTTTTACCCCCTGTAGGCAGTCAGACCGAAAAGGAAGAAAGCAAAAACCACATAAGTGGCAGCAACATGGAGTGCAATAGAACTAATATGTTAGATAGATGTGTTCCACATACAACAAAACTGTCAGGAATTGATCGGCAGTTGGAGATGTCTCCGTCCAGTCCAGCCGGATCTTCATGTGATAGTAGAGTTTCGTCTAGCCTGTCTGACACGCAGCTGTTGAGAGGGTTACCCCCCTTTCCTTATCGAGTACCCCTACCGCCTATCAACTCACCAAGACAAGATGAGGCAGACATACAGATTCAAAATGACAGGGATATAAACCAGCGAAGTGATACAGATGTACAAAGTCAAGATGGCACCAGGAAGCACCAGGAAGATGTTGATGAAGCAAGTGAGACGATCCAGCAAAAGACAGAGCCCAGTTCCTCAAAATCTGGGACATCAGAAAATCTTCAGTTCAACAGCTTATTGTTTCCAGATGTGTCCTTCGCCAATTCCACTGCCAACATCAACATTCGAGGTCTCCATATTGAGGATCACTTTGCCAACTCTTCTGATGGAGTGACATCCGATGATGATGATGGATCTGATGATGATGAGATATACTAACAACATTAGCATCATGTAAGAGGTTGCATGTGCAAGATGCCACTACACTACTTAATTCACTGCCTACTGTTTCATACGCACACCTTACATAGACAGGCTTGACAATCAGTATTTGCACACTAATCCTTAGTAACTTGACTCATTCCTGAGCAGTTTAAAGTGGGTAGGACACTGTTGATCCTTGGAAATTGATAATACATGTACAATATTAATAAATATATGAAATATATCAACTAATACCATGATACAGGTTTCATTTGGTGACATACTTGTCAAAATGACAGTTTCAATGGACAGAGATAATTTATATCTACAGTCATGATCATCATGCTTTTCAAAATTTGATCAATTATTGCCTTAAAGTCTGGCTTCAGATTTAGTCTTTAAGGCGCTCTGTTTTGGTATCAACACATGACTATTGTGAACACACACCCTTGTCCAATTTTTACTACGCAAGTACAAAATCTTCATTTACTCTGCCATATCTGGATGCCTACTGTAGGTCTTCAGAGTTCGGAATCGTTTAAATGGAGTCCTCCAAAAACTGTTTCAATGCATGCATAAAACGATCTCTTCATGTGTCCAATGAAGTATTATCGTTCCTAAAAGTGAAAGTTAAAAGGGTTCATGCAGTCAGAAAGAAATGCAAACATTAGAGACTAGTAGAGCTTGTTCAGCTTGACCTGATCAAGTGAATACTAGTACATAGCGTGACCATGTCACAACTGGTTTGGTCTATTATTGTGAAGGGGTGCACCTTTGTCATTTGATTGTCAACATGGTCGAAGACAAGGTCGCCGTTTGACATCTCTGTGTCCAAAAATCGTCAGCAATGTCCTAACTTTCTTTAAAAAAGAAGCTACAGATGGTTTAATGTTTCCGAATCCCGCTATAACGGATCCACGTGTGCATGTTTCGCACGAACATTCTCTGCTCCCCTATTTAATGAAGTTAACTCGACCAGCTGTTTGTGCCATTTGACCTCCCGGGTCATGCATATGTAGAGTAGCTCAGGTCAAGCTGAACAAGCTGCAGTGTAACCAGTTTTAATGCTATTGTCATTAAACAATATGTCACATGACTATCGATGGGTCTGGTTTGTCTTATTGGTACCCAGGTCCGACCTGCCTGAGTACCTGAGCTACCCATCCCAGCCCTAGTACATTTGACAGAAGACAGCACTGTTGACAGTTTAGTTTTTACTTAATCCTGATACTTAACATAAGTCTACTCTAACGAAACATGGAAATACACAAATCTAATAACTTCAAACTGTGCCTAAAGTCATCACTAACAATGTGATTGTGCATGAGGGTGCTGGTTATTTTACAGAGTGGTTGACTAAACTCCTGCTAATATATTTAGAGAAATTCAATTTTAAATGTCTTCAACCATGTTGATATACACAATAATAGGCTTTCTGTGTTCAGTAGACATGATGTAAAGCTCACGAAATACAAATGTAGTGTTTAAGTGACATTTATTCAACTCTTCATAGTTCAGCTAACCATCACCTGCAGTAAGGTCCTATTGTATGGAACTAGTCATTTGGTCCAGCGTGGGATGTGTCTGTGGGAATCAAGGGAAGGTCTCCAACAATTGTGACACGGAATTGTCCAGAATATTGATTGATTTGTTGTTTAATGCCGCACTCAGCAATATTCCAGCTATATGGCGGCAGGCAAAAGATTAATACTCATATTTGGAGGAGATATGAAGTGAGATAGGGAAGGTCATCCAAGTACATGTATATAACAAGCACTAGGAGCGAGAAGTGCTTAAAAAAACTTCCAACCCATCCACTGCTGTAATAAATGACTTGTTTCTACTTGAAACTTGAAAAATACCTCCATCTGCTCAGGAGCGACATCTCATTGTATTTTCTCCTGTTGCAGGTGTGTTTATGCTGGCCATTCAAGCTTCTGTGCAACTAGGGACAACAGTTAAGAGACTTTAAGAAGCATTTTATCAAAGATAATCCTCAGTGTATGGTCTCTGAGGAAAAGTACAACCAGTACTCAAAAAGGTCATGCACTGCATGACGTATGAGGAAAAGTTTTCAGTACTGGTGTTTGAATTTGTTCATGTTTGCATTTCAACATGAATTAGGCTCAAGATCTGAAAGAATATTTTGCTATCAGCAATCACAATTATATCTATATTTCATAAATGATTTTAAGGAAGATTTTGCCAGGAAAATGACACATGGGGTAATTTTTCTCTTTTTATACATTTATAAGTGTAATGTTTGTTTTTGACTAATTTATGTTATAGAAATGCCGAAGATGCCTCATAAGCAATAGGTTCTGTGCATTTCATGACACTAATCACATTTTATGTGAAATCAGTGTAATCAGTTGTCAGGACGACAGCTGCAGGACCCTGTACTCTGGCCTCAGTTTTACAGGGGCTAGGAGTTGGTGCTGACTTGTGGACATCTTCATTAGAGTGAATGCATCTGGTATGACAAAAATTGATGTATGTGTTTGGTGTGACTGACTTAATGTATGCTACTGTTTTCATACCATCACAGTGAACTAAGTCTGCATTTGAAAGCCAAAACTTTAGCCAATAGTCTTTTTTCATTGGTTAATTGTGCATGCATAGTGTTTACATTTTCATCTATTTAAATGCATGTATATTTGTTAAGTTTTTTATTCATCTTTTTCCTCCTATTCTGCAGCTGAATTATGTTTCAACATATGTGAGGTGTCTTTAACTAATTAAGTAACATTTTGACAAGCTGCAAAGTTACATGTGCTATGATCACACAATTCACACTCTCTTTTTCAACTGACAAACTGGTGGAGACAGACAGAACATGCACAATCTCTCCCAGATGTTTCTTATTACTTTCCGTTTCCTTGTAAGAATATGATAGTATACAGTATTTTTTGTTGACAATGTGATTGATTATCATTGATCACATTGATTAGGTATACACAAATTTTGTAGCTGTTCTGTGGCACAGGTTTAGTACCATTTCTATTACTTCCTTACATCAGATTACTCTTGTGCCCATGTAGTGTGGCATGCACTGCTTCTTCACCAATTATTAGGTATTGGTAGTATCTTAGACATTTGGTAAAGGGCATCAATGCCACACATTTCCAAAAGTTGATTTAAACTTCATAATATATGAAAAAGGAGGAGTTGTCCTTGTCCTTTTCCCAGGTATACTACTCAAACGAAGGACACCAGATTCATTCATATCACTAAAGTTAATGTGTCCTGGCATGCAGATGAACTAGTCATATGAAAAATCTCTCGTGAACTTCTTTGAGTACTAAATATGATGGTTGTGAAAGTTGAGGGTTTAGTGCCCAAATATGGACTATGTACTAGTTAACCCAAGTGGTGAGTGTGATGTAATGCTGGTCACCTGGGATCTCTTATAAACAAGGAGTTACAATTGATTTGGATTGTTTTTTAAATGTTTTATTTACAATGGTATTTTTTAAATCCCTTTTCATATTTGTTTGTTTGCATAGATCGTGTAATCAAGTGTGTATTTCAACTAACTGATTTATATTCTATTTCATCCAAAGCTATTTTATTGCTCAATAATTTCCACTGGTAAATGTGGAATTATGTAAACCAAAGACTCATGACAATACTTCGACCAAACATTGACAGACAAGACAGTATTACTATAAATGTGTATAATAATTAAGATAATTTTAAAGACAAAGAAATCAGCATGACAATTTTGATGGTCAAGGTGCTCATCTTACTTCCATACAATTATTGCTACATCTATCATATCTATCAGAGATCCATCAGAGTGAAACTCTGGAAACAGATCCTCCATAGATCCTATCTATCAGAAAATCTTCAGCTTCAGACAGTCAGTGTGAAGCCCATTTCTGGTGTCCCCCCACCGTGATGTTGCTGGAATATTGCTAAAAGCGGCGTCAGAACTCAGTCAGACAGTCAGGTCAAGCTGTCTCTATGCGGACAGAGAACTTTAAGCTCCACTGAATGATTTTCCTCTTCATCCAAGACTCAAGTGTTCCAAATTTTCTACTCCTAACTAAATACAGTGAAACCTGTCCAAACCGCACCTCACGGGACCGAAATAAAATACTCAGAGACGAGTGTATTGGAGATTAAGGGACCTTGATTGGACTGCTCATTCCCATACCGGCTTAGAGCATTTGATTCTCCGCACAATCACTACTTCCTGATTACCAAGAGGATAAATTAGTGTATTGGATTATGGATCCTTGATTGGACTGCTCATACTCATGCCAGTTTAGTGTTAATTACAGTTAAAATTGCTTGTTGGGACCAGAAAGTTGTGCAGGAATACGGAATAGACAGGTGCTGGATTAGACAATGTATTAATGATCATAATATCATTGTAAGATGGCGGGACCAATATTTGATGCTGGTTTTGACAGTGTGCCGGATTAGACAGGTGCCGGAGTTGGCAGGTTTCATTGTACTGCAATGTATCGCTTTGATGTGCATTATAAGTACACATTATTAAATGTATTTGCCAATTGACTAAATAAACTACCTCTTGCAGAGATATACATCTTCATTGAGGAAAATACTACCTGCTGACTAAGTGCCATACTTAACAGTTTGTGTTTACGGTTATGTTCCGATTCTTTATTAATTTTCATAAGTTTTTTAATTAGATGTTATTCATGTCATGTCTCAAAACATAAGATTCCTTTGTTTTTCAGAGTTATAGGTTGTTTGTGATGTATGTGTAATTACATATTGGTGCATTTCCTATTATGTTGTATTGTGATAAACAGTGTACTTTCATTGACGTGGAACAACCTGTGCCAAACTTGGAATTTACCCTTTTTTAGAAGAATAAATTTTTGTAATGAATTGGTGTTATAGCTTCTTATACTCAGCATTAGAAATGGGGTGTTGGTGTAGGTAGTATTTGTGGATGTATCTGGGTTCACAGCATAATACACTCACTCACTTGACCACATTCCAAGCTGTAATGTCTGCTGGTTATTGAGTTTGTCCATCATACAGAAAACATGTACATGTATATTGATCTTTCATGCTATGTCTCCATGCCTTAAGAAGAGTGTCTAATTACTCTCATCAGCATGGTGTCTGATCCTACTAAGGAAGGTTTGGATTTGTACTTGCAAACAGACTGATGAAACAGCTGATATCGTGTAGCACCAGTTCCCCACACATGGTCAAGTGGAGCAAACACTACAGCGACAGTGTTGTCATCACCCTGAAGCACTAACCAGCCTCACTGTAGAAGCAAGGAAGACATAGCAGCTGACACTTGATGCTGTGTCCAGATATGATCTGAACACATTCAGGGATATAATATGATTCAACCCTTCTAAATACATGTATCAAACTGCAGTTGTACACTGACACATATTCTGAAACAAATAAGTATTGTTTTGCATGTTAAACACTCAAACATACTCGCCACTTCAGGTGATGGAATGTCACTGGCCATAGACAGTAACTTACAGTATTGCTTAACGCAGAAGAGATGATCTGAATAACTACCTTATTAACTGTAACTGCCAACTAGTTGATGCATATAACTGAAGATGCATATAACTGAAGATAATTAACTTTATGGCTAAACAGGAAATTGTATGGTCAGTTATCAACACTTTACTTGTCGTGTCATAAAGGAATCATAACAAATTATTAGTGGTCACTCAAGACTTCAAAACGTCCTTCTATGTCTATAAACTTAATACATTTTACAAGTGTTGGCATTTGGTTCTGTGTACAGCTACCAGGTGACAAATATGGTGAGGTAAAGCAATGCTTTAAATGTGGAAAGTACTTGAGCAGCCTATTTAAGCAGAGTTTCTAGGGCTTCAGTCCTGGACGTAATTTAGCACACAAGGTGAATCCTTGGGCAAGTGACTTGGTTCAAAATATGCCAATATTATACCAGCAGTGAGTAGGTAGCGAATAGGAATATGTACTGTGCAACTAATTACATTATTACAAAACTAGGACTGAACATTTAGAAACACTTCCATTCACAAAAATACAAAAGAAACTTACACAACAAAATATGAACACCTTTACAATCTTTATGAAACACATTTGGCATCACTGCCTATACACATTGTGGGTGTACACAATATATAATCAACTTTCAACATCTTTATCAAGAACATGTCTTCAGATCACACATCTTTAATAATCTTTGCATAACACTCAATCTTTGGTGCATATTCTTTCCGAGGCAATATTATACGACAAAATAGAATATGAAATGCACACATGGCTGACACCTCGTACACCAGGCAACAAGGTCAGCAAACAACTAAACACACTTATATCGGGGCTAAAGTGTGTCGTCAGGGTTATTCTTGTCCGTGTGAACATCTGCTCTCACTGCATGTATGGCATAGTTGATGCTCGTGTCCTTCATCCAAGACCATCTCTTGGTCAGCGGATTGTACATCATGCCGTGAAGGAGACGGGTACTCATGTCATCTGCACATGGAATCGATTCATATCAGTTCACATAAGGATAACTTTTTAACAAATTTGATATCACATTTATGTGGTCAATACACCAGGTATCATAGCTTCCCTTTTATCTACATGCACATTTAAATTTTGTTGATATGGCATTTCATATACCACTCTAAAATGTAATAACCATCCAATACGTGACAGATAAATATAGTAATATGAAAGAAATGATTTGTTTGATTGGCATTTTAGAGGTTAGCCAGGAACAACAAAGGTAAGATAGTTCTATTATAATGTGACATTAGGGGGAAAATGAGAATTCAAACCCATATACAGTGGATACTAACAACAAAGGGACATAACCCTTCACAACATGCCAGTTTAAGACACTCTCCCACCTGTGCCCTAAGTGAGAAAAGGGTTTGAATTAAATGAGTCTGCTAGTACAAAACTTGGAAGGATGTGTGACATTAACTTAGTTTGTCTTCCTTTTGCCATTAGGCTGATAGCAACTCTGTAGCATATCAATTCTGAAGACATGTGAAAAGCTAAGCTCTGGGACACTTGACATAAGCGTCATGGGATTGGTGGCATGTGAGGGAGAGATTGATCTAATACTGGAGGAACGAAATTGTTAAAATGACCTTTGATGATATTTTCTGGATGGAATATTTTTGAGTGGCAAGAGAAACATTTTACAACTAAAGTCCAGGATGCAATTTTTCTCCATTCAGAACTACAAAGGGGACACAAATAAATTGTTCACAGACAAGCAAGTATCATTGCCAGTCACAATTTTGGCTGATGCAGCATATCCTCCAAAGCCATGGCCTATAACGGTATAATGGTGGTGGGATAACCTAGTGGTTAAGGTGTGAAGCCCATTTCTGGTGTCCCCCACTGTGATATTGATGGAATATTGGTGATATTCACCAAGAATCCCATTGTGGGTGCAACTGATGAAGAATATGAAGATGGCAAGAAATCTGTTTTGTGTGCATAGGAACGGAGAGACAATCTATCAAAATGCTTTACAACTGTTTGAACTTAGAATATCGGATAACATTAATGCCAGGGTTAGCATGGTTAGAACTAAACCTTCAACTATCAGTAGCTCACAAACAAAACAAGTAGTCCATTGATAATGAAATTAACTTTCATTGCTTTATTGTTGCTTATTCAACACCAGTCAACAAGAGTTTTTACTGCCATGACACCGAGTTCCCAGAGACTCTGAGGTCATCAATGAAAACTGTGTTTATCAAGGAAAATATCAGCTTGTAAAATATTATTGCTACTACATGTCATACACCATTTGAAAGGTCTCATCCTACCGTTTATAAATATGATAGTTATTTTTTATCATATTATTTAAATAAGAAAACTACATTTTAAAGTTAATTTTAAATGAAAATGCAAGCTTACACATTTATAATGTTCAGATAAACCACGATGGAAGAAACAAATGTTTGTAACATGACAATATATTCGCTTATCGTTTTCTTTTATATTTTCATTTTTACGTAATCGGAACATTATTATAAAAAGATTTCTCAAATAAAACGTATGGTCGTCTATTTCCCGATATCAATGGCTTCCCGCTCAGTGACGTGACACAACAGCGGGAAATACCTCTGTTTTCGAAGCTTCGTATGAATAACATGCAAGGCGTTTCGTTTGATGGCGAGTATCGTTCGAAGCACTGAACATCCACAACATCGCTGTACCTTTGGCAAGAGTATTTTCACGGTTGTAAGAAGCGATTTTAATGGATAAAGATTGGTTTCTAATGACGCTTTTGGGGGGGGCCACAGTCTGCTATAACTATGTTGATTGGTCAAAATCATACACATGATCTAAGGCAGCCGATCATATTACAGTAATGGATATCGTCGTCGTAAACGAAAACTTGGAGATTTAGACGAAAGTTTTGCGTTAAACATGTTATTCTGAACGTGTTACACAAAAAATCACCACTTATATGTATATTATGGAACTTAGTGGACGTATCGTGCTAGGTTATGACCTGTGACAAAAATGCTTCATGCATATATGTTAGCATTAAACATAATGTCCGAGCATTAAGTTCGAGGTGACGAAAGGCGAGATGTCACTTGACTGCACGATCGCACACAAAAATGGAAATAGTAACTTATAATATAGGTTTGACAACTTTTATGAATACTGTTGTTGATTGTACTCTTTAGTTTATTCAATTTTTTTAATGATTTCCTTGAAACATCGTTATTTTGCTCTTTGACAACTTTGATGTGGACCCACTGCCGAAGCATGTAATGAGATGCATTTGCATCAGATAGTTATACTCTATAGGGGCCAGTAGTAAATAACTGAATGTGTGGAAATGGATAACTAACACTGCTAAGTGTTATGAGGGGCATTTGGTGCGAGGCTTTAATTTATCAGATAGTTATGCTCAATCGGGGCCAGTTGTAATGAACAGAATGTGTGGAAACGGATATCTAAAATTGTCAGTTTTGCACGCTCTTTCCAAGATGTTTTGAATAAACTGAATCTATGTAGATCTTATCTTTGAGTTTCGCAACATTGGATTCACTAATCTGGTGGAGAGAGTTGAAAATGGATGATCTCAATTGCAGTATATGATGAATAATCACTGAAAAATACTAATAGTCCACCAGACTAGTGCAAGTTTGTTTCTATTCGCCTGACTAAATTTTTACTCGCCTTGGCCTTGCGGGCGAGCGTAAAGATCGAATCCTGAATGCAGATCTCAATAATCATGGGAAAATAATTTTGAAGTAGTTTTGTTCTTATGATCAGTTATTTCATCAGGGCTTATCTATGGTATCTGCATGATCTTGAGGAATTATTTGGAACTACTTATGTAAAACAGTAGATGTATTCACATGCCACCATAAGTAAATTTACCTATGTAAGTATAAATGCACACGTGAGTAAATGTGTCCATGTGAATTAAACTCACTCTGGGTCAGCATAAACTGCAGGTCCTGGGGGTCGATGAACTTGTTCCAGTCATGTGTCCCTGGAGACACCAACCTAAATAGCCTCTCGGCTGCCATCACGCCAGCCATGTAGGAGATGTATGTTTTATTCAGGGTTGTTATGAAAAGGGAGCCCCCGGGCTGAAACATTACGAATTTGTTAACAACAAAAATGCACTGGTGCCTTGTCAGTTTGCGATTCCAGCGATTCTACTTCACGAAAATGTCCACACAAATCACCAGCTTTGTCAATTTCTCTTTGAGGAGTCTGTAAAAGGTCAACAACTAATCTAGGTACCACATGCAGGAATTTACCTAGACCTGCTTTGAGCCAAAATATAGCTCTTAATTGGTAGGAAATGACAGGAAAATTTCCCAGTATGAAGTACATCCCCATTTCTCAGAATTTACGAAAATGAGAACAAAACAAAGTCTGTGTTTGAACAATATTATATCACAAATGTTTCCTAATTTGCCTGCCAAGGGGACATATTTGAGAATCTCAAGTAAATCTCTGAACATGCAACTGTTACCCACAACACAGCCTACCTTGACGAGTTTGCAGCAGGAGGAGAGAAATGCAGGGGCATCAGCAACATGTTCCACTACTTCGGAAGCTACAACAGCATCCATCTTGCCTTCCTCTGTACCAACTAGGTCTTCCACTGTTGCATGTATATACTTCACGTTTGGAGCTATGGACGGGTCATGCATGATGTGTGCCTGGGCTATTTTGATGTTTTCCTCAGATGCTTCCACACCTATGACAAAAGCCCCAAGTCTTGCCAGAGGCTGAATTAGATGGAAGAGTGTTTTATTTAGGGTATCACAAGATGTATCTATAACCACTTCTGAAAAGAGATGCCACAACCATTAAAAATAATCAACAGTAGTTTAATTAAATATTCCAATAGTGTTCTCAATGTGGCCCTTATTAGCTTGTACCTCTACCTTTATGTAACCAATACCAGGATATCAGCACCAATTCAGTCCCAGAGTAGAGTATGCTAATTATGCTAGGGTAAGTTGAAACCAACTTAATCAAAATAACAAAGTTTTACAACATAATTGATCCTAAACAACCTAAAAAATCACAATATTTTCATCAAAATATTTTGAGGATGGGTGAACAAATACTTATTGAAGGATAATCATCAAAGTAAGTAGTGTATCATGATACATGCTTATTACCATTGCTTCTAGCCTCACATACCGCTCCCACATCTATTTACCTCAGCAAGAATCCCCCCTCCACTGCCAACATCAACAATTGTGCAGCCAGCCAGTGGTTTTGCAGTGGGATGATCATTTCTCTTCATTAAAGCATCTCGTATGAGGGGCACTCTTAGTTCATTCATAGTGTGCAAGGCCTCGAACTCGCCACTTTCATCCCACCATAGCTGTGAAAGTGCAGAAAATTTCTCTACTTCCTCTTCATCAATGGTCGTTTGGGCCTTCACTCTGCGAGGCTTCTCTGTCTGGTGTTGATTCAATCTGAAGAAATACATACCATAATGTTTAGCATAAAATTCAACCACAGAATTTCTATTCCTGTTTTATCAGGCCTCCAAACTTAAACCAAGGACACATATTGATGTGAATACACTGAAAAATATACAGACATTGACTGAATGTAAAAAGCCAAAATATGTTTCATTTTTATCTTAATAAACAACTAAACGAATGTCTGTGAAATCTGGTATGTAATTTTAGGATCTATACAGATGAAAAACATCTCTTTGTCTTAACTTTGGGAAATGACACTCAGCAGTTTCAGTGGTAATTTCACTAAGTGAAGTCAAGATCAAAAGTTTATAGGCACTTCCATAATAGGCGATATTCTTTTTCAGTATGAAATGTAATACCTTATTCTGGTTAGAAGTAACCATACAGATGCACATAAGCTTGCATTAAAGTTTACTAGCCAGTTTCAAATTTCTCTAGCTTAAGATGTGACAGATTATTTTTGTCCTCATAAAGTTTACAATGGATACTGTCAGTATCTAAAGTTATCAAAGCAACAAAGTATACTGGCTGCTGCACAGTTATTGACGCATAACAGTTATCGCCAATACATCAGTACCACGCATGCAAAGTTCCTGTCAATTACAATTCCAGTATTTTTCCCCACGGTATTTAACAACAATAAAAGACAGCAAAAGAAAATCATTCACGGTAAGTAACAATTGAAAAAAATGAAAGATAATGCTATGAACCCTATAAAAAAAATTAAACTTATTTGGGGGGGATGTCACATAATCTATATAATAGAAAGTTCAAGTTCACAAAAGTCATTAATTGTTTCATTCCCTATTAATCTACAGTAAAAAAAATACTCAACTAGTCACACAATCATCGAGGTTACTTTATGATATGAATATATATTATTTCATGAATGACATGAGAAATTCTGAAATGGCGATAACTGTTACAGTTAGTTGTGAGATAAAATCTATTTATACTCCCATGATTCCCTTCCGCCGCGTTATATAAAAACACGATAGGCGGCAGTGAACGGGCTAGACACATCGGTGAATAGCTAATTAAGTATCTTAATTAATTCTGTTTCTTTAATTTAAAGAAAAAAGTAAGAGTAATTTTGTAAATACTGCTAAAATATGGTGGTAACTGTTCGGTAGCCAGTAAATATGATCAATGTTTTTTTCTACCCCATTAGTACAGTGGCAACCATCGCTGAAACAGATGGGATATCACTAAATTTGCTCCATTGGGATATCACTAAATTTGCTACATTGATTCAGTGAAGATATCAATTCAGTATTTTTTATATATTTGTTCTTTTCACGATGATCTACAATGGTGTAGATGTGTACAATAGGGTCCCTACAATAATACCCCTTGGAAGGACTAAAGTAATGCCGGAAATGCTTGGAAAATGCTTTTTGGCTTCCATATCAAAATGATGAATTTGACACAAGATAAAAGCACATATATGATACATGTACGACTCTACCTAGTTGGATATTAAAGCTCAAATGAAAAAATGCACTTGAGGGGTGACTTCACAGGAGGAAATTTTGACGTTTTAACAACAATCGTAAATATTCTAAGTACAAACTGTAGTTTTGAAATACAGACTATAATTATTCATATAGCCTCAACTAATTAAATTACATATATGATTGGAAAAAGTTTTTTTGAACATCTATATGTGAAAAAGATGGAACTCTTGCAGTAGTCATATTCAAAATACTTACATAAAAAAGTCTTAATTCAAATTGCATAGATAATCTTGTTCACCCATAGAAGTTTCACTTCATGTATGAGCACTGAACTGGCAACATGCGACTTGATATCTCTGCAGAACAAATAATTTCAAATTTATACCAGTATTTCATACTGGAGAAACAAAGGGGGGAAACCTCTCGTCAGCTATGGCAGGGTTTACTATAGAATGTGTAAAGCCCTTAATTTGACATATAGTCAGGTGTACAAAGTTGTAAACAAATCAATTACCTCAGGGGTCGTGTCAAAATCAAAGCCAGGTAGGAAACACAAACTGGATAGCTTTGATAAGGGTGTCATACGCCGTGCAGTTTATAAACTGTGTGAACGCAAAATCCCACCAACGTGTGCTAAAATACAAGATGAGATCAAAGATACAATAAATGTCTCGAAAACAACACTTATTGTAGCTCTGGTAGAAATGGTGTTCAGGTACACCAAAAAGGGGGATGACAGAGCTGTGTTTAGAGAAAGTACTCAATCCTGTCCATGCAATCAGCTTATCTCAGAACAGTTGAAGAATACTGCTATTTGGGGTTTCAAATTATATACCTTGATGAAACCTGGTGTAATAAAAATCACTCAACGGATCGGATGTGGCTTCCTTCAGATTGTTCTAATCAACCAGTGTTACCATCAGGCAAATGTAGACGCCTGATCATCTTGCATGCTGGTACCCGTAGCAAGGGACTGATTGGGGGTTATGACTGATGGTGATTACCATAGCGAAATGAATGGGCAGGTATTTTTGGATTGGTTCGAACATCAGCTTTTACTGCAGCTGGATGAACCAAGTGTTATCATCTTGGATAACGCCAGTTACCATAGCCTATGTGTCCCTGGTACCATCACATCCACCATGAGCAATCTCAATGCTCAGTTGCAGGATTTTCTCACTTCCTGTAACGTGCCTTACGGGCAATCAGAAACAAAGACCCAGCTCATGGAAAAAATCTGGCAGCACAAAAAGCCAATCCAGTACATCACTGACGAACTAGCTGCAAAACAAGGCCACATAGTTCTGCGTACACCAGTACGGCACTGTGAGCTCAATCCCATCGAGCTGATCTGGGGTAACTGTAAGAATTTTATTGCTTGCAATAATACCACATTCAAGCTTTCAGATGTTAAAGAGCTTGTGTATTCTTCTTTTGTGAGAATTACCCCAGAAGTGTGGCAAAAGGCTAAAGACCGTGTTCTCAAAATCGAGGACGAATACCGTCTGCGGGGCAGCGTTAACATCAGCCGAGTTGCACATGTTGTAATTCTGCTAGAGTCGTCGACCAGCAGTGATACCGACACTTGATATTTTGAGACATGTCCCCGACATGAGCTGCCTGTGCGTCACATGAACGCTGTCACCCTGTCTGCCTGCCAGGTGGGTCACAGTATAGTTTGTTTCTTAGACGTGTTTCTACCATGGAATGTTTCTAAGTTTTTCGATATTTTACAAGTAATCATTATGATTAGGGAATGGTACATCGTGATTACTCATATGCCATATTAGGTCGAGGTGGTGTGAATGATTATATATGATTTTTTATATCAACCATTATCAAATAATTGCCAAAAACTGATAAAGTATTTTCCATGCATTTCTGGCCTTACTTTTGTGACAGGGTGTTTAAGGTTAATCTTTCCCTAAATACTTATGGTAATGGGGAGATTCCTTTAAGACACATGGGCTAGTGTTTGGGGATAAAGCTATAAATACTTGTCGTATGGGGTTAGCTTAAGGCACCTCAGGACAAGGGTCGCCCCAACATTGGTCCAGAGTGAAAAATCTACTGATAAGAGAGAGGGAGAGAGCGTGAGAGTTTAAGACAAAGACAGTGTGGGTTTGAGAGCAGAGAGAGAGAGAAGCTAAACTGAGAGGATGCTCCATCACACAGAAAGTTATGGAATACAAAATGAACTGCATACTCTCTTGTGTGATATGTTGGTAGACCAACCCCACTTGACTTGGTCACACTTGACTTTTGAATATAAAATCAACTGACTTGAATAGTTTATTTGGGAACACGAGTCATCTTCCTGGACACAGTGGCTGATTCTGGAAACACACTGAGATTACAGATAACATTGTTCTGAACTAACTGAACATAAACCATATAGGAGGGTTTACCTAGCCAGGGACGTCGAAATACTTCTTATTGACACCGACCGGCTGCGTGCATGTGCTTGTCCGAAAAGCAAGGACTTGTTCTTTATGTAACGCTTATGTGAGTATTTGATTGTACCCAAAAATTTCTGACAAGCTTTACATAAAGACATGCCGATGTCTACACTCCAGATATTGATGCAAGCACATACACAGTCTCGGAAAATCTGAAATAACGACGACAGTCTTGCAGACGAAATTTACGGAAGTATACAAAAACCGGAAACATGTAATATAGTATTTTCCAGTATACCATTATCAGGCACTTTCAGTTTTTCCATGATTGCAGTTATTGGTTTTTAATGGAAGCATCATAATAACATACCTAAATAATACTGATATATAAACTGATAATGCCCTTCTAACAGCATGGATATTACTGCCATATATACCTTTTACCGTTTGATCTGTTGGTAACCGAATATGAGATGTAGCATGTAAAGTAGTATCTAGTAGGATTTATGGGAAAATTTCAGTGCGCGGACGCCATGTTACTGCAGTGCAAAACACACCATTGATACCGAAATTGTTTTCATAAAGACATCATCAATGCCGGGCAAACAACATTTGAGCATAGGTACACGGAGAATACTTAGCTTTTTCTTTTATTGTATGGTTGAATCAGACTAATTTGTGACTTCTTTTGCTGTGCATAATTGGAATATTGGCTACGTGTATACCCATGATTAGGTTACCAGCTTATACTATTTTAGCGCATAGGCAGATTAGCATGGCATATGCCGAAATTACATTAACATTACTTAATACCTCTTAAACTTTAGGGAATGACTCAAACATGTTCATATGCCAACGTTGCCCGTGATGTATACTTAAATTGGCGTGTTCAAAGTCACGTTGACGTTGATCTCACTTTGCGAGCTTGAAGCTAGCGAAACGTGTTTTAATATTTATCAACATGATTAACTTATGGCTTATCTTTTTACCCAACACCCTACCAAGTGAACCTTGGCTGCTATCACGGAAAGAGTTCTTCCGTTCCCCCAACTCTAAACCTAACCCTAAACCTAGCCCTAACTTAAATTTTGGACTTATAATCATTTTGTGAGTTCTCTAGTAATTATTGTGTTAAGTTTTGTTTATAATTCTAGAATATTTATACATATTATTTGGGATGGGGGAACGGGAGAAACTCTTACCGCTATCACAACTACTGGTACTTAACGCTTGTTTTGTTTCATCATCAATGCGTGTTTGTTTACTTTTATGTGCAAGGAGTTTACAGGTTTGTCTCAACTTGTGCTTTTTTTCATTCTTAAAAACATGTAGCTGACCCATACCTTTCTTCTCAACTAAACCAAAACAGAACTTGAAAAATATATGAGAGTTAAAATCTGCAGCAGAGGACAGAAATCTTTCTTTCTCGAATTGCGTTTTGATGTGAAGTCTCTATAATGTTTATCACATCCAAAATATCAGATTACAGAAGGAATCATAAATTCGTATTTAGTTACCATATAAAATGAATTTTTTTTGTTGCTACATTGCCTACCAAACACTACACAAGAAGAGTGGAAAGATTATGTCATACCAAAAGAAAAATTGGTACATTCTGTAACCATGCTTGGTGTTTGGCTTTAAAACGGGTTCAGACTAAAACGTCACCACAGCAAAACGGCACTTGGCCAAAACCGCACCCTTTGGACATAATGGAACCTCGACTAGGCGAAAACAGTTACAAATCTTATGGCGAAAACGGCACCAACTAAAATCTTATAGGGGAAACTAGTTCGTTATTAGATAATTGAATTGCAGAATATTTAAATGCGTCTACTCTGCCGACAATGATTGGAAAGGGCATCCCATAACCGATAATCGGATCGCAGAATGTTTAGATAGTAAATACATCTACCGTGCCGACAGTGATTGGAAAGGGCATCCCATAGCCGATAATCGGATTGCAGAATGTTTAGATAGTAAATACATCTACTGTGCCGACAGTGATTGGAAAGGGCACCCAATTTAGCGTGAAAACATCGCGAACTTTGATGTACATTTACTCAACTGAAATCGCCCGAATTCAGTGTCAAAATGAAACTGTATTCAAAACGCACAAATGTATCAATTACATATTCATCATTTATTTTTGTACTTTTTTTTATTTCTTAGTGGCCCCAGGTGGGCACCTGAGGTCCTCAAGAGTACCATATCATGTAGTGACAATGCCTTTTGAAATATTTCTATATCAAATCATTATTTATGTTATTTATTTGCAGATTTGGTCAGTGAAGACCCATCATGCCAATTCAATGCAATCCATTTATAGCCGGGCGGTGGGGTAGCCTAATGGTTAAAGCATTTGCTCGTCACGCCAAAGACCCGGGTTCGATTCCCCACATGGTCACAATGTGTGAAGTCCATTTGTGGTGTCCCCCGCCGTGATATTGCTGGAATATAGCTAAAAGCGGCGTAAAACCCAACTCACTCACTCACTCCATTTTAGCCCTACGTAAACAGAAAAACATGAAAATATCATACTTGATTTGGATGAAAGTGATGAGTTGAAATGCACTCCAGTCATGATATTGACTTCGTTAAAAAAAAGATTAGGGTCAGGGTGGGGTTAGGATAGGGTTGGTCGGAAACGGACATATACTGAACATCATTGAAAACGCACCACTTATAAAAGTTCAGATTATTAAAAGCAAGTGTAAGGAATTGATATTTTTTGAGTGGATAAAAACAGATGGACGACTGTCAAAAACAACAACACTGAAAAGACGCTCATTCATTGAAATGTTCCACAGTCAGAAAGGATCAAACACGTGGGGTCAAATCGAAAAGTCAATATCGCGTGAGACCGCCATTTGCATTGACACATGCAGTTCAACGTCTCCTCATTGAGTCAATAAGCCGTCGAATACAGTTCTTGAGGAAGGCATTCCACTTCTGCAGTAGTGCAGCCTCAAGTTCCAGGATGTTTCGCATCTGTTGTTGCCGTGAAAGACTTTGACCAATTTCGTCCCACAAGTGCTCCATGGGAGATACATCTGGCAACTGTGCTGGCTAATGAATAACCTGGATGTGTTGCAGGGCCAGATACTGCATGGAAAGTCTTGTTGTGTGTGCCCGTGCGTTGTCCTGTTGAAAAGTATGGACATCTTGGTGGTGATTGAAGACAGATTCGATGTGATTCTGAAGAATCTGCTCACGGTAATAAAGGGCATTAACTCTCCCTTGACAGACATGAAGGCAGTCCTGTGATTTTAATTTATTCCACCCCAGACCATGACACTCCCACCACCCAAAGGTCTGTCTGAACCACACACTCATCAGCATAACGCTCACCACGCGTCACGCCAAAACACGTGAATCGGCCGTCCAGCATTACGTAGATGAAGACGTGACTCGTCAGTGACTACCACACCATGCCATTGTTGTAACCTTTACTGAAAATGCCTGCTAGCCCATTGTATACGCTCATTACGGTGTCTGTCAGTCAGAATTGGTCAAACGTAAGGATGTCGAGCATGGAGCCCTGTAGCGTGTAGACGACGTCGCATGAAGTCAGCGATGATGACCCCCACGTCAACCTTGAACTAGTGCAGCAGTCCTGGCAGTCGGCAGTGTTCAATCACTGATATGGACAAGGTCAATATGGCGATCTTGATGGAACGTCGTAACACGTTTTGCCAAGGTCATTGAAGGTCAAGGGTACTGCCCGTGTACTGATGTCGTCTATGAAGCCTAATGATGGTGGAGTGGCCAAGTCCAAGGTGTCGAGCAATATCCCTGCTGCTGGTGCCAACCTGAATCATGCCTAGTGGACGTTCTCTTTCGTGAGGTGTTAACTTCGGCATCTCTGTCATCGTTTCACAGTCGTTAGTGAAGCAATGAGAATCGGTTCTCATATACCTGCTTTTAATGTCACAGTCAGTATGATTTCAGAATGAAATTCACGCTTTTTTCATGGCGTGGCTGCATGTTGATGCATTTTGGAATTAAGAGTCATACTGTGGACAGGAATTTTTTTCTGAAGCATTTTTTCAACTGGACATGCCCTTCGACTTCATGTTAGTTATATTCATTGATCATTGTCATGCTGAAATCCATTTTGAAGAAAATATGGAAAATTTTAGACTGGTGCGTTTTCAATGATGTTCAGTATATTTATTATTTTTAAGATTAGCAAATTGCAATCTTAATAACTATATCCTATTCATACAAAATTATACCAAATAATCTAGCAACAAAAACAATTTATTGGGTAGTAACATCAATCTTTCAAAATTTCAATTTTTTTGTTCCCCCTCATTTCTTAATAAGTGTACTACCCCGTCGCCGAAATACCTTAGTTGTGCATGCGACGTTAAATAAAGCAAATAACAACAACATTCATCACAATGTCTCCCCACTGTGTTGTATGCGATCGTGTTTGTGGTACTGGCCTTTCTGTATCACGTTACTGTGAGATTTGTCAAATTTCCCCTTTCGTATTTGTGCCTATGAGACACAGGTAGAATTACAGTTGTATAAAAACATGTGAAATGTTGATGGTGCTGCTGTTATTTTAATGTTGTTATTTTAATGAAATGAGTGAGTATGTTTTATATGTTGCTATAATCTTGCTAATGAAATGAAACATAAGTCAACGTCATACTTTGTTTTTTATATGTGGCTATAATCTTGCTAATGTTATAATATAATAAAATGAAATGAAACATAAGTCAACGTCAAACTTTGTTTTATTTATGGTGCCGTTTTAGCCCAGAAATCAATAGCTGTTTTCACCAATATGGTGCCGTTCTGCTGTGGTGCGGTTTTAGCTATTACCCGTTTAAAACTAGGACCAGTCACTGAGTCAGTTTGGAGTCTGTGTTGTCTTGGTGGTCAATCACTGGATTGTCTACCCCAGATTTGATTACTTGTACACTGCTGTCATCTAACTTGACCCGTGAAGATCTGGGTTAGAATTAGTTTTCAGCAACGCAAACTTGTAGTAAGAGGAGACTAACAGGATCGGGTGGTCAGACTCGCTGATTTGGTTGACACGTCATCGCATTCCCTATTGCATAGGTAGATACTCATGCTGTTGATCGGTTATTGCTGAGTGGGGCATTAAACAAACAGGTTCGGAATGCTAAAACCAGCATAAGTCCAAATTTGGTAATGCAGCCACATTCAGAAAGTGCAGTGCTATTGAACGTGTGAATGCCAACATAAAATCCATTTTACAACTCTTTAAGATATTGCATGATCACAAGAAAAGCATGCACCCAAGTTGCTTATTCCGTCTGTCAATGATAGAGATTGGTGCAGTCAGAAATTCCAAAGACTAAAGGAGATATGCCAGTTTTAATTTGATTTGGCAACTGTTTCTTCAAACATTATTTCAGATATTTATCATTGCTCATTGTTTTCAACAATACTCGAATAGGCTGTTGTCTGAGGCGCAGAAAATGTGTTGCGTAGAGTTGTGTCCCTTGGGTATGTCAGAACGCTAGGCTTGCATCTGGGATCTTCACCACTTCAGGTCCCCAGCCCCACCCCCACACATTTATGTAGATACGCTGTTATATAACTGGGTTAAATATGGTGATAACTCATTTATTCTTAATGTTTTTGTTGTCTCCTGTGATGTAATGTCAGTTTGAGGTCGTCTTTCAAGGTCCTTATAACTGAATCTGTGTGTCATTGCATTAGTAATTGAAGCAAGCAATTTTCTGTCTTGTGTGCATTAGTGGTGTTACGATTAATTGAAACAGTCAAAGATTGGTCGCAGTGACTTAACGTCCAAGCAATTGATCATGTTTTCTCATTATCGAACACAAACATTTTTGGAACACTTGTTTGCATTAACAGTATTTTTCACAAGGTTGGTTTTGTCTGTCATTAAATTTACATTCCATAAGCACGATGAGCTTGTTTCAAGTCATGATTAAATTTATCTGAAGACTCCAGGAAATTTATGTTCCTAACATATCCTTTAAAGATGTGAAATTTGCTCATGCATTTTGTGCAAAGAACTACATGTATTTTCATTTCTTGTGTGCATTAACAAACATAACAGGAAAATTTGATAAATGGCGCTGACCAATTATTTTCAATGATTGATCGGTTGTAATGAACCAATTATCAATTATGAGATTTTAACCAATTCTCAACAGTAGTGTGCATTGAATAACTGACATCTCCTCTAAGTCTAAATGCAATCTTTTTATTTCAGTGTGAGAAGTTTATTGTTCAAGATGTGGTCAAATCCTTGGCAGTCATCTTGGCCTCCATTACAACAAGCTAATTTTCAGAATGTTCCTCACGATCAAGGCAAGTTATTTCATTTTTATCTTCATCACAAAACGTAAACAGACCAGGTTTTTGTCTGTACTCTAAGTCATTGAAGCTTTGAATGTTGAAACATGGAATGATATAAAGAAATATACATGTTGCACATCATCATACAAGCACAATCAAATTGGTTATGCACTGTCCATACTAGTACTAAATAATTTACTAGTGATGTTCCGATGATCGAAAAATAATCAAAAATCGATCGAAAGAAGAATTAAAAATGATTATCGATTGTAAAAAACATATTTTCGATAAATCAGAATTTTGTTTTTGTATAGCACCCTTGAATGAAGTAAATTAACTATCAAATTTGACGAATATTCACGAACAAACATGCACTCAACAGCATAAAGCTATGCATATTGTAAAATTTTAACCTCTTTTATTGTTTAATGACAATTCCAGTGTCTTTCTTGCATGTGTGCATTTCATTGCATGACAGCATTAGTTCTAAAAAAAACACATTAATTAGAGAAAAAAATGTGGAAAACCCCCTTAAAATTGGTGATTACATTTAATATGTATATATTTCGATTATTATCGATAATCATTCACCACAATCCTCCGATAATCAATCGATAGTGGATTTGGTTTCCGATTCCCAACACTAGTCCATGCTGTGTGCTAGGAATTGCTTTCTCCTTGTTCGATATATGAGTGTTGTTTAACATGAACCAGGGATTGGGAAAGGCAGGGGCCATGGGCCATTTTGCACATTAGAATAAATATTGGCCCATTAAAATTTTGAAGTTTGCTATTGGTACAAGGGCATTGGCCCATTATAAATTCAGGAAATGGCTAATAATCATGAAAATGGCCCATTGTCAAAGTTCTCTATCCCAATCCCTGATGAACTAAGAAATAATGTATATGTTTCATGTTATTTTCAGTTGATTGGGCTGCCCTGGCCAAACAATGGATAGCTCAGCGAGAGGACCCCAGCCATGCGCCCACGCTACACGCAGCCCCTCCTCCACCGCCCCAACCTTCACAACCTTTCCCACCACAGCCATTTATGCATGGAGCACCAGCCCTGCCCCCACCACAGTCATTTCCAGAAGGAGTCAATCAGAATGACATGGATATATCTGATGAGGAAAATGGCTCTAATAGGGATTCAAGTAAGTAGTATTTGTGATAATGTACTGGAGTAAAAGGGCCTCATCATTACCAAGGATTTCAGACTGGTTCATTATGTAGAACAAATAATCCATCCAAGGTTCCAATGTCTATTGTCTCTAGCAAGTCACTCTTACCACTTACCATTGATCACATATGTGAACCAGTAATATGCCTTGCTGAAATATAACTTGATTTTACAGATTTTCGTGGAAACCAACATCAACAGCCCAATAATGGTAACCATAACCAGAGTGGATGGGGATGGAATGAAGATACTTGGGGACCTACACAGGGTGGATGGAGCATGGCAGGGGGAGACAAGGTATGTTATTTTGTTCTATGATGTCCTATTACAGTTGAAATAGGACTTGTTGACACATGTCATCAGTTCCCAATTGCGCAGATTGATGCTCATGCTGTTGATCACTGGATTGTCTGGTCCAGACTTGATTATTTACAGACCGCCGCCATATAGCTGGAATATTGCTGAGTGTGGCGTAAAATAATTCTAATAGTAATATAGTAAATGTTCCATTTGGTACTGTACTCTGACAATCATGATACATGGCCAGAAAAGACTGAATGAGTTTAACCTCCAAGCAACCATAAAGAATGAGTTTCCAGGGTATCCATCATGTCATCAATGGATTTCAGATTATTATTATTCACTCTTCCTTTGGTGAGTGGAATATCTGATAAATATGTTTGGATGTCATTGATCAACTAATACATAATTCAGCTACATTTTAATTGGAAACGTTGTCAATATAGTAAGTTGAATGTGTACTGAGGTCAGTCATTGTTACAGAATGTGGAAGGATTTGACTACAGTCATGGGGGATACCAAGAGAGCTTTGATTATAACCATGGCGGCGATCAATTTAATTTTTACAATCAGGTAAGATTGTATTCACTATTTGTCAGTGTGAAAACATTAATACCATAGTGCTATAGTTCAAAAATTGATCTTTACAAGAATAGTTTCTGAAACATATGAAAAGCATGAGATACAATATGCATGTTTCAATGCAGGGGGATATACAGTAAACTCCCAGGATCTCGAACCCCAAGGGACCATCAAGACAGGTTCGAGATATTGTGTGATTCGAGATTGAAATACATTGTATATATGCACATTGTGTACATAGTACTACATACATTGAACTTGTATACGACAACGTAGAAAACAAAAAATCTCTAGTTTCATTCTTTTCTTCTTTTCATAGTAATCCTCATAATCATCATACACAAGATACATAATTAAAAGCATAAATTATGTGTAAATAAAAACTGTATTCTAAAATTTTGTTACATGTACATGTACCTGTAATAAAAAGTACATCAGCGTACATCACTTCAGCAGCCATATTGATCACGTGACAGTGATAGTCATACAAAAAGCGGAATAATTCATATATGGAAAAATTCACTGATGGATTTCTGTTTCTTGGAATACCTAATCCGTATGTTTAGCAGTCCGTCTTTTTGATGTACCCACATACGGCGGATGAAGCTGGTTAACTGTTCACGTGTCATAGCCTCAAAGATGATTGTCAAAACAAAGTGGCAGTGACACGGTGAACTCAATTTAACTAATCCTCACGTTATTTAACCATGTAAGTGCAATTGTTTACACAACTAATTGTTTGTTGACAACGCATTGAACATGTCTGCAAAATGTTTGTTATGGTGAGTACAGTTCGAGATTGAGATACAAAATTTATATGATTTGGTGATCTTGGGACTAATTTTCTGGTTCAAGATATCGTGTGTATGTCAATCTCGAACTTCGAGATATAAATACAAAAATAATGATAAATATATAGGAAGAGGTTGGGACCGGAGATTAGGTTCGAGATATGTTGAAGCTTCGAGGATCAGGAGTTCGAGATCCAGGGAGTTTACTGTTGTTGATGCCTTGCCAGTCTGTCTATCCGTCCGCCCTTTGTTTCCGGAGCACAACTCGAAACCGTTCTTTATTTTTCAACAAAAATTGGTAGACTTATCAAACAGAACCTAAAGAGGGGCCTTTTGCTATTTACAGATTTTTGGTATTTATATTTTTTGAATAAAAAGATTGCGGCATGATTTACATGGAAACGATTTGGACTTAGGGCTGAAAAAAAACACGCGAAACTTCCGGGTGGTTTAAGTTGAACTTTTAAGTAACTGTCAGATGATTTTTTCTTTCTAATATGTGGGGACCGGGGGGATTTGTCATCTTCTGATGACTCTTGTTTGGTATATGTGGTATTGTGAAAACATTTGCTTTATCCTGACTCACACTTGTTGGTTATGACCGCCTCCGTGGTGTAGTGGTTAGAGCGTCTTCCCGGAGAGTGGAAGGTCGCGGGTACGATCCCCGACCGCGTCATACCAAAAGACGTTAAAATATGGAACTTGTTGGTCCCTGCCTGGCGCTCGGTATTAATGGTTACAACAAGGACTGGTCGGCTCGGAGTCAGTATAATGTGTCTGAGTGGGGTATTCATGCTTCACTGCGGCATGGTATCTCGGTGGGCTAGCACTATAAAACCAGCTTCAGTCTGGACTAGTACAAGCATCCGCATCTTACACATCCCTCGCTCAAGCAGTACCTCCGGTTTCTTTTACGACGGGATGTATTACTCACACCAGGGTGTCCCTTCGCATATCGACCGCCCTAAGGGTGTTCACTCAAGCTCATGTTAGTCCCAGCAACCCTAGCTCAGCTTCGCAAGGAAGCATACCCTTACCTAGACTCGACTGGTTGTTCGGAGCATCTAACGACAGCCAGCGAAGCTCTAAGATGCTACTTCCACACAGTGATAGACATTCTAACTCGACTGGGGTGGATCATCAACTCAAGAAATCCACCTGGTACCCCGACTCCAGGACTGGCTTTTCTTTGGCCAGCGACTCCAAACGAACAAGGATCTCGCTTCCTTTGTCGCCTCACACTCACAGAGTTCGGTATTATTCACACGCATGCACGTCGTCATATGAGCGAAATATTCTCAAGCACGACGTTAAAACCCAATTTCACCTCACCTCACTTGTTGCTTATCTCCCCTTTCTGTCGAGGTGCATTGGCACCTCTGTCCTATGTTCCCAAGTACAGTTGAAAAATAGCTCACCCCAAATGTGCCTCTCCCACACCTGCACACCAGCGACCCATGTGACTGCTGGTAGCTTGTCACTCTCTCCATACCTTATTTGTTCTCGTTGTTTGGTATATGTGGTATTAATGAAAAACTTATTTACTATAAACAGCCACCAAATGTACCTTCCCAGGGAGGTTTCAATGATTACTGGGCAACTCCAACTGAGCATTCTGGAAATAACCGATCCTACCAGCGCAGAGATCGTTTCCACTCGCCACATCCAGATGTTGAAGAGGAAACTGGCATTGGTAATTGCAGCTTGAAAGACCAATAAATAATAAGACTTATTATGTCAGTATGTGCATGTCCATACCTCTATATTGTTTAGTCAAGTGACTAACCTATATTGAACTATTCAGAATGTGTCAAGAATGGACATTTTTTGTTAAGAAAAAGTTAATTTGTCTTGAATGTTTATTTGTTCTTAATTATTGGTGTGATAAATGGATCTGTGTTTAGATGCAATGAAGCGCAAATCCTTGCCGGCATGGATTCGTGAAGGTCTAGAAAAGATGGAGAGAGAGAAGCAGAAGAAGATGGATAAAGAGAAGAAGGCCCAAGAGATGGCAGTTGCTCAAAAGGAGAAAGAGGATGCTGAAAAAGAAGCAGCAGAGGAAGTCATGCGAGAGAGTGGGGGACAACCTGTTGTTCCAAAGAAGAGTAGATTTGTACGTTTACCAGTTTGTTTATTCAGAAAGGCTGATCAGGTGATTGTGTCACATTGCGTGCATCATGTGTGCTGTTTAGTTATCAGTTCTTTTTGTGTTATTGAGGACCCAGCTTATAGTCTAATGCAGGGAACTTAATTGGCTCAGTTGTGTCCTACAGCTGTAATATGATTTGCAGGGTTTGGGTTTTATCCCAAATATGTTATGATGACTGTCCTAGATATGACAGATTGTTTCAATATGCAATACTTTGGTTTTCCTTTGACATTAACCTAACATGCTGACTTACAATTCAAAGTGGTGTGAAAAGAAACTGACTCTCACTTACGAATCATGATTGTCATATATTTCAAAATTACTAGGACTCAGATGATGAAGAAGAGGATGAAAAAAGACCAAGTCGACTTTCAGCTTCCCCATCGCCAAAGAGATCTCCAGCACAGAAGGAGCGCACTCCTTCACCTGAAGAAGAGAAGACAGAGGAGGAGAAAAAAATGGAATTGGTAAGTAGAATTTGTTGGATGGGTAACATATGGGAGACAATCTAGGTTACCATGGCATAAAGAATGTAGTTATTCTCTCACTTTCAAGTTGCATAGTTTTCAGATTGTAGGTATTTGTTAGTGTTGTGGATACAATGACATTTAGATATTGGACATAGCAGTGACAATATTTTTCTGTGTTGTTATTTTTTTCTGTGTTTTAGATACTGAAGGTGAAGAAATGGATGACGGAGATATTGCTTGAAGTGACATCACAGGAGACAGAATCAGTTGCAAAAGAAGTGTTTTACAAAGCTAGGAATAATGCAGCTAAAGGTATCTTATCTTTAGCACAAAGTGTTTGTATGAGTAGTAACCAGCACAAACAACCTTATTACTTTCTATGCTTGGTTCATTTGCCAGGGACATTTTATCACAGACATTTCATGCGGAAAGAAATCTTGTCTGTCCATAAAAATGTTTTCATAATGGCTCATAATAGTTATTCCTTGTTTGCTGTCAATTTGAACAAAGTCATTTTACCATTTCAAATATTCATATCTTTATGTAAATTGTGTTATGAATTGTATTGTTATATCTTTATTAAGAAAAAAAAAAGATTTTCTTGGACTATCATGAAGGAAACTACTACTTGTGCTTTGTATTTTCCAATAAATTCCTGATTTATATATCTTCTTCATACCGTTTTGTATGGGAACCTTTTGGATAGAAATGGCCTGGCTATTAGTAGTCAACCGGACACAAATTGTGATTAAACTTCATTGTATGTAAATCCAGTTGAAGTTTGCATCACCTTTTGGGAGTACAGGTAGATTAGCACCATTTGGTAGAACAAATTTTTGGCCTCCGTTTTATGAAAGGTTTATGTAATCAATGCAAGTCCTTTGTCTTTTACCCAAATTTCAGGATTTCACCTTAGAACTATTACATAAGTGTGATAAGAAACATGATTTAGGCAATTTTGATTTTAGAATTGCTTCTGCTTCAAATTGATGCTGAATATAATCATCCAGCACTTCATTTCTGAAGTATGGAAACATACATATTTCTATATTGACAAAACCAAGTAAATGTATTTGAAGAGTATATGATTAACAAGAACTCCATACAAGGGTAAGAAGGTAAATGCATTGTATTTTCAATGTTATGTTTGACACATGAGCAATTTTACTGCCTAGCTTCTCTTGCAGTCTTGTTGGCCTGGAAGTTCAAGGTCAGGAAGAGCAGATAACTTTGCAATTGTCTGCCAACTCCAAGTGTTTCTTACTTCACTAATCATGTTGTATAATTTATCAAAGCTCCGGCAAAGCAGCTAGCCAAGTCCTCTGCTTTGGCCTCTATTTCTGCACTTGGTAAGTATTTATATTTCTTTGCTTCATGGTTGCCATGCATTAACCATCCTAGGAATGTCAAGGATCAGCAGTCCATACTTGTCCATAGCAGTTCCTTTGCTTAACAAATACCGGAAATACTTCCTCCACTGTCCCTAGTTGGGGACAGTTTATAGCTTTGATACCGAATATATTCATGGGTATTGAGGACTGTATGAGCTTGAGATTGCCCAAAACAAGGTACTACAAGTACCTTGTTACATGGCGGTCCAGATTTTTGCTGAATTCCCACACTAAACTGCAGTTGGCCACTTCCCATACTGGTAGAGTAGAACATGTTACATTTGTCTGTTTTATATGATAAATTCCTCAAAGTGTGCTAATCTATTACAATAGTAGGGTGTCATCATCATTAAGTTTTCTTGGCTTGTTGAACTCTTTTAGCTGAGTTTGTTAATCTAATGTCTCATTGGTTAATTAAATTGACAATTTTATCCTAGGAAAGCAGACATTAGACAGTAAATGAAATAAGTAATTTCAACTATATTCTGAAGTGTGGTTAACAGGGAGAGGCAGGACACTGTATCATTATGATAGCCTAGCATTCATTTACAGTTAGAATTTTGGAGTCCTATTGTTAGTTGCAATAGCTGTTGCGTGTTGTATGTTTTACCGCACAACCAATACCTCCCTTCTGTGTTACCCAATGTTAAGACTAATCTTGTGTGATTATTAACATGTGTGAGATTGTTTCAGGTCTTGGTTATGGGTCAGGCAGTGAGAACGAGGAAGAAAACAACTCTGAGGACTCTGATGAGGACCTGGAGGCTAGGATTCGTCGTAAGAAGGAGCAGTTTGCTAAACAGCACAGCAACATCTTTACTGAGGATGAGGATGAAGAAGAGGAGGACGATGTCAAAGAGCATAGCAGAAGTAAGTAGGCTTCGAAGTTGCTTACATTTCCTTTCCTGAGTTGAGGAAAATTGCACATGCTTTGACTTTGTAACCTTTTTAACTTTAAAAGGAATTTTACATTCAGCAATATTCTAAAGAATATTCATTCCCAGAGAACAAGGTGGAAAAGTTTTCTTTATTCAAAATACATGTATGTATTGTGTTTATTTCCATTTCAGATAAAATGAAGAAAGAAGATCTTGATACTCCTGAATTTCTTAAAAATCCCATATCGGAAAAACACTTGTATCCGTTCCAGACCAAATATGAAGCCATTCCTGGGTTAGATGTAAGGAATAGTGATGCAGAGGGGGAGCCTAGTGTTCAACATAAGCAGGAGAGAAAGAGCAAGGTTAAAGGTGCCAAATTAAAAGAGGCTGGTCTTAGCAATCAGGATAAATCTAAAAAGATCAAGCATGAAAGTGATAGTGCGAGTACCAGTGAGGACTCTTCAAGTGACTCTTCTAGTAGTTCAGACTCTAGCAGTGGTTCAGAATCCTCGTCAGAAACATCTTCTGAGGATTCTAAAATGAAAAAGTCGAGGTCACATGGAGGGAAAAATAATAAAAGGTCTCAGAAAACCAGTACTAGGGATTCCAAAGACTCAAAACTTGAGAAAAGTAGAACAAAAGAGAAATCCAGCAAAAGTAAGCATAAAGATTATGACAAACACAAACGAGAATATAGTGAAGATCGTGACAACGAAATTGAGAGCTATAGAGGGAATAGAAGCAGGAGCAGGGGGAGGGGGTATAGTGAGGATAGGGATTCTAAGGAGCGGGGACGAGACAGACGGAGTGATAGTAGAGACAGGTATAGGAGTCGTAGCAGGGATAGGGAGCGTTACAGGAGTAGGTCCAAAGAACGAAGTAGAAGACGAGACAGAAGCCGAGATCGTGACAGAAAAGAAAAACGAAGGGATCGCTCTCGGGATAAGTATGAGGACTACAAGTATGAAAAATCACGTAGGAGTACAGATGATAGTCATAAATTGAAATCGAAGAAGCGGAGGAGATCTAGGTCTGTCTCATCAGAGAGTGACCATGACAGTCGGCGGCGAGACAGTCGTGATAGTCGCAGGTCTCACAAAGACAGGCATGGTGATGAGTATGAGCGTGGTGGTAAGAGGTCCAGTCGCAAACACAAGAATAGATCCATTTCAAGGTGGGGATTGTTTTTGTCACTTTCATGCTTTCATACACATTTTCACTCTTTCAGATTTTCCCATTCTGTTTCTTTCTTTGAAAATGTTGTCACTTGTCACAGTTCTATGTTAAATGTTTTCAACAGAGTTGTCATGTTTATTTGTAATACGACAATTTATGTAAACACCCTGAATGATCTATTAGCATACCATTACCTATTAGCATACCATTACCTGCAGACATACATAAATCTGCCTAAAAATAATATGCCACATTCAGGGCTTTGCAGGGATTGTCTTTCCTCATTTTGGACATTGGTAACTGGTAGGTCATTTAGGGCATGTATAGTCCGTAGTGTAACCTGACTGTCGTGTTGTGTTGCAGGTCACCATCGCCAAGGCGAAGATGAACACTTCCTCACACACACTTGTGTATTTCCTTCAATACATGCTGCTCAGTTTGGCTGCTTCAAGCAATCAGGACTTGTGATGTATATGAAATTTTTATATTTGTAATATTGATTCACAGAAATTAAATTCATCAATGATATGAATGACTTGTTGATTTTTAGCTGAAATGTTCAGTCAACTCAGTATGTAAGGAATTGACGTACTTTACTCTTGTCCCAAATGTGGGTTTTCAATTTAAAAAATAACTGTCCTTTTTCATTACATGTAGAGTCGACTGAATTTATTCCTTTGTTAGTATTATCTTTTTTAGTTTGTATAAGTATTTGGACTGGATTTTTACTTGAAAAGAAACCTCTTCCAGGTTTAAGTGGATATATTGATAGACCGTAAGTTGCTGATTCAGTCCCAGACCACATCTACCTAAAGATGTTAAGTCATAAATACTCATCCAGCTTGGTACATTTGTGGAAGAAATGAGAAAAACGTGTCATGAGAGTGTGGAGTGTAAAATGACTGACTGAGCTGTAGTTTGATATGCAAAGGTGTCGTTGCAGTGTAAGGGTCAGGTCAGACGAGTGTAAGATGTGACATCCTTGGACTTCCATGCTGTGGCCCTTTTTCAACATGAACACCTGCATTTAAATGATTCAAGTAAAAGAAGTGACTTAAACTTCTGGCGGTTATGTGGAAATAAATGCGAGGTCTTTTAATGATGGGCTTGAACATGTACTGTCTCAAATACTTCATGACCCATGCGTTTATGTGGATAATGCCAGTTATCTAAACCCAAGATATAGCTAAAAAAATAAATGACCAGACAACACAATACCCAGTACAATACAGGACTGACATGGTATGTGATATAGCATTCCTACTGTAAGCATCTCTTGAAGACAAAGGATTAGTTATCTGCAACCATGCATTATACAAGCTGACTGCTTCCTTTCTTTCAGTTATCTCTGAAGTAGGGCAAGGTTGAAGGTCATATCCTTAGAATAGATATAAGCTAGCAATGTGGTTGTACCAGTTATCATTCCACTACAGTCCATTTGATTTCATTTGAGACCGATGAATTGCTCACTAACACAAAATCTAATAATTGCAAAAGAGCCAAATTTTGCAGTCACATGAAATCGACAGACCAACTCTGATGATTTGTCTCATAATTGTAGACCCCCCGAATAAAAAAGTTGTTTAACAAACGATCATTATTTTGTTGTGACTTTTCACTATTTTTTACGAGGGAGGACCACTTGCTGGTAGAGCAGCCAGGTAATCAACAAGTGTGTGTAGTGAAATTTCAAAGGGGCACCTCGCACACCTGACTGTTCTACCAGCAAGCGGCACTCCCTCGTAAGAAATAGCGAAAAGTCACAACAAAATAATGATGGTTTCTTAAACAACTTTTTTATTCGGGTGTCCAAAGTTATGAGACAAATCATCAGAGTTGGTCTGTCGATTTCACGTGACTGTGCAAAGTTTGATCTTGTTGCATTTATCAGATTTTGTGTTAGTGACCAATTCATCGGTCTCAAATGAAATCAAAAGGACTTTAGATAAGATTGACTCCAGTGGTGATGACCCTCCCAGTTTTGCGGAAGTGATAGTGAAACAATACAACTGGGAATAATACTAACTCTGAACAGTCAGCTTGATATGGGAGCCTGAAACAACAATGTCCAGAATCCGATTTTTAAGGCCAGGCCTAACAGATCAAGAGCCAAAAATTGTGAGCAGTGCTCACTAATATCCCTGACCAGGACACCGAACTTCAGCTGTACAATTATAATGATTATTCTATACAAAAACACAAGATCTGGATATCAAACTTTGCACTGCACCTTTCCTATACATGTAGAATCATTACCTAAGTCTGAAACATTTGGTTGAAAAAATTTGATGTGGGACTTTTTCCATGTCTTCAAGAAATGTTATTTGTGAGGATTCATAAAAATTCATAAAAATATAACTTTGCACTGCATTTCTCCTTCAGATCATTTGAAACAATCCATTCAAATCTGTATAAGTTATTGGTTGACAAAAATTCCCGGATTTTTTTTTGCCAAGTTAAAAATATAAATTTAGAAAATTTAGAAAATCAGAACTTTACATTGCACCTCTTCTTCAGACACAAAAGTGGTCCCTCAATTTGAAAACAATTGAACCAATAGTTTTCAAGATTTTGGTGGATCAAAAATGTCTTTGGATGGAATCCCTTGGTATAACAATATACCGAACCTAAAAAGGTCAGGCGTATAAAACCTAGGGGTGATCTGCACATGGCATGGCCAGGGAAAAGAGCATTTGACATGAATAACACAAAACACAAGTACTCTTAAAATGTTTATTTTATAATAATGTCCTGCATAAATGCTTAAATGTACTTGCAGGTATTATGTGACCAGCCATTTTACACGGCTAAATAGTACATTAAGTAAGTAAGTAAATATGTGTATGTAGATATCTTATGATGAATACAGATATATTTCTATAGTGTGAAATTCCTAATTGTAGTCATTCCTACAAGATTCTTGAGCTAAATGGAATGTGTGACAAATTTGGAGCTGGAAAATGACCCTGCAATTGTGTTAGCAACCGTTCATAAGTTATGGCTTGGTGGTGGTTTACCCATTTTGTTCTGATGAGCTAGGGGGGGGTCACCAATTTTAAATATTATAAAAGAATGCTTACACATGGGGGTGTTCATTATTGATTTTGTACATGACATTGGGTGGTGTCGCTTGCTTTGTACATACATTTGGGGGTGGGGGGTGGTGTGTCATTCACACCGTACATGCTTACCTATAAATATCATCATAACCCCCCTAGCCATAAATTATGAACGGTCCCTCACAATGCAGCATCAAAGAACATTACTTCCAGCACTGAAACCAACCAGTTGTTCCTGCTGAAAATTCATCTGCTAAATGTGCATTCAACCTCCTGTATTTTCAGCAATGCACATCTCTAAGATAAAGCACTGATGGACAGAAATAATAGAACAGCTGATCAAGGGTTTGAGTTAATATGACATTCTTCATCCCCTGGAGAAATCCAAATCTAACTGGGTAATGAATGGCTTGACGTTCACGCCAGCAAATGCTCACCTGCGATTTTTATGTTATTTTGCTTAATTCTTTCCATCAGTACATTTCTGAAGAGCAGACATAAACAGCAGTGGTACAATATTTCAATTCATCACTGTACATCATTACCCACACCAATTGGAGGCAAGTATTCATATAATGAATCAACTTACACACTGACTGACATGGAATTAAGGCTGCAACAATTTAGCATTCTGCAAGAAATAAACCTGTTTCTGGAAAGACTTGAAAAAAATTCTCTTAAAAGCAGAGAAAAACCATAGTCAAGACCTTGTTGGGGCAGAAACTGGGTACAGCAACATTTATACAAAGTACATTACTCTATAATAATTGCCAGTTTAAACTTTTCCAGTTGTAACACTACTTTTTGATTTACAGTTTCCTGTATACCATGCATAAAATATGATGCTTGAAATTCTTGTAAAATTCTTGTCTCACTTGTAGCTAGAGTAAGACTTTTTATTGCTGGTCTGTGAACACCTTGCACTTGCATCACCCCCACTAGTTCTTCATTGCATAGAAGATGCACACATTCATGAGACTTGCCCTTGGCATAAATATCACTACATGTCAATTTAACTATTTTCTTAAATTTAAGGCAACTAATTAAATTTTAAAATGTCCGCTTTATGTCTAGGCCTAGTGTGTACATTTTGTGAGTAATAATCTTGGACGGATGGTGAACCACAGAGTGGTACAGAATTAACTTTGATTCAGCAAATTATCACATATCTCAGAGCAATCCTTCTTCACAGGAAGGCCTTTCACTCCTAGCAAAACACACGAACAACGCACACACACACACACACGCATCTAAACATGGCAACAAACAGACTGTATCTCTGATACACTAACAAAGACTGGTTCTTAAATAAACATTCACACATGAATGAGGGAATAGTAATAGACTTAACAAGTTCCTCAGTACCATACCAATATACAAGATCCTCCTCTGCTAATTGTGTAGATTTTCAATTTAAAACAAATACACTCCATATAATATCTGCTGTCATGGGTAAAAACAAAACTACATCTTTGTGTGATGACAACTTCACCATAACTTCAAACACTGATCATCAACAATTTTCTCAAATATACAAATATGCACCTATATCCTCTGCATTTTGCCAGTAAAATCATACTGGTGCAAAGTTGTGTGAACACTGTTTTAGTAAAGTCGAGTCAGCTGATATAAAATGAATGTCATAATCTCTACCAACTCCAACAAGCTCCATTGGGTAACATCATCTCAATCATAACATGGGATCATACATCAACAATACATGGACTTCATGATTCACACTATATGATCGTTACAATCACTAACATAGTATCACATATATAAGCTTTGCAGCTGCTTCAATCAACACATCTAGTTCTACACTGGCAAAGTCCTAACAATACGTCTTTCACTACCACCCACATGAGTCTCCTGTTGTAGTCCCATACATGAAAAGCCAGTTATTATCTCAAAGCCAACCTGCTTCATTGGCCACTTTGCTCCATGATTGAGTGAGAGAGTAGGTTGGATTGGACACCACTTTTAATGTACACATATTGTAACCAGACTGAACACATAACTAAGAACCCCTGCAGAGAGTACTTGCAAATAATGCAACCTGTGTTATTTTCATAAAACTCAATCTGGATAGAATTACATACTAATGAGTCTTAAATTAATTCCAAAATGTCCTATCTCAGCTGATCTACATAATAACCCAAAATCCACTAGTGTACTTCAGTAATAGCCTGACTTGGAAGTTGGCAGTGTATTACTGAGACAGGGATCTTGTCAGGCAAAACATCTTGTTAATGTTGTCAGCATGGTCTGCTATATGAACAGCTTTAGGAGAAATCTTTTGTTGCATGGATCAAGAAAAGTAAACGTAGTCACAGCTTACAGTATTTTGCTTCTACTGTCTGAGTCAGGGCCTGAAATATGGAACACATTGCAAAATGTCCAGTTTGTTTACCTGTTACAATATTGGAGAATAAGCAGATAGTGGCTTTCGTATTTTGTAAATTGCAGTTTAATCCTATATGATTTATAGCTATTAGAGCTAATAGATTATAAATGAACATAACTGTTATTTCATATCTTCTCTCTGTTACATAGAACACATAGCAAATGTTGATTGCATGAATTAAATGTGAACATAGTAACCATTGTCATTTGACAAGTCCCAATAATAATTTGGGGTATATAGTGCACAATACAATATCATACAGAGAAGGGTAAACAAAATTCAACCACTCTCAAATAAGAAACTTCTTCCAGGCATGTGGTACATAAATGCATTGTGGTGTGATGCTTCTATAATTACACCAATAAGCCTTACAGCTCTACTAGCGAAGGTCTCTGATTGGAAAAAAAGTGTCACTGTACAGCTTTAAATCTTGGGGCACCAAGATAACCTACATTAATGCACATTGTAATATTACCGGTCATCATACAGCCAATTTGTCTACAAGCCAAATTCTGTAAGTGAGAGATGTAAATCAGAGACATTTACCAATTTGGTGAAAAGCCTACATTTGGCAGTTGATAAACCTAAAACCATAATCAGGGGGAATTTGTGACACAAACCCACAGTGATACCTAAGGGACTCTGAACAGCAAATTGAAGTATCTCTGATGACTGGAACACCCATGTCACAACAATACTATTACTTGATACTTATAGGTCAATAGTCAGATCAATACAGGAAAAGAAATGGTCTTTGTTTTGTGGGCAAACATGACATCCATTGCTAGATTAGATACAGATCATCTACTATTAACCAAAACCCTGAGGTGTGATTTATATAATCTTTGCTACATTCAGTGAGATTCTCACATACTGGCCCCCTAGTTTCTGTGTGGAGATTCACACCATCGTCTCAGGTTAACAACAGGTAACAGTAATCATCAGTTACATCTAACAATCAAATTCCTTTGAACTCAACCCGGTCAAGTAATGTATTAACTCTGTTAGCTTAATATCTGGCAAGATGACATGAGTTACTTTTCCCAAAACATGGATATTGATGAATTTATCAAATAGATAAAGCGAGAGGATGTTTCACAGTGGTTATGAATAACTCAGAGGAATGAAGTGATTTGGCTGTTATACAGTTTTATGCAGTATTTCAACCGTTTTGTGGTGGACCCAGACTCACTATATGATGACAGATTCATCTGAATGTTTCACAATTTGGCTAGTTGCTGATATTAAAGCATGTTCTGGTCATCCACATATATCACAATCCTCTTTTCCAAAATTCACGTGACAAAGTACAGCTTGTGAACAAACACGCTATGGTAAATGCACTTCTTCTGCATAGTCGAAGCCTCCATCTGCCTGTGATATACTCCTGTCTGTGGTCATGTCATCAAACTGAAATGGAAACAATCAACTATTGAATCCTTTCAAGGCAACCTTGTACAACAGGTGTGTTGATCTGTTTTTGAAGCTAATCATACTTTTTAAATGGAAGCCATGCTATGTAGACACCAGGGACAGACAATCAGTAAGTATGATTCTTGAAAATCCTGTGAAGGATTTATCTGAAATGGTCTTCACTTATTTTGGGCTCATCCTGACTTTCAGAATTACAAGCCAACAAAATAACAACTACTCTTCCAACCCTAACTTAAAAGAGTGAGTGAGTGAGTGCCGCACTAAGTAATATTCCAGCTATATGGCAGCGGTCTGTAAATAATCGAGTCTGGAACAGACAATTCAGTGATCAACAGCATGAGCATCGATTTATGCAATTGGGTTACCATGACACGTGTCAACCAAGTCGAAGACCTCACGATCCTGTTAGTCGCCTCTTACGACAAGCATGGGTTACTGAAGATCAATTCTAACCCGGATCCTCATGGTTCTGATACGCTAATAAATTTCAACCAATTATAGAGGTGTCCTTAATCAATGATTGTCAAATCTGCTCATATTTGATAACGTCTCAGACCAGTCGGATCTCTTTTTTTGACAACAGTCAAGCCAGGTCATGTTTATGCAATTATGACCTCACCTCACTCTTGTCACTCTTCAGGAAATCCTCTCCCTCTATGGAGAAGTCATCCAAGTCTTCTTCCTCAATCTCCTCTGCAATGCTGCCACCTCCATTCTCATTCACAGATTTGGGATCTGACTTGACCCGTGGACTCTTGGCACTGGTGCTGTGACTGCAACACAAGGACAGTCTGAGGCTGTCTTCAAACATCTCAAATACCTTTGACAGACCCACGAGTCTTACTTGAATGTGTGACAATGAGACACCCTAATGCTGGCTAGTTGGGTGAATCTTCCCCCATACACATTTCATGATGTGTCTTGCTTGCATCAGTGACAATGGGACACCCTAATGAAGACTATTTGGGTGAATCTTCTGCATGGGTTACACAGGATCTGCCTACAACTGTTGTCCACCAACACATCTCATATGGTGTCAGCTGAACAGTTTAAGTACTCTTTTGCTTCAGACAATTGCCATTAGGACTTTATAGGTAATTTTCATAAAAACACATACTTTTGATTCAGCACTTTTCGTATTTCATTCCCACTTGTGAATAACTACTGTGACCAGATGAAACAACAACACCCAAACTAAGCTACTTACACTGAATCCTGGAAGTCGTCTTCATACTCAAAGTCATCTTGACTGTCTGTAATCACAATGCCAGTGATCACAATATGATATTCATATTCTACTTAGTGTTTGGTATCACAAAATAATGAATGATCAGTACCAGTGTACCAGTCGGAGCAATGAGACTCCATATAATCTGCCAAACCCACCTTTCGAAATTCACAATAGTCTGCTAGCATGAGACAACTAAATTGTTCCAAACACAAGTAATATGATACAAAATGAAGCTAGGCCTCATGGACTAGCAACATTTGAGGGATACAATTCTGATCAAGTTAGAACTGGACGTAACTGACAGAAAATGTAAACATAGTAAATGGTTCTGTCTCATTTAAGCAGGGCTATGTTTAAACTAGTGAAATGAAGTGTACAACAGATTGTCACCTACCCAATGAAGTTTCTGACCTATACATAGCTGTTTTTCTGTATTCATAAGCACAAAATTTAGGTGAAATAAAAGAGAAAAACACTTCCTTACCCCCAAAGCCCATGTCAACCATCCTCTTGTCAAGTGATCGCAGATTTTGATCTGAACTAGCATTCAAGGAACTATTTCCTGAAATGAAAAACAAATGTCAAACAGAAACAACGGCATAATGTTGAGTAAGACATCATCCTCAACAACCTTATATACTAAGAACATTTTGTTTGTTTGCTGAAATGTAAGATTTACTGTAACAAGAAGACATGGTCATCAATATCCCCGCCACAGTATTCTGTTCCTAATTTTACAACTTTTTATTCTTGCTACAAATAGCGATACATAAGTTGTTAAATGCGAAAATCTGTTCCACCTGGGGATACCATGCACAAAATCAAGAAAACACATGACAAGGGACATAATTCTGTAAGGAATCGTAACACGGTTTCCGTTTTTGAACTCCATCATGGCATTTGAGTCCTGAAAATACATAACCCATTTGGTTTCCCTATCTATAACATTTTTTGAGAAAATCTGACCCCAGCACTAAGCCGAGAAATACATGACAAGGCTCATAACTTGGTAACAAATTGAAACACGGTTTTTGTTTTCAAAGTCCATCAAGGCATTCATGTCCTGAAAACACATACCAAATTTGGTTTCCCTATCTACAACAGTTTCTGAGAAAATCTGTCCCCATCATCTCATACAGACGGAGCTCAAACCTATATCCCCTTCCCATTTCGGGGCGAGTGATAATAATAATATCCATGACATTTCACAGAGAATGCTGGAAATTAGCCTCATACAATATCCCCATGTAATGAATTGAACCCTGGCCTATAGGTTGATATCAATTATGTAATTTACAGAGACATTCCTAATTGTGACAGAGGAGGGTTCAAATTCACTGTGAATCTATCTTCATTACTGACAAACACATTATTAACAAAACCATTCTTACTAACCATGAGATTTGGCTGGTGGCTCCTTGTCTGGGGTGAGTGAAGGCAGACCCTGCAAGGAGCTCATGTTGCCGGTGCTATGTTTCTGTGTTGTTCCTCCGTTAGGGGTCGTCTTCTTCTCTTTTTCCTCACTGGAGGATCAAGTGGGTGAGAGTTGGAGTAGCATTATTTCAGACTTGATTGGAAATTTCATTTTACCACACATACACTTAGATGAACTTATGAACTTTATGGCCTATGTTCTCATACTAGGTTAATTACATCAGGAATCCCATGCAAAGAAAATGTTATTCTAGAACCTACATTCCAGGAGAAATGGTATTACATTTGAAATTTCTAGATTGTCAGTGGAGAAGAATGCATGAGTGTTATAAGATTAGTAACTCAACAATAATTAACAAAACATAAACAAATATTCAAACATGTCAAAAGAGGTTATTACGTTAAAGCATGTTAGTAATTTTTATGAAGAAAAGTATCCACAAGTATGAAAGAATAGATTCAGATCTAGAATAGATCCAATAACAAACATCAACTTTCTTGATTTACTGCAATGACATATGAAAGTCACTTTCTTTTTTGAAGATGGTTGGAGAAACAAGTATACTGCATATTTCTCCCATGATCAAAGCCTACCTTAGCTTTCCCTCATGAGCAAACCACTAAACATCTGTAGGGAGTCTAATATAAAGCTGATCTGAACATACATCAGTTTAAATTGGCATGTCGGCTGGATGTAGGACAACCAAAAATGAAGCAGTTCTCACATGTTTACAACATGGGTGAAACCCACAAGAACTGGTAAGATGCTGACAAAACCTAGAAATGTAATCTGGGTGAACTGGGATTCAACCCTCAATCCCCACTCACACCCACCCAAGAAAAGTTGCACACATACATGACAATATTCAAAAACATTAACAAAATTGTTTTCACTATGTATTCCTGAGGGTTCTTCTGCAGATCTGTATGGACTACAATAAGGATGCAGCATGCCACTCATCTGGGCCTATCTGAAGCAGTGATTCAACTACACCAAGTCATCCTATGCAGACAGATTAAGTCAACAAAGCACAGCACCTCAAATCTGGCCCAGCAATAACGTATACTGAGAAATGAGGTGTATCATAGCATTTTTGCAACCAATATTTTCAAGCTGAATAAATTACATTCCTAACTATCAAAGTAAAGCCTATAATATTATTTCAATAAAAGCATCGTGCATAACCTCTACTAACAGTTCCCTTGCGTCCCCCAAATGCAACTTTGTGAGCCATGGAAAAAGAGACTCTTCTATCTTATATCAAACTCTCAAGACAAAATCTTGGATAAAATAAGTGTTATCTTAATGTTTCCTGACTCCAAACCCGACATAAAACACAAAATCGAGAAACACTGTTAGTAACCAAACCAAACATCAGGCCAATTCAGCAAGCTGTGAAACTGAACAGTGAAACAGAAGCACATGAACGAAGTAAACCAAACAGTGACTGATGCAGCAGGCAGTTCTAACATGTTGTTAGGTAGGTGGTACATCCTCCACTAACCTCCTGGCACCCGCGATATACACAGGAATCTGGGATGTCCGCCCAGGCGAACTACTGCGTCGGTTATGAGACGAGGGACTAACATTTCTGTTGTGATGATAAACAAATTGATGAATGGCAAGTGGAAAACAACAGTGATGAAATGACATGCTGATAAGGAGAGTTTGGTTAGAGTGTTGTGAATAAACAGATGAAGAAGCAATGTGCAACGAAGGGTGATAGCTGTTCCAGACATCTTGCAATACACCAGACAGATGAATGAATGGATAAGAATATTGTGTCAAGACAATAAGAAATCCTCTTACTTTCTGTAAAAAAACATTAAAGGTTAAAGGACGATGTAGGAGTAATCTCAATCACACATCCCCAATAACATAAATAGCCTAAACAGCCTACATCATATATGCTGGTTAATAGGCATCATCATATTGCAGGAAGAACCTTATCAATCAATATTTTGGCAAACTGTTTTACAAACTTAATCATTTTGAACTGCTTTGATTACTGTTACAACATATGAGAAGGATATACTGCTGAGTGTGGGGGCGAGACCTGGCTTCATGCAAGGAGGTTGGCTGTACAGGGATGTGGGATGGGTGGAGGGAAGGTGTCTTTTATGGACCAGCATTACCACAACTAGTAGTTCTACTGCATCAAATACTGACCATTGCAATCATGCAAGTATCATAATGATGTAGGGAGTAAGAAATGTAGGGATATCTTTTCATGCTGGGCATTATCACAAGTAATTCTAGTTGTATGAGTTTTACGCAAACAAAAACAGGCCATTTAAAACATGTAAACACCACAAGGTCACTGGAAGGAGAGGGTTGGGGAAAGTTTTCAGACACATATTACACTTTGTGCATAAAAGACAGAGCATTGTGTTACATTTCTTTGGGCATGCTGCCTTTCAGGACGACCAAGACAATAAATGTTTAACTATATCTGGGTTTATAGGTAGTTTTACTTAAATTATGGGTATCTAAGTATACTTCACATGCTCAATGGAAAGTGGAATTTAGTTAAATTTATTCACAGTAAGAAAGTAAATAAAATGTGAAATGTCAAAGAAAGATAGCTGTTTTCAAGTGTTACTCTCGAAAGTTAAAGTATATAATCCCTTGGATTAATAAGTTGACTGTAATTTACATTTGAACAAGTTTGAAGGTATGCTGTGATAGATTTGGTATTTGTAAACACTAAATAGAGATGAATGGTCTTGAAACAGAAATGATTTAAATTCTGTTTAACTTGTGATTACAATAATGACACAGTTGCTGTACGAGTTAACAGCCTGTCATGGACCTCTTTACTAGCAAAACAACATTTCAAAGTAAAGAAACCTGATCCATGTGTTATTCGGCAATATACCATCTGGCTAATTACACTTCATGAGTGAACATTATATACATCACATTCAGCAAATATTCCAGTTACATTGTGGGGGCCTACAAATAACTGAGTCTAAGATCAGGTAAACTATTGACTAAGCAGCCATTTTTGACAAAAAATATCAGACACTTCACAGCCTCTATCCCATAATCCAGGGTTTGCTTTTAATAAGAACTGAAGATGAAGTGATAGCAGAAAGTAAGTGAGCCATGTGCAGCACAGCAGAACAATCAGAAACAGCCTCGTTCCAGCTGGTAACAACCACACCCTCTTAAGATTGAATGGTCCAAGACTTATCACAGGTCTCTCTGTATCACAACGCCACAGTTAAACTACTTAGTGAGGGAGTTGGAATTAGCATCACATTAATTTAGTCATATCAAGGCAAGTCCAGAGATGCCCGTTACCCATCAGATTAGGATTTGAATCATAGGAAACAACTTTGCAAATCACCCTTGTCCCCTTCTGATCTTATCATTATTTTCATTATTTCACTACATGTATCTGCATAATGTTGTGAAAAGAGAATATCACATATAAACTCCTGTGTGTAGAAGTACCAACAGTGGCATATAAATGTAATAACTGTCGTGTACAACATTCTGTAAGGTTACCAGGAGTACAAAGGTAATAACTTGCTATAAGGTTTCCATGCAGGGCTATCTGATGGAGGCATAAAGGACAGGAGAAGGGTATACAAGTGGAAAACAATAGGGAACTGGGTCACATTCATCAATAATTAATCTTGATGAGCAAATAGCAGTATTGACAGTTTCAGTTTTTATCATTTATACTTGGAACTTTATAAATATTTATCATTGCAAGTTGGTTATATCAATTTGACTTGTGATTAGATTTGTTTTAATATCGATTAAAAATATGTATGAGTTGATGAACACTTTTTATTTCTGTTCCTATAAAGAGACAAATAGAAAACATATATTATCATTAGTCATAGAAATTAAACTGGTAAGAAACATTAGTTCATATGACCATGTCAAAGAAAGCATTACCTATGTCTTTTTTACTGAAAAGCCTAACATGAAAAAGATTAACACATTAATTGTTAATATTTTATAAGGCAATGACAGTCATCTTATTTTACTTAGTTTTCACCAGAAATGTATATGCAGGCCAGAAAGACTTTTTTTGGTTAAAACAACAGTTTTCCACAAAACAACATCTAATATGAATGAGATGGTTCCTTCCTCTACAGCGTTAGCCCTACACCAGTGAAGCCATGCTATGTTGTAGTGCCACACAATGCTACCTGTTGGACAAGGTGTAGCCTCCAGCTGCAGGTACAGGCTCATCAAAGAAGGAGTCGCCCTCCTGGTCACTGCTCAGGTCGATGAGAGAGTTGTGTTTGGGGCCGTTGCTGGCCTCGCTGGATGGCTGCTTGTTGTGTTCCTGGTTCTTGTGGTTTTTGGCTTCTAATGAGTTGAAGAAGTTGTTTTCTGAGTAACTGGTAGACTGGAGGAGAGAAAACAAGTTTGGGTTTTACTAGATGTTTTGCATGTTTGTTTACTGCCACACTCGACAATATTCCAGATATATGTTTATGTTGGCAGCCTGTAAACAATTGAGTCAGACAATCCAGGGATTGATGTCATGATTTGGCATCAATCCTGTCAGCATGCTTGAACATCCGATCCCATTAACAAGCAAGGTTAGTTGACCACCTAGATCTTCACAGGTATTTTATTAGATGCATCACATAACTATTCCTTGTGAAATGTGTCCTGGATTTTTAAGTTGATAAATTGGGGCTCTCATTAAAACTACAATCATTGAGTGATCGTGAACTAACTGCAAATGTTGAGGGAATTAGAACTTTTTCTGTAATAGTTACTTCACAATTATAAACCCATAATGCTTTAATGTTTTCTATGAATAAATCTAAAATATACTTAGTTCCAAAAGAAACGCGACATTCATGTTTGTTTTTTGAAGTTTCCATAATTGTCTTATCTACTTTACAATCATAACGAATGTACATGTTAAATGTTCTTTGAAACCAATTTTCCAAATGTAACTTCTGAAACAAGACTTTTAACGTCAGATTAGCCGTAACAACTGAATCTAATTATGGAACATTTTTATGGGAAAAAACAACAGAAACACATCACATAAATGCATGCCCTGACTCGTTGTGCACGTGAATTTAATGACACGCCACTTTCTCCAAGACTGACTGACTGAGTTTGGTTTTACGCCACTTTTAGCAATATTCCAGCAATATCACGTCGGGGGACACCAGAAATGGGCTTCACACATTGTACCCATGTGGGCATTTGAACCCGGGTATTCGGCGTGACGAGCAAACGCTTTGACCACTAGGCTACCCCACTGCCCCCTTTCTCCAAGTAAAACGAGAGAAGAACCCTTTAAAAGATGCGACGTCAGTTTCTGTTGTGTTCTTTTTCTGAATGGTTCAGAGAACAATATGCCACGTCTGATGAAGCACGGCTACGTGCTCTTGGGATGATTGATGCTGGTTCCAGTGTTGTCAACGTTGCACAACATATGGGAGTACATCGGACGACAATTTACCGACTGATTGAACGCCAAAATCAAATGAATTCGGTGGGAGATCGACCTAGAGATGGCAGGCCACGAGTGACATCACACAGGCAAGACCGTTACATCGTAACGTCACATCTTCGCAACCGTTTTCTTCCAGCTACTGTTACAGCCCGTCAGACAATTGGGATTCACAACAGACCAATTTCAGGAAACACTGTGCGTTGATGTGTGAGAGCACACCGGCTACACTGTGGGAGACCCTATGTTGGACAGATTTTGACACCACGGCACCGTCGTCTGTGCTTAGCATGGGCTCGCCAACATCAGCATTTGAGACATGCACAGTGGCAGAAGGTTGTTTTCTCAGACAGGAGTCGTTTGTGTGTACATGTTGCAGATGGGAGAGTGAGAGTATGGCGTCGAGGTGGGGTGGGATGGGGTTTGGTCAGCAATTTTGTACATAAAAATATTGAAAAATTGTTCTTACAAATTGCCATGAATTATGAACGGCCCCTAATACACAATTACAACATCTACAACATGGCACATACTCTATGGCCATTTGCTCCAGTCATTTCAATTAACCAGCGGGCCACTGCCACAGTGACAAAACAAATTGTCCCACATACACCTGGCAAACACTGAATTTAATCTTTTCATGGGCAATAAATGTTTACATTTCTGCCATTTCCATCATTCCCTTATATGAATAGACTGACATTTCAATTTCATCAATCGGAACACCTTGATCTAAGATTACTGGCCCTCATTAACATTACCTGGCATTTCCTTGTTTATTTGTTGGAACTAATACTATAGTAACATGACAGCAGCTTGTAAATAACATAGTCTGGACCAGACTATCCACTGACAGACTTTGTCAGCAGCGATCTGTGGGGCAAGCATTCAAACAAGTCACCAAGCTTGACCACCAAATCCATTTTGTCCACCACTTGTGACTAGAACATGTTGGCACACTTCACATGCAGGTGAGGACATTCCTCTGTGATTTCAAACATGACAACTGTACACAGCATGGATCGTGACATGACTGGCTGTCTTTTGCCCAATTGTTAGGCGTAAGTTTTACTACCTGTCTACATTTGCTATGAACCAACCTACTTCAGCGACAATCTCAAAAGTGGTGGGGTAGCCTGGTGGTCAAAGCGTTTGCTCGTCACACCGAAGACCCGGGTTCGATTCCCCACATGGGTACAATGTGTGAAGGCCATTTCTGGTATCATCCGCCATGATATTGCTGGAAGTGGAATATTGCTAAAAGCAGCGTAAAACACAACTCGCTCACAATCTCAAAGACGAGTCGAAATGGTGTTATTGGTGGTTACTGGTTTTAGTGACATGAATGCATGTGTGTGTGGCTTCTTCCACTATTCTGGATGACTGATAATTTCACAGTGCCAGGCCATCAAGATGCCATGCCAGTTTTTACTGACTCAGTGTGGACCATTTAGTATTTTAATGAAGCACTGCATTTTAAAGACATACCTTACAGTTTGTAACAAAGACATTGCAGCATACAAGACTGAATCTGTCCTTGGCTTTATCAGCACTTCAACAAGTGATTAGCATCCACAGTCTATTGCTGTTTTTCAGTCTAGATGTTGTCTGATGTTTAGCTAGTGCCCAAAGTAATCCTGAAATACTGTGCCTATGTAACTAGAGTAATCATTAATAATTACTAGCACCCATTTTGCAATGATTGCCAATGTGCCGGAGCATAGTGCCCCATTGAATATGGATGTCATAAGCTAAATTTGAGCTTGAATTGCAAACAGCTGGTTTAACCTATTTCCTTGAAATCCAAAGACACCATAAATACCTTGGATGAAGGTGGAGAGGCAGGGACGTCTCTTAACTTCTTGGAAGTTGTGGGCAAAATGTCTTCCACATCACCTGCCACCACCGTTCGACACAGCAAGAATAGGCGCTTGTACATCACCAGGAATTCTTCGAAGTCAATACCTGCAACATATCACAGATCTTTGAGATGGGATCCACAGTTTCACACAATATCTAACTCTTGTAGAGCATGTAGCAGCATGTAGTTTGACATTGTGTTGGATGTATTGTACATACATAAGCTGGAGCACTCCACATGCTTCAACAACTCCAAATTAAATCACTTCATCAGACATATATCCTGAAATGCATCAAGTAATATCACAATACCACAAGTAATATCACTGCTGATGATGAAAAGACTAAACTGATTCAGAGGTTAAATCTCTGCTACAATGAACTGTTACTGAACTGAACATTTGAAACACAGAATGTCACAAAATCATGGTAACATTTTCCTTCAAGGAATACAGCACATGTAACAAAATAGAAACACACAAATTCATCACTAATTATCTCCCTTCCATAACATGCATGCTTATCCAAGACAATACAAAACAACTATTTCAACAGAAAAAAAAGATTTACCATCCTTGCTGCCTAATTACTGTGAGACGAGTTTGGGTTGTGTGGAGCATATCCAATGGTAACTACCCGGTAATACATGCAAGATGGTATCATGCCACTTGCAGTTAGAACACAAGCAGATGACAGGTATTCTACCATTCATGTTATATACTGGGACAATGCACTAATGCTAATTCACATAAATATGACAAAATGCTTTCATTACTGATCTACTACTCATAGATGTTCAAGTATCTAGTTTCTCTACCTGTCCATCACCGATGACAACAACAAGTGCACCCTACCCATTTGTGCGGTGAGTATTTTCTCACTTTCATTACAACACAGCCACTATTCTACCCATGTCATCCGTGACTACACACAGCAGTCACTCATCATCTACATCAAGTACATGGCACTTTTGTCTACCATTTCAGTATACAATTCAGCATAAATCATGGACAAATGTACATTTTAATTATGTCTATCTAATTGCTCATAAATTCATCAAAATATAATTCCTTTAACAATAACTTCTTTCAGTGCCATTTAAATTCTGGCATGATGAAGAGGAACACATTTTATGGATAGACAACTTCATTGTTGCAATAGATGTAACATTTCGGTGTAGATGCTAACACTGTTACCATCACTTGCTTGCTAACAGTGTTAGCATCTACACCAAAACATCGCATCTATTGCAACAAAGAACTTGTTCTCCATAAAAAGTGTTCTTCTTTGTTAACAATGTAATTCTCTTTAAAACTTGGTTAATTGCAAATTTACAATGACTTAAATGAATGAATAAAATAATAAAGTGAAAGATATGAAAAAAGTAGAAGATGCAAACTATAGTTATGAGCTGAAGGTTGCATGAGGTGTAGTCTGTTCACAGAGGGCATTACGAAGGGAGTTCCTCCACCAGTTTCATGTGGAATGTGGGACAAAGTGACATGTTTTGGGGATGTTTTAAGTCGGGTGAAATGAAAGATAGTATCAAAGGTAATACCAGTGGATCCTGGTATAGAAATGGTAAGAATCTCTGTACACAGATACCTCAGAGACCCTTATGATATGGTACATCCAATGGAATCACCAGCTGATTCCTCAATGCAATGAATACTTTCACAAGATGTTATCAATTTTAACCACATTGTTTAGTCAACAACAATATAACATGCAACATTCAGGTTGAAACATCACTGCCTTAAGCAGGCATTCTTAGGAAGAAGAATAGATGACTTCATGCTGTCAATTCCTGAATTATTTACCTCTAGGGGTGAGTGAGTAGATTCCTATAGGAAATGAAACTCACTATACTTCTGGTCCCATCAACCATAACGTAATGCAGACAAAATCCGATTCAAAGGTTACCTTAAAATTACTTTTGAAAAGTTGTAAACATTCGCTCATAGAAATATCTGGAGTACTTGAAGGTACACCTGTATAGAATACTTGATGCTCATAAGTCACATTTGTTGCTACTAATAAAGCAGCATGGAACAGGGAGACTGTTTATAAAAATAAGGTGAAGCTCAAAAAAGCAGTAAAGTGACTCTGCATTCGATGATGGTCATCAACAGTGACATCCATTGGAAACACATCTGAACAAATGTAGTATTGCTCATTGACATTCTAAAAATAACATGCATTCATGATTTATGATCATGAGTGGTTGTGTGGTAGTGAAGCCCCCCAATCTCGCCATTACTTTATCAAGGCTGCTAAACAGCTAATATAAATGATGAAGAAGAAAATTAGAACCTGTTACAGTGGAAGGACTTTGTGCTCATTCCTTTCTAAGTTTAATAGAAAGCCAATATGGATGGTTTGCGAGACTTTCAGATTAATTACCCAACAATATTTATGAAACTAGTCTGTATCCTTTGTACTACCTACTAGTACTTCTTACTAACCATATTGATAAATTTTAATTTCCAGTGGTACTGTATGCACAAAAACATAATTCAACTTAACCATATCAAAACAAGGAGGATATAGTGAACAGGCAGTGTTATCACAGGGTATCACTTCACACGTGTAGGAGCATATCCTGGAGGTGTCCTGCCAAAACTTCCTGGAAACATTTTCACTCCCTAGAGAGATGTTGATATCTGGCAGGAGTGAAAACATGATATACTCACTGCTATTAAAGTCACGATCAACAGCTTTAAACTCATCATTTACGTATCTGTCCAGCATATTTCTGAAACAACAATAGTCACGGCTTGCATTATTACAACACAAAGAACACAGGTTTTGAACGTCAACCACTCTCTTTTGATGAAAAAAAGGAAACCATACTTCTAATCAATTTGATACTATGATGACACTAAGACAGAAAACATTGTGAAAATCATCGAGAATATTACTTGTATCAGTTACCTTAAGTAGAAAAATAATATTCTAATGAAACTTATTTACTTATGGAAATGTGGGAAGATGTCAATGAAGAGTTCTCGTAGTTCGTCCTTGTCAATTGAACCACTTCCATCCTGGAAAAACATACAGAGAAAATAACGACAATGAAATCCTCCAATTAAAATTTCTTCCAAGTCCACAGTGGCATGTGGTTCTGTGCAGACTAACATTTCAGAGTACATAGTTCACAAGTCAGGTGAAGTTAAGCAACATTGGTTGCTGCGAACAGTTGAATGAGTGACTCCATTCCCAATGGTAGGGTTTCAGTCCAGCCCCTCACTGAAGCTCATGTAGCAGATGGCCTTGTGGCTGTTAACTTTCCTAACAAGGCAACTAGCTCTGAATGAAATTTTAACACACATTTATCCACGTTAGCACGAAAATGGTAACAATCAGGACATGCATCTTGTGGATTGAGTCTTGTGCAAACAAGGTTCAGACATAATCATAATTCTAAGATGCTTCGGGTGAATGATCAAAGGCGCTGACAGTACTTTATCAGACGATAATGTGCACTTTTTGCATTACGTCACAATGTATTGGCGTCACTGTGGCATTCAAGTCTGCTCCCTCGTAATCGAACCATTTTGCATTACGTCACAATGTAAGCGAAGCCACGATGCATATCAGTTGTCATCGCGTCGTACGGCCTCCTTCATTAAACTACTCCGTTGCATCCCGTTTCTTGGTTTGCAGTTGCTTCACGCAGCTAATATCACTGGTGGAAACATTATGTGTATGTTTTACGACAGTTAAAATGTCTCCATTCGACTCACAAGTTTTCAGCAACACGGTAACGTTCGCAATGTTTACATTCCCAAAATGCAACGTGGAATGTCGCTTGACTACTCACCTTCATCTGGATGTACTGATCTAAACTTACGTTGGTAGTAGAAATGTGATGTTTATATTTCCCCACATGGTTTACGTGAGAATAATTTAGAGAAGATATTTAATTCGAACGTAAACCATCATCAAACTGTTATCATTTGTTTTTTTCTGGTAACGTTCGTCTTAATGTAGGGGGGCAGTCACATGAATAGAACAGCTGCCAGTTAGCCCTGTGCGAGGATTCTTAATTTAGATCACCGACACCGTCGTTTGTTTTCTGAATTAAATTAATTGTAATTATCCTTAGAAAGTATTAAATTTGGCATCTTAGAAAAGAAATACAGTTCGCTCTGCCACCATGTATAGTGTAATAAAGCACACTTTCGCCCTGAACTATTATAACGTTAAAGCACTCGGACGCAAGCATCCTCGTACTTTAACTATAATAGTTCAGTGCGAAAGTGTGCTTTATTACACTATACATGGTGGTAGAACAAACTGTATTTCTTAAGTAGTGTTGGGAATTGGAAACCAAATCCACTAACGATTATCGGAGGACTTGTGTTGAATGTTTATTGATTATAATGGAAATATATGCATTATTAATGTAATCACCAATTTTAAGGGTTTTCCCCCAAGTTTTTTCTAATTAATGTTCTTATAACTAATACTGTCATGCCATGAAATGCACGCATGCAAGAAAAACACTAGAATTGTAATTCTATCTATATATCTATGGAAAATCTTATATAGCGTTAAATCCAGAATAAACTGCTCTGCAGCACTTGAGACTAATTAATTAAACAATAAAAGTAGTTAAAATTTTACGCTGTTGAATATTACATTTGTTCATGAATATTCGTCACATTAAATGGTTAGTTTACTTCATTCAAGTGTGTTATACTGAAACAACAAAATTCTGATTAATCGAGAATATGTTTTTTTACAATCGATAATTATTTTTAATCCTTCTTTCAATTGATTTTCGATCATCGGAACACCACTAATCACAAGCATTATTTTTTTTCTATTATCATAATTCAACAATACAAAATCTGTTCCACTATTAAAAAATGTGTGCAATCAAACAACTTTAAGACTAAATGATGAGAACTAATGAAGTGCTGACATACCTTGTCATAATACTCAAACTTTTTTTGTGCAGTTTCTATCTGTGCGGCTGTGAGTTCCTGAAACAGTAATGATTTCATTATGTCTTTGATAGCTGCATCTCAGCACCTGTTCTATGTATACAAGGTTGCAATGAGGTGAGTTCTCTTCCAGCTCTAGCAGTTCACAAACTATCTAGAAAGTTATAACATGTAAAAGAATGGAAAGATGGTACCCTTTTGATATTCGGATCTTATAAAACCACTGTCTGAGTCAAAGAATACATAATTTTCAATCAAATATTTTCTTTGTGACAGTATGTACTTGGAGTTTATCAAGTGAGAAAATCTTAGATACATAATCAGTAATACAATTTGCAAACATCTTCTAATCATATACGGTACAAACGCCCCAAAACCCATGTTCATACATCATATTTCTACTCGTGAAGATCCGGGTTAGAATTGATCTTCAATAACCCACGCTTGTCAAAAGAAGCTACTAACAGAATCTGGTGGTCAGGCTTGCTGTCATGGTATCCCAATTGCGTAGATCAATACTCACGCTGTTGATCACTGGATTGTCTAGTCCAGACCCCATTATTTACAGACCGCCACCATATAGCCGGAGTACTGCTGAGTGCGGCATAAAACTTAACTCACTCACTCACATTATAATTCTTCCCTGTTAAAATGAATACTGTTCACCAAGGACAAGGTAGTTAATTTCTTGACCTTGCTGGAACTTAGTGGAAGCATGCAGTAGAGAACGTCAACATTATTACCATGGTTACAACTTGTACCATTCAAACACAGAATACAAGAACTGACATAACAACATAGCACTACATTAACAAATAATTGTGTGCTGTATTACCTGTATTCCTGGATTGGAAATGCTAGTGAATATGTATCAAGATACATTTGGAACATAACCTGTATATAGTGTAGGGATGGGTATCAGAGGTTCAAAGAGTATCACATTATACTGAGATATAACACTTTATTTGGATACATGTCACAATATGTTGTATAATTCCATATTTTGAATTCAGAAACAATCAGTAACATCATTGCATGAATTGAAGTTCATAAACAGAACAAAACAAGATGCTGGTGATAACCACCAATGACAATTCCACCAATGACAAGGATATTGTTGATGGAAGTGTAAGAATGGACATGCACATTACTGAGATTTGCATTTTGGAATTACAGAATTATTTTGAAGGTGTTTGGCAAACAAATGATGATAGTCGTTATTTCAAATTATCCGATATATCAAGCAAACTATGGATATTTTCATCTTATTGGCAAGTGTTTTGTAAGTGACAAGTTGAAATGAAATCATAAAATTCAGGAGTTACCAATATTCTTGCGATCCAAAAAGCCAAATTATTCACAAACAGTTATTTAAGGTGCCACAATTTGCTGAATTGCCTTTCTTGCACAGCTGATAGGTACTTCCAGAGAGAATTGAAGCACAGTGTCTACCTTGTATTTCCAAACACATAACTGTTATATATAGGTGACTAGTCAGTATGAGAAGAACTAGGTTTGCATCACAAACACAATGTATTCCCTTGATAAATCTACAATCTGTCAAAATAGGACTGTGATTGGCATTTTCTGTAAACAGAGCTATGCATTAAAAAGAAAGATATATTAGATAACTTGATTTTCACATACTTTCTGCAATTACCACAGAAGTATATGGGCCTTAAGTTCATGGAACATGCTAAAGTTAAAAGTGTGGTATTTTGATTTCTATATACCTACAGAAGGTAACTAAGCATGCAATATGTTCATAGCCACGAAATGCATAACAATTAGCAGTGCAAGTACCCACAGTACCACCCTGACACATAAAAAAGGAGAACAAGAAGTGTAGGTACAACACAAGACACATGTACCACCACTTGGAGGAGAACATGAGGTCCCTCCCACACTACCTATAGATTACCTTTGGGATTCTCACGATGTCCTCGGCATCCTAGAGAATAGCACAGACTGATACAGTATCTACCAGCATACACAACAGACAGTGACTCTACTCCATCACGGTCAGACTATGTATATATCATTACAAGATATCGATCATACTGCTGCTGAACATGTTGTATATCAGTCTGTTCCTTAGACTGACCACCTGACTGAGAATCATGTGTAAGTGGCCTTATGACCATTTGACTTAATTCTAGGTTTATATTGATATGACTACTAATTCATGGGCAGAGTATTATTTTAATTCATTAAGCTACATGATTCATATCATTCTTTAAATGGTACAGGTAGTGAACAAAAGTTGACCAATATATTGGAACTACTGAATGTATAAGGTTGACCTAGGAACTAAGGTGAAAAAGATAGAACTATGATATCAAATATATGTAAACTCAAGAGAAGTTACAATGATAGAGAATTGCTTGTCACAATGTCAGAAGAAATGTAGAGATCTGTGTTACACACTGGTATACTTACTTCAGTGATTGACCTGGAGTGGGTGAGTGGAGGTTTGCTTCCCTGTGCAGTTGGACGAACAACCTCAGACAGTAGTGGGGCCTTAGGAGAAGAGCCTGTGTCAGGGAGTTTCAACTCCCTTGCTAGTGTGGCACGCTTATCATAATCTTGACCCTGTTAACATGAACACTGACATTAGGTAAAATACAGGGTGGAATCACTATGTCAGTGATAAAAGTGTTCTAATTATTTACTATGATACAGAGGGACTAATTCAACACAGGGATTTGTTTCACTTGGGAGTTGGTGCATAGTTAAATATGAGCAAACAACATCTGTATAAAAGATCTACAAACAAAATGTCTCGTTTCATGATGATTCACGACTTTCTTTTCACCTGGAATATTCTTTCAGTTACTTTAATCAATATGTTAAAAAGTGAGTGAATGTGAGTTTAGTTTTACGCCGCTTTTAGCAATATTGCAGCAATATCACAGTGGGGGGACACTAAAAATGGTCTTCACACATTATACCCATGCAGGGAATTGAACCCGAGTCTTCGGCGTGACGAGCAAACACTTTAACCACTAGGCTACCCCACTACCCCCACAGGTTAAAAAGGAATCAATAGGAAAAAGTGAAATCCACTACATCATGACTCACACTGATAGACCACCCGAGGAATTGCAGATGGCCCTGAAATTTTACTTACCAATCCTGTTTCAGGATCAAACACAGCCAATGTGAATTCAAGGTCAAAGAACTCTAGGAATTCACGAACCAGACTTGCTATCTGCCGACCTGAATGCAAAAAACCCGGAGTTATTTATCACAAATTTGAAAGCCTTTTGGTTATATGCATAATATTCATCAATCAGGAATATGAAAACAAAAGTCCTTTCGTCAATTTACAAAGGTACTGTCTACAAATTTACTCTAAAACATGCTTAACAAACCTCTTAGCATAATAAACCCATGAGTGAGTGAGTGAGTGAGGTTTGGTTTTACGCCACTTTTAGCAATATTCCAGCAATATCACGGCAGGGGACACCAGAAATGGGCTTCACACTTTTTACCCATGTGAGAATCGAACCTGGGTCTTTGGCGTGACGAGCGAACGCTTTAACCACTAGGCTACCCAACCACCCCAATAAACCCACGAAGGTCCGGGTTAGAATATTGATCTTCAGTAACCCATGCTTGTTGTAAGAGGCGACTAACGGGATCAGGTGGTCATTGGTTCCCAAATGCGCAGATCAATGCTCATGCTGTTGATCACTGGCTTGTCTGGCCCAGACTTAATTATTTATAGACCGCAGCCACATACAGTACAACCAGAAATTATTGAGAATTTAAGATTGCAAGTTGTTGTTTTTTTCACTCATTACTCACATAATAAATGTGAATATTAGCAGAACATAACTCCAGATTCAAAGACAGGTGAACAGTTAGTATTTTGTCAAGTCACTATGGGCAGCAATGCAGGCTTCAATGTGGCGGGGCATACTACTGATCAAAGAAGTTAGAAAGTCGTGGTCCATGCTGTCCCAATATCGGACCACCTCTTCTTTCATTTCAGCAATATTTGTCAGATTTTTCTTATTGACACTTTCCTTCATAAGTCCCCAAACATTTTCTATTGGATTTAGGTCAGGGCTATAGCATTGCCAATCTAATAATGTCCAATTTTTGGTCCAAAACCAGGCCTGTGAATGCTTTGAACGATGTTTTGGGTCGTTGTCCTGCTGGAAAATCCAAAATTGTCCATAGAACACGTGAGCAGATGGAAGTAAATGTCCCACGAGAATATCTGTGTACCGCTCACTGTTCATTTCCCTTCAAATACACAGAGGGCGCTGCCCCTAACACAGATATGCCACCCCACACGCTAAATTTCGGACTGTACTTTGGGCGCTGATACAAAGGTTTTTCAGTTTGTTTGGTCCAGAATTTCAGTGTATTAGGAAACAGCCACACAGAACTTTCATCTGAGAAAATCACATTGTCCCAATTAAAATTTCTATGCTGTAAGCACCAGTTCAACCTTCGCTCCTTTTGTTCAGGTTTCATGATCGGTGATGGAATTCCTCGACTTTTCTACCAACCCATTGCATGCAGCTCAGTTCTAATTGTCTCCTTACAGACAGCCACAGTTCCTCTATCAATCATATCCAGCCTTAAGGTTTCTAAACTCCTTCGTTTGTTTTCAGAAACAAGAATACCAAGCTGCCTCCTGTCACCGACAGTCAATTTTCTGGGCCTACCTGGGCTTCCCTGGTGCTCAATGCCATATCCATTTGCAATATTTTTCAAAACATGATAACAGTAGACAAAGGGATGCCTGTTCTACTTGAAATCACTTAAGCTGATCTGATGTCCTTGTTATAATACTCTAAAGTCAACTTCCTCTTCTCTAAATCATCTATACTGAGGATCACTGAAAATGCCATCTGCTAGCAAGTAAACAAAGGGGGATAACTCTTCACAAACTAATGAAAAAGGATTAACGGAGTTGTCTCTCTTGAATGAAACTGAGCACTTGATAGCTGGTCAAGGTTGTTTATACTAGAAATCCAATTAAACACATTCTTAAAATTCTCAATAATTTCTGGTCATACTATAACTGAAAATATTGCTGAGTGCGGCGTAAAACAAAATTCACTCACCCACTCTTAGCATAATACATGTACATCAGCAAGTTCACAATGACAACAATGCCAAAAGATACAGTGCAGCATAAGAGAAATGAAAAAAATGATGCCTGAAGTTCACAGACAAGAAACTCACCCTCTTTGGTTGACAGGAACTGTTTTAAGTCTTTGTTTAAGAATGGAGTTTTATTCTGAAAAAACAATCATGGGTTATTATCATATGCAACTCACACCAACTGATACTCTGTGTATTGACCTTATGCATATATGATATTCACCTTATAGTTTGCCATGTTCAAGAAAAGCAAAAGTAACACCATTTCTTCACTGATACAAATACTAAAAATCATAACAGCAGCCTCTTTACACTCTCCATGTGTTCCTCTCAAAACAATCTGACATTCAGAAGGTGGGCTACATGCAATAAACATGAACATACCAGATGATTAGATTCATTTAACAATGCTATTTTCTTTATTGATTATTTCTACCATATCAACATGCAGTTTTTAACATGTTTAATGAATATATCACATATCATTTCTTAACTGACAAAGTACCTATTTATTGCAATGCACTTTCAGGTAACAGTACTGTATGTAAGACCTTAAAAAAATTGTTGTGGTTCCGATTAACCGACCGACCCTTGAATTTTGGTGTCGACCATTGTTTTTTGGCCGAAGCGGTCACTGAATAAAATAAGCTTTCAGATACAATTACATTGTTTTTAGTTTGGGCTTAATTTGTGTGGGTGTAGTATTTTCAGATATCAGTCATTCTGATAAAGAAAGTCAATATGATCATTTATTTTGGCGACAATGGTTTATTTTATTATTCAGAAGCTTGATTTATCCCAATAAATTAATTACACATTGATACATGTGTTATTAGTTTGTACTTTCCTTCTAAAAAATCGGGTCAACGATATATAGTGTAAAAATTACAAGAAAAATTGTGTCCTTTGGGACACGGATGCCCCCTGGCTACTGACATTCATCATAATCACACAAAAGTTTGCATAATAAAGATCAATAATTCAAAACTGGGGGGTATTAAAATTGGAAAAATAAATAAAATACAAAAAACAAAAAAATATGAGATGCACGCCTTTAGAGTCCCCATAAAGCTCAAAATATGAGATGCATGTGTAATCTAAATGAATTCCATAACGTAGTTTTTGAGGAGAAGTGGATAACGTACATCCCTCTGTTGGATGGAACGAACAGGCTGAATAGAACAAAATTCAACTAAGTTCAAACATCTGTAAAAGTGACAAAATTAAGAAATTGCATAAAAAATTATGAAATGCACACCCTACGAAAGACATGTAGAAGTTCATTCAATTCTGTTGAGCAGTTTTTGTGGAGAAGTGGATAGGCTTCATCCCCTATTACACTATCACCATAGAGAAATTCAGCAAAAAGTACCCAAGTTCAAATGTCTCTAAACTTACAAAAAAAAACAATAAAAATTAAAATACAAAAACAAAATATGAGATGCACACCATTAGAGTCCCAAGAAAGCCCATGTATAAGTTCATTGCATTCCACAGAGCGTGTTTTGTGGAGAAGTGGATAGAGTACATTCCCTGTTTCGTATGGACGGACGGATGGACGGACGGACGGAAGGTAACCCTATATGCCCCAGCCATATATAGCGGGGGCATAAAAAACATTTCCTACTTACCTACCCTAAATTTTAAAGAGGTGTAATCGGAACCACATTTTTTTTATTTGGCCTAATTGACTTTTTCTTTTATCTTCATATTGAATAAGAACATAAAATTTCATCACTACTTCAGTGTTGAACAAAGAGATTTTTCTGGGTTACATCTTCTTTTTATTCTTGAGTACAACGTTTCAGAGCTTGTTCTGGCCCCATCATCAGGTAAAACTGAACTGACATTTGGTCCTGTAAGTTTCACATGTCTATTTGACCCACTGAAAATTCACAGGATGCACAGGAAATAATTCACATATCTACGATTTAACATTTCTTATAACTGGCAGTGACATTACTAACAATTATACAATTAATAAACAGCAAACATCAGCTATATGCTATAGTTGACAAAAAGTACAATGTTAGTTACATCAGAACTATTACTGTACAATCAATCATATTTAACATGAGATATAACAACTTCGTCGACGAGCATTTCTTTGAGGGGTTTGTGCCATCATAATACTTTCTTTAATTCATTCGACACTAGTCAACCAGAAGCATTTACTGATATTCTGAGATGATAGATGAAACCTATATTTATCAAAGAAAAATATCAACTTGTAAAACAACACTGCTACTTTATGTCGTACACGTCTAAACCCACTGTTCATTTAAATGAAAATCATCATTTGATTCAAATAATACAACTACAACTGAAATTCATTTAATGAAAACGCAAGCTTACGCATTCATAATGTCCACATAATGGGGATTGAAAATTTCAGCGATTTTTGCCAATTGTAAGATGTCATTACATCCTCTTACTTATTTCTTTTATATTTGCATGTTTATGTAATCGGAAAATTATTACAAAAAGATTTTGAAAATAATATGTATGGTCGCTTATTTCCTGATAACAATGGCTTTCCTCTTGGTAATGTGACACCTTAATGCCTATGCTTTTTAAGCTTTGGATGAATAATGAAAATGACTAAAGGCAGCCAATCACATTACAGCAATGGAGTCGTATTGTGTACAATAACTTGCAGATTTAGATTTATGTCTTTAGTTAAATCATGTTATTCTCTATGGTTTAAGCAGGAAATTGCTACTTATGCTTAAAATATGAAACATCGTGGACATACTATACTAGGTTGCCAACCTGTGACAAACATCTCTTTGCATTAAACAGTGTTTAGCCAAAATGTCTTTTGACTTACATTACAGGATCACACAAAAAGATGAAAATAGAAACTTAGATTTTGTTTGGAAACTTTTATAATTTTTTGTTGATCTTATTTATCGCTATTAATTTCATCAAAAAGATTTCTTTGCAACATCTTTGTTTTCCTCTTTGACAAACCTGATGTGGAACGGTTGCGGAAAGTGTGTGTAACGGTTGCGTAAATCTGTCGTGTGTGTATGTGAATTGTTTTTTACAATAACATTGCAGAAAATTGTCAGTAATTGTAAATCTGTCGCTACAGTTAGGTGAACTGAAATGAATACATGCTTTCTGACATTGTGAAAAGTGATAGATTTCATATCATGACCCAATCGATCTCATGACATGTAGGTTCCTGAAAGTACTGACATGACTACAGCCTGGTCTGACCTGTGTTGTTGGGTCAAATGAGTTAAGAAACTCCTGTGCACTGCATGATTTATAACACAGGTTTATGAAATTTGATGCTAAACTGTTCATGTTACCTTTGATGCTATTGTGGCATGACAGTGATTGGCCAACAACCAATAAACAAAACCTTGTAAGGTAGGTATCAAGAATTGTGATCGGCCAGCAAAATAAAGACATCAACCAATCACGTGGTTAATGTTCAAAACTCATTTATTTACCATCTGGCACCTCATACAATACTGACTGTGATCAATAATCTTCTTAAATTTAATTTTTTAATGGAAAAAATACAAATCTTTTTAAAAAGGTTGTCTGACCCTGAAAACACAAAGTACTAAGATAAATGACAATTGAATTTATTTCACATCCCTTGAATTCCTTGTTGTGAAAAAAATACGCTTTGAGAGTAGATTTTGTGGACTGGGGAGTAGATTTTACTACAATCGTGGACCATCAGCAAATCTGCTGGATTTGTCTGATGGTACTACTAACATTCGTTCTCGTGAACACTATATTTACTTTCAAGTTTTCAATTGATTATCACAAACTTGTCAACTCGCACATTTTTGCCGTGAGCCTCACATTCTTTTAATAAAAATCATGTTCTCGGCCAGTACACTAAATCTCTAATTTTTCGTAAAAGTGTTTTATGAATATTACTAAGAGGAGAAAGAGGAGAAAGGGAATTTGCCACCCTAGCCCTCCACCAGAACTTTTTATGAATATTACTAAGAGGAGAAAGAGGAGAAAGGGAATTTGCCACCCTAGCCCCTCCACCAGAAATTCGCCTCGGACCCGAATAGGACCTATGGCCCCTGACCCAGGCTTTTAATGGTCCTCACTTCTTGGACACATTTTGGGTTAACAGCTATGCTATCATCATGACTACAATTGTTTCTAGCAATGTTAACAATGCTATGTCTTAAAATATAATTACCTGCACTGATTCTTGCTCCTCTAATGCCAAGAATACACTTGCCCGTAGTTGTGCCTGGAATTGAAATAATAACAGGATTAAAGTCATGTTTTCTAGTGAATGAATTAGCAAGTGATTTTGGTGTTTATTATTGTCACAGCAACTGACTATTCATGTTATTCTGGGATAGAAATACTTTTTCTAAGTGTGCCTTAGGGCACCAGGCAAATATTTTAGGTGTGCCTTTCAGAAATCAATGTGCCCACATGTTTTAGAATAAATGACTGTAGCAAGGATGATGATCTTTTGAAATTTATTGTCAGAAAACAACAAATATAACCAGTTTTCTGTTATCACTGATATGTCTTCTGTTTAAGCTGGCTTTCTTATGTTTCATTTGTTATGCTTCCACAACACCTTTAATAGCTTGCGCCTCCGTGGTGTAGTGGTAAGAGCGTCCGCCTGGAGAACGGAAGGTTGCGGGTTCGATCCCCGACCGCGTCATACCAAAAGACGTTAAAATATGGTACTTGTTGGTCCCTGCCTGGCGCTCGGCATTAATGGGTACAACAAGGACTGGTCGGCTCGGAGTCAGTATAATGTGTCTGTGTGGGGTATTCATTCTTGACTGCAGCATGGTATCTCAGTGGGCTAGCATTATAAAACCAGCTTAAGTCTGGGCTAGTACAAGCAGCCGCACATACAGATACACACGCATGCACGTCGTCATATGAGCGAAATATTCTCAAGCACGACGTTAAACCCAATTTCACCTCACATTTAATAGCTAAGAATTGTGTTTTTGCTTGTTTGTCATTTTCATAAGTGTTTTGTTTGGTTATTTAATGACTAAAGGTCTGTTATGTCTCTGAAAAATTTGGCGTGCCATGAGGGCACCGAGAACATTTTTTATCCGTGCCATTTCGATATTTACTGTGCCATGGCACGCTAATATATGGGGCACTTCGAACCCTGATATTATTTAAATATGATTGTTTGGAGCACCTTTAGAATTCAGCAGCACAACTTCTCGTGAGAACGTTTTCTGCCGTAGGTCACATGTCACTAAGACAAGCAACCAGTTTGTGAGAATCCGTCGGACGTGAACCTGTAACCTTCGGATTGTTAGCCTGACGGCTAACCAACTGAGCTACGTCCACACTGTTACACAATGTCCAAATTTATCGAGTCATTCCTGTGGCGTCATGAAAATGAACGGAAACAGTCAACTAGGTCACGGACAATTACAAAGGTTACAGGAATTTGAAGATACGGCTCGAACTGAAAATGGTTGTTGACGTCAGGTGTCAGACGTCGATTTCACGGTACATGCATGAATGACATACTTTTATAAAAACCACTGGATGATTTTTGACAGAAGTGTTGTAGGAACACTGTAACTTAGTGTAAGGATAATGTGGATCGCACTAAGGAATGAGGGAGACATGATCATGTCTAGTGACGGCATGAGGGTAAGTTAGCCTTCGAATCATTACTGAACAAATGTAGCGTGTGAAAGTGGCTTGAGTGCAAGTGCCAGGCCAATTTCCATTAGCCCCAAATGTCTACATTAAACCATTTCATCGTGTGTTTTTGGTCTCCCGTTTTGTGTGGAATAAAAGTATAAAAAATGCAAAAGGAAAAACAACAAATGGTACTGATGCATTACACCGGACATTTACCTACTATATTGGGTCCTAATAAATAGAATACATTCATCGAACTGACTCGAAAATAGCTGATGTGTCCAGTGTAATGCATTCTTACCGCTTCGAAAAATATAATACTAATACTCTCCATTTCTGTGGAATGATGCAAATTACTGAATGAAAAAAATATATATGTATATTAGTTCTCATTTATAATTCATTTAGTCCTAATAGTTATGTTGAAACCGAAATATAAAATGTATTTAAATAATTAAATTGACCAAAACTGCGAATAATAGAACATGGCAGAATGTGACCGGTGTAACGCATTGTTACTAAATTAAAAACATAAAAGATAAAAAACTACACAAAATCTAACACCTCTTGATACAAATAAATAAGAGAGTATTAGTGGAAAAAGAAAAATATTTTAAACTGGTGCTTGCGCAACATTGCGCATCCGCTGGTAAACAACTACTGGAAACTCTCAACATTGTTGGGCTTGCAATGACAATGATGTAGCTATAGTCCGTCAACTTAACTTTTGGCACCCCATTTTTCACAATTTACATAAAACTCCTGAATATTTTAAATCGCTACTCTGTTCATATGGTAATTATATACCGTGACCTAACAAGATATCGATTTTAGTAATTTTAAAAGGATTATTAAAGATTTTGCCTTTAAACCTGTCATATAATAATTGTAAAACTGTGGAGAGTTTTACGATGGGTTAACGCGCCTGATGGAAAAGCCAACAACATTGTAAAATGTGTGTCAGCATGATATGTACATGCAGGGGTATTTACATTAGCACGCTCAAATGATGTCAAAGATCGTCAACACACAGATTGTGGTAAAAACGATGTTGTACAAAGATGACTGGTAAATCATCAAAACAGTTGACAAGTTTTTCAAGCGCAAGGCAAGCGAAAAACACCCTCTTTTTTTCAACTGAGTGTTTCTCCAAAAGACATTAATGACACCAAGATCCTCAAAAGAACATAGCAAAGAGTTATCTCCCATGACACTCTTTCAGAGACGGACGATGACATGAAAATTGGGGACCGTCTCAAAACATGCAAAGAAAAGACAGCTTGATGAATTCAATAGAAGGGTTGTGAGGGACGTCATGCGTTGGTTACATCAACCCAGTGAGTCCATATCGTCAAGCAAACTGAAGAAAATATTGTTCAAAAGAAGACATGACATTAATGTATCAAAGCATACCATATGCAAGCTGTTGCTCAAATTTGGATCTTGATACAAGAGATTGAGCAACCAGTATTTAAAGACTTCAATAAATCTGCTTGTTTAAAATGGATTTGTGATGATTATACAGTCACTTTAAATTTGCTTGCAGACGTAACAATGTAAACAAGATGCACGCGTGTCACACCATGTTGTTTGCTGTTCCATCTTATCATTTTACTCCCTTGTATAACTACTTCTATTTTCCATATTTTTATAAGATGGCTTCTTAAGAAGAAGCTTTAATAATTGACATAAAATTATGAAATTTAAACCTGATATAGGTCATAAGATATAAAGAGCGTATGCCTAAAAACATTTTGAAGGCATTTTCGGTTAAAAGGTAAATTGTGAAAAACAGGGTGCCAAAAGTTCAGTTGACGGACTATAGTAGAAATGAAACATCTGTGAACAGAGCTTATACAAACTCGCTACACTCTAATGAATTCACAAAAAGTGCAAGTGGATTCTTAAATGTGGACCAGACATTTATCACATTGGTTCAACCAATGAACATGGGTTTAGTACTGTACCAAGGAACATGAGGGCAAACCTAGGATTGACCCCATAAACATGGGTTTCTAGATGAAGCACCTGCACAGTGTATACAACGTGGTCACATTCCCTAGCATGATATATAGTCAGTCTTCATGGTCATGTTGTGGAAACTTTTAATGGTTTTCCAAATATTTCGGTTACTAAACAATGGTCAAAATCAGATTTACCATATCAGCTTAAACAGTTATGTGCATTTGATCAATGATGTCAGGTCTGTGATTTGATTTGAAAAAATGTCCAAGCCTGAACAAGATGAATAACTAATGAAAACTGTAATAACATGTTTTTAGAAATCTTAAAATATCAAGCAAGATGATGATGATTAGCAAGTATTGTGTGTATTCTAATACTTCAAACCTGAAGACCTGGTATTTTCCTCTTATAACTGTTGTAATTTTATGTACTGAGCAGTTATTGTACACCAACAGCATGCATATATATTTCTGCATTAAAATTAAAAAATTCCTGTCACGAACATGAAAGAAGGGTTTGTTTTTGTTTCAGCAGTATTTGATTCTTGGGACCACAGAAACACAGCATTGAGAACGACCCCTCAACTTTATTGGATTTTTATACTATATTTTGGAACACTTTTAGTGCTGATATTTGAACCTCTTACAAAGAATGAACAGCGACACTACAGAAAATCTGAGGACAATCCGATGAATGAGATATAAATTTTATGTACCCAGTCAAGCGAATCATTACTTATACTGATGTTGTTTGAAAAGTCTGTGCTGACAACTTCAACAGCAACACCTAATCACCTGGCATACAAAGCTTTGTGATAGTCAACACAATGCAGCAGTAAAAAAGTCTTGCTGGACTAATCCTTGGTGATAAAAGTTAGGAATTCAGATTTTACACGACCTAGATACCAGATTCGAGTATAATATCGGTACAAAGGTGGGCATCAATACAGTATGCGATCGAGTTTACAGCAGTCTTTTATAGCTTAACCATGCGTCAACTGACATTCGAAACCTCTGATTCCAGTGATCATGCCCACCGGTTTGAGCATAGCCATTAACATGATGGGTGCAAATCACTGAAACCAAAGAAGAGAAACCATAACTTTGTTGTACTTAGAATTTAATAGCAATAAATGTCTGATGAAGAAGAAATGATAATGTGATCAGGCATGCCTAAATTTAAGTTTTCAATGACTGTCACTGTCCTATATCGAACGTAAACAAAGTGGCGTGCATGTCGGAGCACAGCAGAAAAGTCTTCAGAACTCGAGACGTGCACATCAAACTACATACCATCAATGACAATTACACAACATGAAGCAACAAAAAGATTAGTCAAGGATGTAATTGCAAATTACCCTTATTTTGCCCAAAGTACCGTTAGTTTCTAACGTCTGGGCAACCAAATCCCTAAGTTCGGTATCTTCGTCGGCAGACATCTTGAAGTTCGGAAACAGTACGCTGCGCATGCGCTTTGGTAAAGTTAGTTTTGGACAGTTCTGAGTACCCTAAAATATTAGAAACTTATTTTTCTCCTAATGCATTTATATGTCATGGATAAATGCTGAAATTACAGTTATATACAATTCATACATCCGCAAACTATATTTGTGAAATCGTAAAATTTGTTGATAGTTTCTATGGCTACAACCAATGAAATCATTCCTATTGTGAATACGTCCAATGAGAGCGCAGGGAGTGTCAAGCTTCTGAATCCCGCATGATTTGAATCGCCATACATTCTCCTCCAATCCTCCATGCTGACCGGGCGTGTAAAACATATAGCTGCACATTTTGCTGGTATGAATCTTTATCACTTTCAATAAGAATACACATTTATATTCACGAAAACACATATGTTGTTTGTAAGACAGCATTTTCTTTTTCTCTATATTCTGACATTTCTTTGATTTGATCAGCTGATACCCAGCCTTAGTTGGTCCCATTTTCTTCTGCACCTTAGTTAGTGTAGACCATTGTAATACATCTTCAGATCACGGTGTCTGAAATTATAAGTTGTCAAATTTGGTGATATCCCATTTTACTTTTCAGATCAGATCGTTTTTCTCTAAGGACTACCCACAGGACATTTTTGTAGACCATCCATTCGAATCCCAAAACACATCATGCCTTCTGAAGAACACCAGCGCATCAAGACCTACAAGAATAAGGGCCGAGATGCAGATGTAAGTTTCGTATTGTAAATTGTATCTGTCAGGTACTAGATGATCCGATGACCCACGGAATTTCGTGCCCAACAAATATACACGTAATTCTCGCCATATTCGTACTTTGTTTGTTTGACGTGCACACAAAGTTGGGTAATCAGTACACTACCTATTTATCTTTCTAACCAAGATATCCGGAAACGGATTGCTTTTACCGGTAAAACCGGTAGTCCGTTAAAACAAATGTACAGTTAATCATTCCTTTGGCACTAAATTTTCATTTTATCACAAGTGTATTTAAATTGTAAACATAAACAAAAGTATATAAGATTTGTACAATACCTTTTTTGCACATGAAGTACTTCTAGCAGTCACAAGAGGTCAAACCATTGTCAGGGTTTTAATAGACTTTGAAAAAGGAAGTTGCAGTAAATATTTTGGAGCTACTTTCTAAATGTTTGAGTCATAAATATATTTTGTCAACAAAATAAATTTTCAATAAAGCAAAGAGTTCCTAACGTTCCCCCAACCCTAACTTGAATTTTGGACTTTTTAGTCATTTTTGTGAGTTCTCTAGTAATTGTTGTCTTAAGTTTTCTTAATAATTTTAGTATATATTGATTTATATATATTATTTGGGATGGGGGAACGGGAGGAACTCTTACCAAAGCGAAGACTGTGAAATCAGATTTTGTGATATTACTTGTTCCATATGTACCCATGTGAATAGCTATTCTGTTGGTCCAGAACAGAAATTTAGTTGCCAAATATTTGGTTTGTCCACAGGAAATGCGAAGGCGGAGAAATCAAGTTTCGGTTGAACTTCGGAAGGCCAAGAAGGATGATCAGCTGCTGAAACGTAGAAATGTAGCAATATTGGAAGAGCCCACCAGTCCCCTGCAGGAGAGGAACAAGGTAGGCAGTGAATGTTGGTTGGTTTCCATTCCAACAATGTCATAATGGCTATAATACCCTGAACCTCTATGAAAACATCTTGACCAAAAAGACTGACAATCATTATATACTGGACAAAATAAGTTAGGGATATTGGTATTTTTATGATTGATATTTTATCAGTGTGTCAATGAATAAAGAGATCATTATACATAATTTCAAAATTTACATATATCCCTAACTTTTTTTGTCCAGTATATTTTGTACCACATTTGGACAATATTTGTACAGTAAATGTATTGTTTATATGTCCAGTCATTGTCAACTTTTTCAAAATCAATTCATAATCACTTGTTTTGATTGCGATGCGATAATTTTGGATTTTGTTTTGGGGTGACACTATATGATTAAACATTTTAAATTCTATATACTGTAAAGTTAATATTATGAAAATGTCTGGACTTGTCTTCTGTGATGAATTATTTACAATGTCGCTTGTTCATTGATCCCTTCTATTTCAGCAACAGCCCACACTGACTATACAGGACATAATCAGTGGAGTCAACAGCAATGACCCAGCCACACAACAGACAGCCACTCAGGGAGCCAGAAGACTCCTGTCAAAAGAACGTAACCCTCCCATCAATGAAATTATCAACACTGGTACTGTTGTCCCAAGACTAGTGGAGTTCCTGTCATACAATGACCGGTAAACTGTCTTCTGTCATAATGTAGTTTGTTTTTACTATAAGCCATTAATTTTCTATCAAATAGTTATTGGGGTGGTAGCATAGCCTAGTGGTTGAAGCGTTCGCTCATCAAGCCAAAGACCTGGGTTCGATTCCCCACATGGGTACAATGTGTGAAGCCTATTACTGGTGTCCCCAGCGTTTAAACCAAATTCACTCACTCAAATAGTTACTGGTAGGTTGGTGGGCTATTTATCATGTTTACGGACATACCTTCCAATATGTTACTGTTGTATAACTTGAAAGAAAGTTGTCTTATGCAACATGTTATATTTGGGATTACACTTTTTCAGTAAAGTATAAGATAGCTTTGTTGTTTGGGGACCATGTTGGATTGGGAAGTGAAGAATATATTCATTGCAAAATGTTTTACCATAACATATTTGTTAATTTTCTGATTCATTTTTATTTTCATGTTGAATAAATAAACATTCTTGCAGGCCTGATGTTCAGTTTGAGGCTGCCTGGGCCCTGACCAACATTGCGTCTGGAACCAGCGACCAAACCAAGGTTGTGGTGAAGGCAGGAGCTGTGCCCCACTTCATCAAGCTTCTCGATTCACAGCACCAGAATGTGTGTGAGCAGGCTGTGTGGGCACTTGGAAACATTGCTGGTGGGTGTTGTATTATTTTATAGTGTGTAGTGGTCACACTGAAGATCAAGTTCCAATCCTTTGAAAATTCTGTGTATGAAAATTTATAAAAACAACACTTGCTAAGCAGTTCAAGTGACATTCACTTGGTTATATCTTGTTCACATTGTCCTTTTCTTGCAGGTGATGGTCCTGAACTGCGAGACCATGTGACAGATGCTGGAATTGTGGAACCCTTGCTCAGATTGGTCAAAACTGATGTACCTGTAAGTGGATACAACATGCATTATCCATAAATATGCTAATGGTAGAATGACTAGTTTCCATGGTGACAACCATTGTTGATGACATCACACATTGCATTATCTGAACAAAAAGGCACCTTTGGTGAAGTCTGTCCTGCATAAATGGGCCTAAGAGCATTATCAAGTTTGTTCACCTTGAACAGCTAATCTGTAATTCACAGTAGCATGGGTATAAGTAGGTCTCCATTTGCTTTAGTCATCGTAGCTTCCTCCATCTCAAACTCAAAAGGTCAACCGTCTCCGTGGTTAGAGCGTCCGCCCGCAGAGAGGAAAATCACGGGTTCGATCCCCGACCGCGTCATGCCAAAAGATGTTAAAATATGGTACTTGTTGGTCCCTGCCTGGCGCTCGGTATCAATGGGTACAACAAGGACTGGTCGGCTCGGGAGTCATACTGTGTCTGAGTGGGGTATTCATGCTTCACTGCAGCATGGTATCTCAGTGGGCTAGCACTATAAAACCAATCAAGCCTCAATGTTGGGCTGACAATGTTGCCATGTTGCAGTAATCTTTATTACAATAGCTGGCTAGAAATTCATGAAAGTCACTTTAATCAACAAGGATGCATTTCCACTAAGTTTCAGAGGCTCTGGTTTCTATTTGATACAAATTACTCATTTCTTCATGACAGGTAAGTAGTGATAGCAATGGAGTGGATCCAGAGGTTGTAGGATACCAGCCCTAGAGATTATGGCATTTGAGTAATAAGAACTTTACACAAATTCTTGAAGTGTTCAAGTGAATCATGTGTGTCTATCCATTTTTTCAGTCTGGATTCCTCAGGAATGTCACATGGACAATATCAAATCTGTGCAGGAACAAGAATCCCCCTCCCAAGTTCAAGGTTGTACGCCAGTGTTTGCCCACACTTTCTCGTCTGTTATATCATAATGACCGTGAGGTGCTTGCTGACACGTGCTGGGCAATCTCCTACCTCACAGATGGAACCAATGACAAGATTCAGGAGGTGGTTGACGCAGGTAGGAAATATTGAGTGGGATCAGGTCAGGTTCTATGAATTAGTTGATGCTTGTTATTGTATCCCAGGTGCGGAGATTGATCGTGTCAATGACGGGATTGTCAGGCTAGATCTGATTAACAGACTGGCAACACATAACAGGAATATTGCAGAGTGATGCTAAAGAACACATCTAATCACAAATCATTCCCTGGCTGATAAAAGTTGACTTACCAAAGTAAATTCTGTTGCAAAGTAATCATGTTAATGTGGAAAGAAAAGTCAGCAATGTTTTGTAAAAAGTGCAGTCATGTAATAACCTTATTTTGTCACGCTTAATGTTTTCTTGATAGTATACATTTTTTGTGAACACAGGTGTTGTGCCACGTTTGGTGGAGCTGCTGGGATGTGTAGATCAAGTGTCAGTCCTCACCCCTGCCCTCAGATCTGTTGGCAACATAGTCACAGGGGATGATTCACAAACACAGGTACGTGCTAGCTTCACTAGTCTGTTAGACCTAGACTACTAAATTGTGTTGAGGGATAATAAAAATCCAATGATAGTTATTACGTAAGCATATTTTTCCAGCTACCTGATTGCTCAAGCAGGAACAGGCACAAACTGAGGACTAGAGAAATGAGCTTTCAGTTTGTCATAAAAATACAAAATACATTGGTTGTAGAAATGTTAAACCATTGGACTATTCAGTTATGGAAGCAGTTGGATTTGTGGTTGCAGATTGAGGAGTATAGTATTCCTTTTTTGAATTCCTACCTTAACATTAACCTAACCATTCTTAATACAGGCAGTACTTGATGCGGGTGCCCTGAATGGCTTTGAAAGGTTGCTGACACATGCCAAGATCAACATTCAGAAAGAGGCAGCATGGACACTGTCTAATGTAACAGCCGGCAACCCCAACCAAATCCAAGCTGTCATTGACAAGAACCTGATACCACCTGTTGTCAGCATCCTGGAAAAGGTATGTTGCATCAGGCAGCTGCTTCAATCTTGCTGACGAGTGATGTGAATTTTTTTGGTGAAGTTTTTCCTTTCTAAGTACATTGTTTTTGATTACATATTGACTTCAGTGCAAGTATTAGCGATGTTTTCTGTTTCCATATCTCCACGTTCTTCCATGCCTTGTTTAACAAAACCTGTGTTGGTTTCTGTTTTGTATCTGGAATCTGCTTTTCCTTTCAATTTTGTAAAGAAACCCTTCTGTTTTGGTGGTAAATGATAAACGTGGGATATGCTCACTACAGCTATATCTGCAGTGTACTTGTCAAAGCCAAGAACATATACTATGGCCCATACCTCATGTGTATTAGTCCTTGATCTTGTTTCTTGACTCGAGCACAACTAGAACGTAAACCGTAACTAGAAGTTTAGTTTGCAGTTTAATATTTTTCAGGGAAATGGTTTAAGTATAAACATATTTTAATAATTATCCGATGGTTTGTGCTTTTCAGGGAGACTTCAAAAGCCAGAAGGAGGCTGTGTGGGCTATCACTAACTTGACGTCCGGTGGCACAGTGGAGCAGATTGCCTACCTCGTCCAGGGAGGCATTGTCAAACCCCTGTGTGATCTCCTCAATGTGAAAGAAGCCAAGGTGGTGCTTGTCATTCTAGATGCAATACAGAATATAATTACGGTGAGTTAAACAAATTCATAAATACACTTCAGTGAAAGAAAATTGTTACATGTAAAAGTAATTTCAAGATTGGTTAGTGTAAAGGCCACTGACAAGATCATGTCCAGAGGCTGTTTGCATTGTTTGCTTTCAGTAAATCCCCTCCTATAGCAATATGAGTTGTGTATAAGTACACAAGATGTTTGTAAGGTTTAGGGGTAATAAACAAATATTAAGATAACTGAAGGCTCGGTCAATCACTGACTGAGTAATGTTTTCAAATTTAAAAAAAAAAGAAAATTAAGCTTTGATCAGATTTCTCATACCCAAATTACACAAGCATGAACTAGTGTTGTAGTTTGGAATGGAAATAATCCCAATATGTATAGTTTGTATGATGATCCCTATTGTCAGTGCCATTGTAGTACCCTCCTATGTAAGGTTCAGGCATGAGATACATTCCTGTTACTTGTGTGTTAGTGAGATTCATGTCTTGTCTCCAGGCAGCAGAGAAGATCAACCAGCATGAGGCTGTCACCATGATGATTGAGGAGGTCGGTGGTGTCGATAAGATTGAACAGTTACAGAACCATGAAAATGAACAAGTCTACAATGTTGCACTCTATATCATTGAAAAATACTTTGGAGAAGAGGTAAGAATTCTAACACTTCCAAAGCAACATATTAACTTTGTTATAAATATATTTTACACGAGCAAGTGCTCTTGCTCGGGCAATACAAAATTTTACTCGTTTCGTATAAGTCATGTTGTACACTTGCAAGTGTAATAATTTCTTTATTATCCATTTTATGCATGTGCATTTGTGCAGTAAAACATGGAAAGTAAGTGTAACTGCCCAGTTCATCGACGTCGGGTTCAATTGTTGAATGACGAAACACAGAAACAATGGTTGCTAGGCAAAAGTAACATGCACATATGATATTTATGACACTGGTTATGTTTCACCATATGGATAATAGAGGATATTATACGAGTGTCCATGTCATACTATGTTTACGACCCTCGTGCCTAAATGTTGGTATTTCCCAAGCGAGAGCATGACTTGGCGAGGTTGACATCGCTTAGCGTCAAAGCTGTCATGTGACCATGTGGGCCAATCAGAAGGGCAGAAAACTACCTTTCATATAATAAAATAGTTCATTGTCACCTTTTGTGACAAGGTAGTTGAGGACCTATTCTAACCCAGAATTAGAAGGTGATAAAGTTTGGGGTTAGTTATATGCTCTGTAATTTCCAAAATTGTAGTGAATCAGCTTGCTCAGATTTCTTTCTGACCATGCATTAATCTAATGTGGTTTCTTCTTGGATGCACATTAATAATGAATGCATGTACTAACATACTCATCCATTCTTTCTCCAGGAGGAGGATGAGAATGTTGCCCCTGCTGAGACAAACGACAACATGTACCAGTTCAACGCAGCAGCATCAGTACCAGCACAAGGATTCTCATTCTAGACAACGATGATACAGAGGAACCTCTTCAGACACATGCTCACTGACAAACTCAGAACTGTTATCTGTGTTGAATACATGCTGGTTTTATTCATGTTGAACTGTAGACATGGATGTTACCTTGTTGGTAACTAGTGCTATGACGTGTGTATTGTGCAATACAGCAAATTTGTCAATTGTATTGCTTTTTGTGCTTTTCAGGCGTCTTGTTGAAACATTTACAACGTGAGATAGCTCAACTTTGTATGAATCATTGATCTGTGAAACTGGAGACAACCTGACGTAACATTCTGAAGATTTATATTGACTGTACATACTTATATTGCTGACATTTCTTTTTGCATACACCATTTCCCCCACCAACATATCATGGGCTGCAAGCTAATCTACACTGCAGCACATGCCATGCACCTTCCTATGGCTGGTCACTTCATGTGATTCTTTGATCTTTATCATGTTTCTTGAAATATGTCAATTCAATCATTCCTGATCCTTTATCTGATTGTCCATGGAAAAGTTACATTGTTTGTATTGAAGACACTGAAGTTGAATGTAATTTTGACTAGCCATCAACGTACATACAACATGGTCATCTTTTTAGAAAAATTTCTACACTCACATCTTGAAATCTTGACTCATTCTGCATGTCCTCATTAAATACACCTCAATCACTTCCTGTTTGTGTTTTCATTTGCCAAATGTCGCATGAAGCTGCTCTTGTGCAAGACACGGTATCAAGATAAAAAATGGATTATCTACATTTCAACAATACTTCACAAGGGTCAGGTAATTGATATTTACAGGTTGTGAACAGGTTAATCTCTATTTCCTATATTATTTTTCTGAAAATTGTTTCATGTTCTGTCTGTTGGAACGAGTCATTAAAACACCAACATTTACATGATCGTTTTTTAAACAACTTTCCTCTTTACGCCAGTGTCTGAAATTAAGATGATTTCTTGTTTAGTAAACTCGCTCACTAAACTCACTCACCCACTCAAGTATTTTAACTAAGGTAGTGACTGAAATGACATGATTTCTATAAGTTTAAAACTATAGAATGTCTTCCACTTTTGCATTCAAAATAATAAAAATTATGAAGGATTTTTCCGGGACCGAGATGTTATATCGAGACAACTGAGAAATCAGTTACGGTGCTCAACTGTATATTTAAACAGATTCATAGATCTGTCAGCGAAGGCAGAAAGGCAAATCAAATGTTACCTATTCATGTATAAGCCTATGGAATACAAAACAATCATCAGTCGTATATATCAATATTATGTGAATGAACTGTCATATGCATGATGCAGGTGTGTATACTGTAGTGGCAATGTTTTGTTTCCGGACTGGAGAAGATTACGATAAATGGGAAATAACTCTGTAAGCTGCTTTTCAAATTATCTCCCCCTCGTCCATTAGGAATACATAACTTTCGCAATGCCGCTCAAGAGGTCTCCCATGTCCTTGAATAAAATTAAGATGAATCTACCTAAAGTCTAGATTGATTGGATACTGTGGGCTCCATTTGGATTTTTTGTCTGTACAGTTATTTAGTATTTATTTATTTTAATTTGACATGCCATTCAAGTGTTATGGTTGTATTGGTGATTGGCAGCTCATTCATAACTTAATGATTCGTTACAAAATGATCTTAAGGGGGGTCTCCAATATTGTACACATGTACTGGCGGGATCGGCAATTTTGTACATAAAAACATTTTTAAAATATGCTTAATATTATGGGAGGGGGTTTATTGATGTACATGACGTGTGCAGGGGCGTGGGGTGGGGTTCGGTTACTTTGTTCCTAAACTGGGGAAGGAGGGGTGGGTGGGTCTTTCACATTGCACATGCTTCTCCATAAAAAATCATTAACACCCCCAACCCCCCCGACATAAAATAATAACAGTCCCTTAGTGTGCCAACATTTATCAGGACATGAGGGAGTTAACACCGAGTATGAACATCCAGAAGTGGATTTTAATACTCAATTAACTCCCTTGTTAGTATTGTACAAACAATTATTCTTCCTAAAAAACCTGACATCGATTATCAACCACTAATATTATACCAGTGATAGGACCTTCCAATACAGATCAGACAATAACAATATGGTACCGCAACAATTGAATCTACAAAATCTAATAAATATTCTATACAATTATTCAGATACAATGGTTTAGAGATAATATACAGATTCCTCATATTAATCATTTTTGTAACATACCCTAATCATCAGACCCTGGTTTAATAAAAGTTTGTCAGTGTAAGTTAATGTCAGTCTGGTTGGCCGCATGGAGCTCTTGGTAGGAGAGAGATTTGACCGCAGAAGAGAAAGATAGCTGATTCTAGATGATTTTGAAAAGGGCGTGACTAATGCAACAGAGTTAGCTGGTGGACATGACATTCCTCTGTTCACAATATACAGAACTATGTACAACTGTATGCAGGCGATACTGAGAACATCTTTGTTTCGGCTCGGCTGAAAAGTAGGTCATTGTCAGAATTCATTAATGAGACTCATGTTTCAGTTTGCGAGCTTGAGTGTAGCATTCCCCTACATATTCCAGTCTGCATACAAAATCAATGCCTTTATCTAAAGGAAAGAAAAAACCCCAAAACAACAACAGACACACACACACACACATCCCCAACCCCCTTTATCCCCACCCCTCATATCAGAATAAGGCCAGCAGTGAGGACGCGGCGAGCTTCAGTGGAGTATTCTCCTACTTATTCTAGTCTCCATACAAAATCAACGCCTTTATCTAAAGATTTTTTAAATGCACCAACACGAACTCGATTTTACTGGCCACTAGTCAGTCTACCTCCCTCCTCCCTCTCGCCCCCTCTCTCTTTTGTCATGTCAAGCAGAGATATTGTACAGTACGTTTTACAGCCAAAGCTTGCAAACTATTTTGTGTTACGAGAAAGGAAACGATTTACTGTTTAACAGTGCATTGTATAATTTCAGTAACCTTTTTGTACTTATATATCACCATAATATATTGTACCCACGTATGTTAACCTATTATTTATAGACCCGTTAAATTCTTTTAAGAATTAGTCTTTATTATTATTTATTAGTCACTCGTAAGAGGGGATTAACAGAATGCATGTCATCGTATCACATTTATATACATACTCAAGTATTTTAACTAAGGTAGTGACTGAAATGACATGATTTCTATAAGTTTAAAACTATAGAATGTCTTCCACTTTTGCATTCAAAATAATAAAAATTATGAAGGATTTTTCCGGGACCGAGATGTTATATCGAGACAACTGAGAAATCAGTTACGGTGCTCAACTGTATATTTAAACAGATTCATAGATCTGTCAGCGAAGGCAGAAAGGCAAATCAAATGTTCACCTATTCATGTATAAGCCTATGGAAAACAAAAACAATCATCAGTCGTATATATCAATATTATGTGAATGAACTGTCATATGCATGATGCAGGTGTGTATACTGTAGTGGCAATGTTTTGTTTCCGGACTGGAGAAGATTACGATAAATGGGAAATAACTCTGTAAGCTGCTTTTCAAATTATCTCCCCCTCGTCCATTAGGAATACATAACTTTCGCAATGCCGCTCAAGAGGTCTCCCATGTCCTTGAATAAAATTAAGATGAATCTACCTAAAGTCTAGATTGATTGGATACTGTGGGCTCCATTTGGATTTTTTGTCTGTACAGTTATTTAGTATTTATTTATTTTAATTTGACATGCCATTCAAGTGTTATGGTTGTATTGGTGATTGGCAGCTCATTCATAACTTAATGATTCGTTACAAAATGATCTTAAGGGGGGTCTCCAATATTGTACACATGTACTGGCGGGATCGGCAATTTTGTACATAAAAACATTTTTAAAATATGCTTAATATTATGGGAGGGGTTTATTGATGTACATGACGTGTGCAGGGGCGTGGGGTGGGGTTCGGTTACTTTGTTCCTAAACTGGGGAAGGAGGGGTGGGTGGGTCTTTCACATTGCACATGCTTCTCCATAAAAATCATTAACACCCCCACCCCCGACATAAAATAATAACAGTCCCTTAGTGTGCCAACATTTATCAGGACATGAGGGAGTTAACACCGAGTATGAACATCCAGAAGTGGATTTTAATACTCAATTAACTCCCTTGTTAGTATTGTACAAACAATTATTCTTCCTAAAAAACCTGACATCGATTATCAACCACTAATATTATACCAGTGATAGGACCTTCCAATACAGATCAGACAATAACAATATGGTACCGCAACAATTGAATCTACAAAATCTAATAAATATTCTATACAATTATTCAGATACAATGGTTTAGAGATAATATACAGATTCCTCATATTAATCATTTTTGTAACATACCCTAATCATCAGACCCTGGTTTAATAAAAGTTTGTCAGTGTAAGTTAATGTCAGTCTGGTTGGCCGCATGGAGCTCTTGGTAGGAGAGAGATTTGACCGCAGAAGAGAAAGATAGCTGATTCTAGATGATTTTGAAAAGGGCGTGACTAATGCAACAGAGTTAGCTGGTGGACATGACATTCCTCTGTTCACAATATACAGAACTATGTACAACTGTATGCAGGCGATACTGAGAACATCTTTGTTTCGGCTCGGCTGAAAAGTAGGTCATTGTCAGAATTCATTAATGAGACTCATGTTTCAGTTTGCGAGCTTGAGTGTAGCATTCCCCTACATATTCCAGTCTGCATACAAAATCAATGCCTTTATCTAAAGGAAAGAAAAAAACCCAAAACAACAACAACAGACACACACACACACACACACACATCCCCCACCCCTTTATCCCCACCCCTCATATCAGAATAAGGCCAGCAGTGAGGACGCGGCGAGCTTCAGTGGAGTATTCTCCTACTTATTCTAGTCTCCATACAAAATCAACGCCTTTATCTAAAGATTTTTTAAATGCACCAACACGAACTCGATTTTACTGGCCACTAGTCAGTCTACCTCCCTCCTCCCTCTCGTCCCCCCCTCTCTCTTTTGTCATGTCAAGCAGAGATATTGTACAGTACGTTTTACAGCCAAAGCTTGCAAACTATTTTGTGTTACGAGAAAGGAAACGATTTACTGTTTAACAGTGCATTGTATAATTTCAGTAACCTTTTTGTACTTATATATCACCATAATATATTGTACCCACGTATGTTAACCTATTATTTATAGACCCGTTAAATTCTTTTAAGAATTAGTCTTTATTATTATTTATTAGTCACTCGTAAGAGGGGATTAACAGAATGCATGTCATCGTATCACATTTATATACATCGACTATGATTGTTGATCAGACTCGATCATTTACAGACCGCCATCATATAGATGGAAAAGTGCGCGGCGTTAAACAACAAGAAAACAAACTATTATTCATAGAATATGCTCTTTGTGATTTTACATATTATTCTTCAAATATGTTGTATGATTATTTACATGCTATGTTATTTTAATACTGCTCTATAGTATGTTGACGGGTGGCTCACTTTTAATGATTTTATTCTGTATGTGGTTATTTTATATGAAGTAAGACTTTATCAATTAGTCTGTCTGTCTGTCTGTTTGTATGTTAGCTCTATATATTCTCAGTGGGTATAGGGGCGGTGGGGTAGTCTAGTGGTTAAAGCGTTCGCTCGTCACGCCGA